TTAAAAAAAAGTAATACAAATAATCAACAACGTATCTCTCTAGTAGTTTTAAATAAATACATAAATCACTTTATTTAGCTTTTAGGAATAATAAAAATGTAAAAAGAAATACCATTTTTAAAAAAGAATAATAAATGCATTTATTAAATATGTAATAGCAGATGATAATACCTGCAACAAGATTATTTCATTATATACAACAATACTGATAAAGTTTATAAAAAATTTGTAATTTTTTTTTTTACAATTTTTAATATTACTTTTTTTACAAGAATTAGGCACAAATTCCTTAAAGTGGACTAAAATAATGTTGGATATTCATTCGAAACAAAAACCTGATGAGTATAAACAAACCATTTCTACTCGTCCATATAAATTAGGATTTTAATAAAAAATAATAATAATAATAAAATAATATCACATTAATGTCTGAATTAATATAGAGAAGAAACACATATAATGAGAAAACAGAACTTCATCTCTAATTATTTTTTAAAAAATTTGAAGTAAACACACCACCTTCATAGTTCCAATCTAATACTAATACACGCTTACAGAAGTATTGTAATATCTTAAAATAATTATATAATTTTTTTTAAGAATATAAACAAGAAAATATGTAAAAGATAAAATGAACAAAAGTGAATTGAATTGAGATATAAATATATGCTCAGCATATATTTATCTTAGGCCTACAGCAGTAATATAAAAATATAGTCTTGCTACATCACTTTTAGCGTTGTTTCTAGTACACACATCACTCTTCTTGAAAAAACTTTTGATTAGTATTGTTAAAAAAAATAAATCGGCAAATATAAATAAATTAAAATCAAACTTAGATTCGGAGAATGCCTCAAGTCCTTCAAACAGAAATGTTACATGGATTTGTTCTTATATTAACAATTCACTAGACCATATTATCTTATAACTTGGGTACAAATACTGTTAGGGATAATTCACCAATCTATTTATGTAAAGTGACATGAGATGTTTGACATACAAATCATCTTTTAAATAATAATACAATATTTAATAGCTTAATATTCAGTTGAATCCTAACTAGCTGAATTTAATTCGAAAAATAGCTGTATTTTTTTGTTGTATTAAAGCTGTCAATTTCATCAGAAACTTTCTGTACATAGAATAAAATTCATAAATACGGAAACAGGAATTAAACAAACTAAGACACAGACTCTCTTCATGAAAAGTATCCCAGACCACTTAAAATAAAGTTAAAATAAATTCTATGTCTCATAATAAAAGAGGAGACCGTACAACAGAAAACAAAATTTTGAGTTGTTTATTAGGCAAAAAATATATAAATTTTAAAATTAATTATATAATGTAATTTGTATAATTTTATGATAAAACATGCCATACACCGTTTGATTTATTTTTGTTTCAACAAAAAAATCCTCTGATCCAAAAAATTTAATAGTAATAGTTTTTGGTAAGGATTAATGTATTTCCCTTCTATAAACTTTCTTCAATAACGATTCAACTGCATTTCATTATTAATTAAGGGTGATAAAAATCAATAAGCCACACTATATTAAAGATAAAAATGTTATTATGGGTTAGATTGATTTAGGTAATTCATTATGTAAAGAAATTCGATAAAAAATAAAATTAGAACAAATCTCGTAAGGCACCAGCAAATTAGAAATCGAGTGTAACTTATTATAAATACCTGCCAATACATTAAAAATCTATTTCATTATTGCTTTGTTATTAATCTGGAAGATCAAAAGGACAAAGAAAGAGAAAAAAATTATATCATCAATTAAATACTGATACCAAATTCCATCCGTAAATATCTATATAAATATTTTTAATACTTTTGCTTCAGAAAATTACCTAAATGGCTTTTACTAATCAAAATACTTTCTTTTTCTTGCTTTAAACATTTAAAAATTATTTATAGTACAGAGCAAAAATATTTTGTCCAATAAATTTTCAAATATCTGCCTTAAATGTAACATATATTTATATGTACATATACTTTAAAGAAATTTCCCACTATTACCTTGGTACTGTTTTCTCCAATATAAGGAGATATCACAGGATGCTACATAACATGTAAAAATAATAAGATAAATATTTCGAATATAGGTAAACGTAGAAATGATAAATACTATTCACAACATCAATCAGTTGATTTGAATTCAAATAAAGAAAATAAGTTAATATAAAAAATAAGTACCATTAGAGGTAATAATAATAAAACATTGATAAGTTATAACATAAGGCTGACATGAAACAGCTGTCGAACTGATTCATGATCGACCTGAAAACAAGCGGAATAAGAAAAGTAATGATTGATATATTCACACTTAATAGAACGTCAAAGTCATGGCACATAATAATGATTATAAATGCAACGATTGCGTTACTGTTAAGTGAAGAGGAAAACCTCAAACATGGTAAAAGACGTGATTATAAATATGAAGAGATGAACGTGTCAAGTGCTTATAAAAAGAATACATAAATCGGAATACCATTCACTATTCTGACCATTTTTTTTTTTTTTTTTTCAGATACTGAAAAACAAAACAGATATATATTTTACTATAAAAATAAATAAAAAAATCAATCTCCATGCAAAATACAATATTCTGAGAAGCAATCAGTCTTAAGGAAATTTCATTCATAGCCAGATAGACAAAAATCTACTTATCTACTGAAGAAATAAACTTAAGACAGAGTAGGTTGAATGGTGCCTTACTCAGGGAATGAATCTCGACTTTCCCACTCCGGTTAGAACAGGTTTGGCTATGCCTCTAGAACAACACCCCGTATGTCAGAAATGGCGAGGTAGAGGCAACAAGAGGAAAAAGAAAACATCACGAAGCCGTTTAAATTATAGAGCATAAAGTTTTAAAACTGACAAAGGTATATTTCTATTGTACGACTTAGACGTTCCTTAAGTGTGTAAGAAAAGGGTAAATATAAAATTAAATACAGATCAAGAAAGCAAAACATTGTGTTTAATACATCAACATCATAGTTGAAATACTTCATCAGACTTGGACACATAATTCAAATAAAAATCCATTCAATAACGAATAATTAATATTTTGTTTAAGTTCTTTGTTATTCTATTGATAAGTTATTTAAAATATTTATCATTCATTGTTCATTTAAACACTTTTTTAAAAATTTAAATAACAAAAATTATTTGATTTATTCATCAGTTTTTAAATTGATGAAACAGCAACAAGCAATAACTCTATTTTTCTAAACTTTTCACAAAACAAAATTATTTTTTTTCAAAACTACTTCCCCTACTCCACAACTCTCAACTATATCATTATTACAAATAAGTTATATCAAGATGCCAACTGATTATTATGCCTGTTGGTTATACTGTCAATAACAGAACATTGACTTTTTTTTTTTTTGTTTTCAGAAAACTGACTAGAACAACTTACCAGAGCAAGAAAATTTGAATAAAGAATGTCTTAATTCATTTAGGACAAAAAATTGAGTTATAAATAGCATGTAGCTGTTTCACTGATGAAACACACAATTTAAACTAGAAGAAATTTACTTAAAACAGGGAAATTTAATAAGATTTCATTTTTTTTTCAGCATTTGTCATTCACAAATAATGAATAACAAATGAGATAAATAAAACCTTATATATATATATATATAATTTTCAAAATAAATAACAACTACATTTATAATCAATAAATTAATTAAAAATAACATTAAACATAAATTTACTTTTTTTTCATCATTCAAAACAAAATTTGCCCAAGTCTGATAAATATTAAAGTTAAGTACTAAGAAAAAAAAATTGAACTTTGCACAAAATGATACCAGGTTAATATGAATATATTTGGCTGATTGGTTAACAATATGTGAATCAATCCATGCAATTGATGTAAAAATTACAGGAATTAGAATTAGAATTAGTTAAAAAGAATTATAAAATATTTTCATCAACTTAAAATAAATATTGCTGGCCTTTTATTTTATTACCACAGGTCACATATAATTAATAAAAAGAAATATAATCGCACAACTCCTCAATCAACTAATTAATACACAAAACGAAAATTGAAACACCCTGTGAACTATAAAAATTAAAAACATTTAAGTCAATAAGAATGTCCTAATAATACTACCTCAAGTATATTTACAAATACAGCGTTTATTGTGCTCATGGATGGAGAGCATAATGGGAATATTTTATAATTACTATACGAATAAAGTTATTATCAAAATATACTCTACAATGGCCAGAATATTTCAATCGTATCATCAGTGCTTCCTCTTTGAAAATCCAAAAACTAGAATAAACGGAAGCATATAGAGGCATGAAAATAATTAAAAATGAAAAACTTTGCTAATCGAAATATGCATAATATGAATGGGTAAATAGTGAAACGTACAATGGAATATAATTAGTAACAATTTTATCTTTGATCCACTATTGTTATTCTAATATTTGTTTAATTTTAATTTTTTTTTTTTAAGCAAAATAATTATTATATTATTCATAATGTTCATCAAGACAAAACTATTAACAAATGAAGTCAAACATTTATTTTTTGGAACAATTTTGTTATTGTATATTTCTCATTTAAATAAACATCATACCTACGATAATTTAAAAAATATATATATAATCTTTAGTGTTATTTTTATTTTTTATTAATATTCATGGATGAATTAAAAAAAAAAAAACTGAAATACGTTAATATTTAATACTTAATATAATTAGAACATTAATAATTAGAACATTTTTGTATTTCAGCTTCACAATTTTGTTAACAGAGGTGAGGGAACAGAAAATGATTTTTTGCCATATTTGAAACATATATATTTTTAATTAAAAAATGAGCTTTTAAAATCCAAAATGTAAATGAAGTGTTAAGTCAAGTAACTAACTACCTTTTTAATTCACAACTATTTTATATTAATCAAAAAAATATTCAAAACCCTATTCACTAACTATGAGCCAGAACCGAATATAGTTTTAACTATTTTTTTATTTATTTTAAAATTAATTTTAAAATTAAAATAACTAACAATTGTTTCGACTCTATGATAAATTCTTTTTTTTAAAAAAAAAGAATATTTAAAAAATGGGTGTCTCTGGTCACAATTACATTTAAATATCTATTCCTTCGTAAAGTTAATTGAAAAAAAAATAAAATAAAAACCACCTACCCTGTGTAGGTCATAAGCCCTTAAAAAGTAAGTTTGTTATATAATTATTGTCATTGAGGTTAGAAATAAAAAAAATGATATAAAAAAGAAAAAAATATACTAGATTTTTGGAGTGACTAACAGAAAATGAAATAATAAATTTATTTGCAATAATTATTTCTTTTTCACAAAATGATATTTTAGAACGATTTGATGGCATTTAAGCTAAGGGTACCAACCCACATAGCACATGTTTTGAGAAAACTCAAATTAACATTAAACGGGATTGGAAAATCTGATAGCTTTTAAATAAGTTATTTCGATTTTTCATTGAAAATGCCTGAAACTAAAGATGATAATTATCGGAAGATACCTGGACCTCACTCAAGTTGGATTTTTTTTTTGTTGAAATTAGTAAGCACTTTTCCCATTAAAAAACACCTTTAATTTAAAATTAATCAATACTATTTCCATTAAAAAACATCTCTACCTTCTTTTAGCATATTTTGTGAATTAATTCCCTTCTGAAAAATTTCCATCTAATAACTATTACATAACAGTCACATAAAATTGTAATTAGCTACAATGATTAAATAAAAAACATCAAAAAAATATCAATTTAGTGTATCAATAGATTCCAGCATCTACTTATGCTTTATGTATAACAAGTATTAGCTATTATACTATTATTTTGAATTAATTTAACTTTTAGTTCATTAAAAAAAAAAAAAAAAAAAAAAAAAAAATGATATACTATTTCGTACCTATACATTTATAGAAGTAATGTAAAGGGTTTAACGTTTAAAGGTGCATTTGTAAAAAACTTAAGTTACAATAATATAAAAAGATGAGACAATATGAATAAGAAAAATTTTAAATGAAAAATAATGTTCAACAAACCGGAAATATTAATTCAGTAAATACGATTAGGATAGTGATATAGCATTTAAAAGTTACCTAAATGTTTATATAATTATAAAATTGATAAAGCCAAATTATAACTGTCTGAAAATAATGAATATAAATAAAAAGAATGAGAGTAATTTTACTTTAAAAAGTATTTTATTTATTTTAGAATATTGGGACGCAAATTCTCTTTGAAAAATAAAATCTCCTATAAAATTTTATTAATCTTGAGTTAAAAATTTTATTTAAAGTTCCAGAGTTCCATATTAAATTTGGCAAAAATTTATACATAAAAATCTACTTATCTTTTGAATTTATATGAAATTTTATTTTCTTAAAAAAATATAAACAATCTGTACATTTCACTATACACATAGATTATAAATACGTTACATTTTTTAACCCCAAGAAATAAACTTTTTAAATAACAAATTGAAATATACCAGGTCTTTCTTAGTTTTAACGAGTAAAAAATTTTAAAAGGGCTAATTTATAAAATGCGTACAATAAACATCTAAGTTTCATAATAAAATCTGGCAGCTCTGGGTAAAATAAAAACTAAGCGGAAGTAAAACAGACACTACAATTTCAGTAAATGGACATTAAAATAATAACAATAAAAAACACAATACTTATGCGGCCTCGCTTGGCTCTCAATGATGGAACGAGAGGAAACAGTCGTATCGGTATATACAAATGGAGAATAACTCGCTACAAGCTTTCTCCTATTTCGCTAACGTCCTCAACTCCGGGAGCAGCCAGCTGTCCCCGGGGAAGTTGACCTCAGTGACTTTTTGCAGCCTCTTTTGCGGCCATTATCAGCGGAGTCAATGTAGCCAGCGGCCTCGACAACTTCAAGAATGGATGCTGGAAAAAAATAAATATAAAAAACATGTTTCACAGTCATGATACATTCAATCTAAAGAAAACATAACACATTTTCTTTATTTCTTGACATATTTTTGACATATTGTTTCCTTACAATAATATAAATGCACATTAGTAGATCAGTAATGAGAACTAAATATTTTAATTTTAAATTCCTCTTCATTTCTCTCCCAAATATTTTTTTTTATGCAGTCAGAAAGATACTCACGATCAGGACACTATGAGAGTTCTCACAGTTTTTGTAAGTTTTGACTTTAGGACGTTTTATTAATACATATAAGTGGTAATAGAAACCTCTAATAAAATATATATACATATTGTTTAAAAATGTAAACCATATGAAACATAAAAATCAAGAGAATCCAAAATAAAGATGTGGAGAAACTTACTTTAAGAAGTTCTGATGCTGATGCTCTTAAGTCGACTTCTACTTCAAGGCACTGATCCAGGAAATCCTGAAATATCTGAGAAAGTTTTTCTTTTTCCTTTATTTCGGGTTTCCCATTTGTTGCAATTAGGTACAATGCCTGTAATAATGTAAAGTTAATTTTGATTAATTAAATAAGATAAAGAAAACTGGTGAATAATTTTGGTTCTTAAGCAAATAGTTTTTTTTAGGAGGGGAGAGATTATTTTTTAGCATTAAAAATTTAATTAGCAAGTTAGCTTCGGCTACAATATTCGTCTTGATTTTGGTCGTGATTGTTCCTAATTTTGCCTATGTTATGAAGTCTCTAGAGTGGTCTTTTTAAAAAATATTTGAATAGGAGTTGGATAGATGTAAAGATAAATGCAAATGTAAATAATCATTATATCTTATATTTACCGGGGACGGTGACCGCAGCTAACACGTTAAATAATAAAACTTTAATATGTTCCTTTGCCTTAACCGTCATACATCCATTCCACTCCAAATTGATCTATAGTAGGTTGATGTATACCATAAAAGCATTGATTTGAAGTTTTAATATTAATAAAATACATAGTCTCAAACAAAAATTTAAATACAAAATATATCTATAAATTAAGCAAATGGGTCACAACATTCCAATAAATATGAATTTGTGGACAGTACTTCTGGAGACTATAAAGTTGTTATGACTGTTAAGTATAGAAAACACATGAGAAAGTAAAAATTAAATAAATGGGTTTATTTTTCAATGAATATGCAATACAAAAAATATCATTTAAACCCTTTTTTTAACATCATTATTTAATTATGATTAATATTCTACATATATTTTTTAGTAAAATGTCAAGGGATATATGTAACTGAATTTGTTCATATTTTTTTCTGTTAAGAATCAATATCTGTCAGACACTAGCTTGACATTCAATCCATAATTTGTTAACACAGATAATAAGCAAATAACTCACCCTCAAAGGATTTTCATTAAGATAAGGAGGTTCCCCTTCGATCATTTCTATCGCCATAATTCCAAGGGACCAAATATCTACTTTTGGGCCATACTGTTTCCTAGTTACTACCTCAGGAGCCATCCAGTAAGGAGTTCCTACCATAGTTGTCCTTTTCGACTGTTCAGGAGAAATTTGGGCACAAAAACCGAAATCCGCTGAAAAAGTGAAAATTTAAATTTATCATCAACATTAAAAAATAAATAATTATTATATTTATCATCTAATATGTATAACTAGCTATAAACATCTGACATTGCACTAGAGTTGATATCTAAAAAACTAAATGTTAAATCTCTATAAAAATACCCTAACATTTATAATTTATTTTAATAAACTTGAAATAAAAACACCTGATTAATAATATTAATTAATATTTGACCTAAATAAGTTAAATTTTATCAAAACTGAAGTGTTTTTTTTTAATTGGCCCTAATAAAAGTTTTTTAATACATATGTTACAGTCAAAGAATGAAATTAGGTAAATTTGGACATTCCCTTATGATTTTTAACATTCACCAAGTCATTTGGAGTAGTCTAAAATAATTTATTGTCATCTTCTCTGTAATTGACCTAAAATATCTGACTTGTACTAAAATAGCAAACTCATGATAGTGGATTGATTGATGGTCGACTGTAGTGAATAATTGAAATGAAGATGGTTGGTGTGTCAGTTAAAATAAATAAGTATATTTATTATTTGTATATATTTATTTATTTTTGCATTTTTTTTTTTACTGATCAACCCAACTATCTTCTAAGATAGTTAACCATAGAATTAAAAAAGTGAACCATGTCTTATTACATAAAACGATAATACTTTTCAAAGTCTGTAACTTAGTTACAAGATATTGCATATGGACGAATATTACTTGGTCGAAATTTTAATTACTCAAAATTTTTAAGATTGGTATGGATTTATGTTCTTTCCCATACTATGAAAAACCATGGCTGAATTGATACAGCAAACCATTCCTGAGGAAAGTTATTTTTATTTTATACTGCTCCTAAAATATTTTTATTTTTGTGGTCAAAAACATTAATATATTAAAAAAACGTTTACAGGAGCTTCTAAGGTCACAGAAATAGGAATATTAAGTCATATTGTCGATACAAATGCTATCGCATATGAAAATTTTCAATCCTGCACTGTAGCAATTGTAATTAAATATTTTCAAAGAGAGAATACAAAATCTTCAAACATTCATAAAAGGAAATATTAGTATGAAAACATTTTAAATATGTTAAACATCCTCATTATTTGGGCTGAATTGATAATGATATAAGAGTAGTGATTTTCATAGTCGATAGATAGCATTTGTATTGATGATATTGGATCACTTCTACACTGGAAGGTAGAAGTGATCATCGAATAAGAAAAAGATATCATCACCTTTTAAATCTGTTATGCATCAGAAATAATTATTAATACAATTAATTATTATAACAAATTTATGGCAACCTTAAAATTTTAAATTATATATTTCCAAAACCTAAAACAATGTCAAAATTTTTCATTTTTGGGTTCCAACAAAATCAATCGATGAATTTTGAAAAGACAAAAATTCTGTCCTTTACCGATGTTTTTTTGTATTTGTCAATAACCTCTAAAGAATGTGAGAATATTGATCTCCATCTTTAAAATTAGCAAGATATAAAACATTAATCATACCTAAAACAAAATTCTAAATGATCTCAAGAATTCAATGCATTTATCTCATAAAATAAAACTTGCACATGTGCTTTAGACCACACTATAGAAACAAAAACATCAAAAATAGGAAATATAAATAATAAATAATAGCTCATTATAAAGAGGGTAAAATAATGGCAAAGAGGATGAAATGACGAACATTTCCTTCGCTAAAAATATGCAGATCCAATTTTTAGTTTTTGAGATATTTTAATCCATATGCAAAAACACTTCAGTTAATCGACTCCAGCCGAATTTATCCGAGCATTACACATCAGACATCTGATAGCTCTCTTAAATCTCAATCTAATTCACTATCCACAAAAAAATGTGCAAAACACGCTAAAAGTTTTCACTTAAAATATTTATTTATTTCTTCATCAATAAACTTACTTAATTTGACGCTTCCATCAAGACCTAGCAAAATGTTATCTGACTTAATATCTCTATGAATGACTTGATTACAATGTAAAAATTCTAAAGCTTGAAGCACTTCCCGACAGACAGACGCAATTTGACCTTCGTCCATGCATGTTTCAGTTACGACATCAGTCAACGAACCTCCGGGTAAGTATTCCATAACAACCTAAGACAGACAAAAAATATTTAATCAATAAAAAGTCATTTTATTAATAAATATATTTTAGAATTACCGAATAAACACAAAGAAAGGAAATTTAAAGAATACTTAATAAAAAATCTTAAATATTAGTTCTCAACTTTCTCATAATAAACAGCCTTCATATCAATTAAATTTCAGGTACTTACCCAGAGTTCTTCAGCTACAAGATAACTATCTAAATAATTTACGACGTTAGGATGTTTGTTCTCCCTCATCACAAGAATTTCATTAATAATAAGCTCTTTCTTTGGCTGCTGAGATAAATTCATTTGTTTAATGGCTACTTCCATTCCAGTTGATGCTTCAATTGCGGTGTAAACAGTACCAGATGCTCTATGCAAGGAAAAATAATAAAATTAACAAAAAGAATAATTTAACTAATATACTAATTTTGAAATTTTATAACTAATTTATTAGATTCAATGAATCTGAATAAATAAGAAAAAATTTATATTATTTATTTAATTATAACATACAGAATATAAACAAGTTTATATGAATAATATAAATTACAGAATAAAGCTCTTTTATAATTTTTAAAATAGATAAAAAAAAATCATTTACCTATTACTAATGAAATACAACCTAAAATTAGAAATATATTGAGTTAATTACTATCACCTATCACCTTATTGGAATGTAATATTTAAAAAACTAAACTCATAGGATGAAATGAAAACTTAAAATAAAAAATAATTGAAAAAAAAAAAAGTTACCTCCAAATTAAATTCACTTAAATCTGATAAGCATATACAAAAATTCAGCCAAACCAGTTGTACTTATAAATAATTATGACTTCGAAATAATCTTTCAAATTAACAAAAAAAAAATTTCAATTGATTCGTTTATTTCAAAGTGAACATTCATTGTCAAATTTTCAGAAAACACAAAAAATTATACTATCTATTCTAATTGTAATATCAAAAACAAAGTTTCTTTAAATAATAAATTAAGAAATTCTTTATTTGCTGAACATATTTCCAAAAATCACTGAATACTTTAGTAATAATTAAAACTTAAACTTTTATTTTAAGAATTTTTTTCCAAAAATGTTTCACAGAAACTGTTAAAATGGAACTTTTTCCTAGAAAGTTTCACAGAACAGTTAAAATAGAAATTTTAAAAAATTTTCAACTTCTGTATTCCAAGAGAATTCATTAGGCGTTTTTAAATAGGAATAGACACGTATTTCCATTTTTAAAATAGTTTATTAAATTTCACTTATAAGAAATAAGCAACTCAATTGTATCTAATTAGAACTATATATAATTATAAATTATAAATAAAATGAAAAATATGCTTACCCTTGACCAATTTTCTCCATCTTAGTGTATTTACGATTAGGATCACCTACAGTAACTATTGTCCTTAGCCGATCTAAGATTTCATCATCAGTCAATTTTTTCTTCCGAACTGCAGCAGGAGTATGAGGCGTGGTAGAAGAAATGGCAGGGCTGACAGGAGTCGGGGTAGGAATTGTATTATTCTTGTTTCGGTCCAACAAAGCTGGGGCAGGTGGTGGTATTGTAATAGAACCATTGGTTGCACGTACTGGTGTAGTGGGAATATCTTCAATAGGTTTTGTATACTATAGAAGAAAAATGTCAAATAAATATCAACAGAAAAATCTTAAAAAATAATGAGATAATTTAATTCATTTGTTAAAATAAAGCAATTCATAAATTACTAATATAATAACAATAAAAAGCTTAGCAAGTCCAAAGGTTCGATGCCGACAACACTAATTTCTTTCTATACACCTCCCTCCCTCTACTGGTCGAAACCCAACCCTTATCAGATCAGCCTTAATGCAATCCTTCCAACAATTTTTACGCCCCCATTTTAATCGTCGCAATGTAATCACCTCAATTATATTAACCAGATACAATTTGTTGTGTAGCTGTCTAAATTCTCCCGTAGACTCATCTCTCTTCATTCCAAATATTCTACACAACTTATTTTCAAAACCTTTAAGACATTGCTCATCCCTTAATATAAGCCACATTTCTCATCCATAGAGAACCGTAGATAGGATAATGGTTTTGTAAATTCTAATTTTTAAGTTTCAAGTTAAGGCACGAGTGAAGTAATTTTGTCACAGAAAAATAACAAGAATTTCCCACCTTCAACCTTTTCATGTTATCATAGACCCCTAGATATCTAAATTTCTCTACATGTTCAAACACATTCCCTTTTATATCAGTACCACCGAAATTGTCGCTGTTTGTGCAACATAATATGTTTTGTCTTAACCGTATTTATTTTGAGACTAAGTTCTTTAACAGCCTCTATTAATGTTGTCGTATTTAGTTTTATAGTTTCTGTTTCTTCGCTAGATAGAACCAAATCATCAGCATAACCAAGCATGGATTCAAACCTTTTTTGGTAGATTTTACCCCCCTAATATTTATACATTTTACTCTGGCATGTTCTAATGTTAAATTAAACGGAACAAGTGAAAGAGAATCAACTCGTCTTAAACCTGAACAAACCTCAAACTTTTCAGATAAATAATTACTGATTCTAACTTTATTGAACATTTCTGTTAAAACATCTTAACTAGATTTGCTAATTTCTTTTTTCTGCTCAATTAGAATATTATACAGAAATTACTAATAAAAGACAGCAAAATCTTTATCAAGTTGATTGAAGAAGAGGAGAAGTAGACAAAGATGAGCATAAAAGACAGATAAAAAAAATGAACAATGGTATAGCTTTTATCACAGGAAAATAATATAATATGGTAATAAAGTATCATATTGGATATTTAATAGTTGACCGTTGCATTATAAAGGAAGGAGATGGTCCGGAGTGGTGGTCATAAATAGGCTAAATATTGGCAAAACTACTTTATTAAAAGCCAATGTTTTGACTGGACTTTGCAGGTCTTCTTCAGGGAGGTGTGTTCAGCTAGGAGTTTCACTTAAAACTCAAAACTACTTCAGTTCTAAGTGAAACTCCTAGCTGAACAAACCTCCCTTTTTATTTTATTTTTTTTTTTTTTTTGTTCCTCCCTACCTTGCCTTTTAGGCTATACGGGATTTTCCTGGGCTGGAGGGTAAGGGCGGGGAATTTAAAATCCCCTCCGACACCGGGATGCGAACTCGTACAATTTTAATTTTCTCAAATATCTTATCCGGTTGCCAGGCAACTTGCGGTGCAGTGCACACGCTTTAGCCCGTTCGGCCACCCCGCTCCCCGAACAAACCTCCCTGAAGAAGACCTGCAAAGTCGGGTCGAAACGTTGGCTTTGAATAAAATAGTTTTGCCACTATTTAGCCTATTTATGACCATCATCCCAGACCATCTCCTTCCTTTGTAATAAACTTTCAAAAATAATCACTAGAAATTAAGTTAAATTCAGGTAGTGTTTGATTTTGAAATAAAGATTCATCAAATGAATTTAAATCACTTTCCATAATACCTAGGATACTTAACTGTAGAGCCCTAAAAAATACATAGATACATCATTTTCTTCCTTTGATTTTTTAATAATCTTCTATTAAATTATATTTAAAAAATGACAAATGAATATCAGAAGTTCATTTTAAGTTATCAGACTAAATTTAACACTGCAATTCAATACAATAATCATGCAAATAATTAATACAATAATCATTTGAAAGTACTAACGATTGATTTTGTCCTTTCAGGCCTGGGCGGAGCAGTAGGAGGAGGTGGGTCATCTTCTTGCTCCGAGGAAGTAGAGGTACCAGTTGCCGATGCAGGGAGGTAGGTATTTGGTTCTGTGTCTGGAGTAGACGAAGATGAAGGTTGCGACAAGGACTGTGATTGAGCAGAATTTTGCCTCACAGCTGTCCGCAGGGATACTTCTAGCCCTACTTGTCCACCTACTCAAAAAATATTTAAAAAAATCATATTTCAAACTTCAAAAAATGTAAAAATAAATAAAATACTGATGATACCTAAGAGAATAAATATCTTAACTTAGAAACCAAGTTACAGTATAGAAAATACAACCAATTAAACATTTTATAACAAGATATATTTATTTTTTAAGTTAATTGGATGGCATTTAACAGAAGGGAGCCAATCGACATTGAATATGTTTTGAGTGAACTCAAGTCACAAATTAAATGACCTTGCAAAATCTGGAAGCTTTCAAAAAAGTATATTTTCTTGTTTGTTCCAAATCTTACATTTTAAATTTTATCAAACCCAAAATATTGCTATTAAATTAATAAATTGATCAAAACTAACTAGTGTTTGTTTTTTTTTTTATTAGTACTATTATTTTTTTTAAATATAATTATTAAAATTTAAAGCAAGAGATCTTAAAAATAATACATTGAGCTTAATAAAAATTACTTTTTTGAGGGCTTTTATTGAGCCACACACTTCAAAAAAAATTAATTTAATCAATCTTTTAGTTTGAATGATGAAATGAGGAATGTTTTATATTGCTTATTTAACTTTATCAGGACAGGACAATTTTTAAGAAAAGTCTAAATGAAAAGGTGAATTAATATAAATGATGATCTGTAAAAAACAATTTTATTCATATGTCTAAATAGTTATCTCTAAGCTAATTGTGATTTTTTCCATATGGAAAATCATCCATGATGATGGATCAAGAACCTGAAACATCGACAAGGGAGCAAAACTAATAAATAAATTATTTAAAATTGAAAGAGTTAGGTTTCCTTCAAATAAAACCCACATATCATCGGTTTATTAAAAGAAGTCATCAAGTGATGTAACCATGAATTACTATGTAATTTCTCGCCTTTACCGTAAAATATAATTGATGTTTTACTATAAATTTAATATTTATATAAATATTTAATATTTAAACATCATACATAAATGATCCGTAGTTGGAACATACTCTATTGATCAAAATACAAGAAAGTATTATTATCAACATTATATTTATTATCAATAATAATTATAATAGCTTAATATAAAAGACTTCAAAGGGAGAAGAGTATTTACCTATCATCTTGGTGGTGGTCATGAATTTCGATCTGACCTCCTTGCTTGAATTGTCGAACCAGTTGAGGACATCTAGCACAGCCTGAGGATTCTTCTTCTGTTCTTGCTTGCTGATATTGGAATTCATGAGTAACCGCGCCCATGCTTCTGGCATACCCTGGGGGACATACAGGTGGAAAAATAAATAATTGATCTTAATAATTAAAAACAAATCAAATAAGTTTTCTAAAATAAGGTATGACAGATTGGACACATCATGTATCTTCATTGCAAGAATATGTATTTTAAACAAAAAATAATTGTTTCTGCCTACTGCTAAAGAATCTTAACTAATTTTTTAAATAACAAATACAATTTAAAAACCTCAAATATAGGAAAAAATATATGAATAAAACAACCAAAAGAAAATTAAACGTGCCTAAATAATTTTTTTTTATATATAATTCACTCTTCTCATCACTACAAGATAAGGGAAGTTTTGGAATTGCATCAAAAATTTGTATGTGCAGTTTAAAATGGATCTTTTGTGCTTTAGAGCCACCTGAGTTGAAAAATACATTTTTAGCTATTTTTCTATCTGTTAGTGAATGTATGTCTGTGCAAATTTTTCTAGAATCGGTAGGAAAGTCATTTGAGTGGACCCACCAGATATACCGTTATTGGTTTACTTATCTTCATATCTAAAAAAAATCCCTGAATGAATCAACAAATTTATGGCTTATGTAATCATTAAAAATTGTTAAGAAAAATTAACTGAATTTTAACAACAAGCAAACAATATTTCATAGGAATAATTTAACTTTTGAAATACGAAGTATTAAATATCCACTATTTCATTCAATTACATGTTTTCATAACCCAAACAATACAATAACTATTTGAATAAATTATGACATCTGACAATTTATATGTTCAACACCTTTTCCTGTTTCTGTGTTATGTTTTAAGGCCTTAACGTAATTGTAAGTGTTTCATGTTTTACTGTAAACAATAATTATTAAGGTTAACAGTAAGATGATTCAATTAGATAAATACATCAATTAGAAGGATATTAGAGAAATATATTAACTTCAGACAAAGAGATCAGCTAACTTAGGAAGCTATAATTTTATTTTATTGATTTCAATAAACATTAATGTTTTTAATAGAAATAAATGTTAACATTTTACTATTCCTACATTTGTCAAATACATTATTTACACTTCTAAATAAGTGCATATTACTTTTAACTGAGGGATTACAGGATTATTAACCTACATTTACGTGCAATGGGGATTGAGGTTATTCAACGGAATATTATGATGGTTTATATGACCCATCCTCATGCTATTTGAGTATTAACGGAATTTAATATGAATGAAAACATGATATACTATAAATTCACCACAATAAATTTATTCACCTACCATTGAATATAATACAATTATCTTCAAAATATTAAGTATATTTTAAATATTAATGTTATCTATTTTTCCTTAATTTAATTTAATATTAAGTTTCTCTATATTTTTAATGTTAATATTCTCTATTTAGTCAGTTTATTTGCCAATTTTATTTATCAACCCATTGAAGCCAATGAAAATATTCATACCAAGCAAGTAATTCACGGAAGCAGTGATTGTTTCAAAAATACTGCATTATAATATAAATAAAAAACTAATGGTTTTATTTGGATTTTTATTAGTACAATGAACAATCATATAATTTCGAATGTATAATAACCTCAATAAATTGAACTTTATTATTGAATATTAAATAAAGAACATTACTTGTACAAGTACAACACTGTTTATGCACATGTTACAAAAAGAGGTTGATAGGAATGTCAATAAAAGATTAATATTTGAACTAGCTTTATACATAACTATTTTAAGAAGTGATAATTAACATACTTACCCTTTTTTTTTCCTTTATTGAGATATATAATAAAAAACAACTTTCCTATTACTACAAAGAGATGTGCTGACAAAAGTTAAAATGAAGTATTTATTTTAAGTATAGCATGAAATGTAAAAAGACAAAAAAAACTTTTTCTTAATGATAACCATCTAAACCAGCTGTATATTAAAGCATTTTCCTTTGAAGAGATTCAACACAAATGCACAAACATGCACTTTTACATGCTATTATGCATATCATTGAAGAACATGTAGCATTTATCAACAGTACTAATTAAAATACATGGAGAAATGAGTGATTACAATGTCAAAGTGAAAAGATAAATGAAGACTGCAAAAAATAAAATAAAATCTGAATATCAGATTAAATTTTAAAACCCTGTAGGTACATATTTTCCTCCAACAGGAAAGCAAAAACCTATATTTTTTATTATTTTTTAAATATATATTTTTGTAAAAATATATAGCCTTCCCTAATTTAAATGGTTTCACTCTTTCTCCTCATAGAGAATGAACATACTGAGAAGTAATTGTCAAGATGAGAGATACATCCTGCTGGGAAAGAATACATTCGAAAAGTCAAATCATTCATCTATCTATCGGTACCCAAGAGTTAACCGTCAAAATAATATAGAGGAAGAAATACTTCTATTTCTAATATTTCACATATTTCTAACGAATCACACATCTTTTGCCCTCCAAAAGCAGTTAAGAAGTAATGCATTAGGCAGGGATACAAAAACAAGAATATATATAAGACTCTTATCCGACTGATCCTTATATATGGTTCAGAATTCCTATGATTAAATCCCAGGAAAAGGTTCTTCACAGGAAGGTGTTAATAAGAATATACGGTGGTGATTATGAATAAGGCACGTGTAGAAGGAGCAATGATGCAGAATTAAGAGCCATATAATGTAGATCTTGATGTATGCACCTTAATTAAGCTATCAAGGATTTGTTGAGCGGGACATATTACCAGGATGGAACCAAATGAAATCCCACATGACATCTTGTTAAAGTGTATATATGGCAAAAGAAGAGTTGGAGTCTAAGCTTCACTGGGAGGACAGGATAGCTACCAATATAAGGTCTCTGCTGGCTAATGGGTGGAAGAGAAAGAAGAAGAAAAAGAAAACTTGAGAGCAGTGGGATAAGTAGCCCCCAAGAAGAGTACAACGGAAAGGAATCAGCTAGACCATGCTTTTCTAATATCAAGAAAGGAAACTTAAAGAAAACCTGAATAGCGGAGGTTAATTCGTCCATATTAGAAACAATCTTACAGATGGTAGAGATCTCCAACATAAAAAAAATTCAATATTCAAACAATGCTTTTAAGATTAATTGAAGAACTTACAAACAGTTTTGATGTTAAAGAAAAGAACAAATGATTTTGAAACAATGAAAAAAGCTCATATTTCAGAAAGAAGATAAGTCGAACCAATTTTTAAAATGCCTTAAAAAGAACTTTTCACTCTAAAAAACTTTCTCCTCAAAAAAAAAAAAAAGATCAACAAATAAAACAGAAATTATATACTTTTTGTAATATTTCAAATCATTTTCATAATTTTTATTTTACTTTTTATAATTAAATTACATTTTGCTGTCACTTCATCCATAATAAACAAATTTAAAATGTAATGAAATCATGAGATCTAATAAAAATTAGAACTTTAACATTCAATGGCATAGAAACAATATAAATGAATATACACATATATTATTACCTAACATGAATATATAAAAGGTGCCATATTAGTGCTGAGTTGTGCTCATCAATTTAACATACAAGCAAATAAATAAAATACATAAATAAGCGATGCAAAAAAGCACAACAAAAAGTGTACAGTGTGAAAACTAAATCACAAGTCATCACAAATTCTCAGACAGAGAAAAGTATTTAGTAATATGAATAGTGACACATCGAAAAGACAGAACGTTAATAGCGGTTTACATGCAAGTCAACAATTTACTTACTTTCAGCGGCAGCTTGGAACAGAATAAAACAAAACTATTGTATACATTCTGCATTGTGGCCGAACAATAATCCAAATGTGGTTACAAATAGTGCAAAACATTCCATATATGGAGCAGTGATACTTCACACACTCCACATTATCTTCTAACTAAGTTGTACAAAACCACAATTTAAATTTGAACCAAAACCGTAGCAAATTAAGAAAACATAAAAAATTATACTTTTTTTTAAATATATAAAATAGGAATATTTAAAAAAAAATAATACATAGATTTAAAATTTTTACAAAATTCAAATCAAACATTACATTAGTACAATATCACTAAAAAATTGTATTGCTAATAGAAAAATAATAAGTACACAGTTTAATCAAACACTATGATCTTGTGTAATGCAAAGATATTTATAGTCATATGGAATAAGTTGGTAAAGCAATTATAAATTTTAAAATAAAAAAAATATAGTAATAATAAATAATAAATTTTAAAAGGCTTTTCAGCTCCTATAATTTTAGGTTTACTTTTATAAATACTATTTTTGGAAAAAAATTATAGTTCAAAACACATTCCTAATAAAATAAAATAAAAAAAATTAAGACTTTGATAACTCCCTCACTAATATAATATAAAATTTCTTTGACATTTATAGGCTCACCAATTTATTCCTTGGGACTTCAGAGATTTTTAGATGAAAGATCGAAAATAAGACTATCCTTGATTATGATATAACTTTTCCTATCATTTCAACATCTCAAAAAGTTTTTGAGTTGATAAATATGCATTTCCATAAAGTATTGTGAATACGTTTTGTTGTCAATTTTACCTGACAGGTTGTATCAAAACTAGATAAGATGTAGTTGAATATGAGAAATGAACCCAAACCAAATTGTAAGAACTATAATACCGCTAATGTAGTATAGCTTCTGACAATAACATTACTGCCAATACATAGATGTGGCCATTGATTAAAAGTTTGTTCATCAAAGTAATAACTAATAATATTATATTATTATTGATATAATACTATTATTTCTGTTATGATCAAATTAGGATAATCTTTTGGAGATGCCTCGGTAGATATCATGTTTAACTACAAACATAATATACTGGTGTGAGCTAAGAGAAAAGAAGACAAAGCTATTTTAATTAATTAGATAAACTCGGAAGTTTCAACACGATAGCAACGATAAAGCTATTTCATTTTAACTATTATACATAAAGCAATAAGCATGCACTTCACAAAATGAGCTTCGACAAACACATTTATTGTCAACGAAGCATAGAAATAGAACAAATAAAGCCTTCTTAAAAAATTAAATGCACTTATTATAATTAAATTATGACTAAATATGGTAGCTTTGAAACCTATCATTTATCAGTATACTAAATATTACCATTTTCCAAAAAAATTATTATATATATACTGAAAACAGGAAGTTGGCTCCTTTAAATACATATCTAACTATGAAATAGTCTTAAAATGAAAACTAGAAATAAGAATTAAACCTGCATCTCAAAAGTACAAATTAAGAGACTCAACCATCAAACTCAAATTACATACTAAATTAATTACAAAAATATAATCACCAAGTAAAAGAAAAGTAAATAAATATTTTCATATTATTCCGTGTACTTCATACTATACATGTTACTTCTATTACCCGTTATTCATGAATGTTGCTATATATCACTATAATAAATATACTACCTTTATTTTTAACATCTATTACCATAATTAATTCTAAACAATAACAAAATAGTAAGCATGTTCCAAAAATGTTAGTTGTAAAAAATCTTGAGCTAATCAATCAATCTATTTAATTCAAGCCTGAGCCTAATTTCTAACCAATTTTATTGATTTATTGAATTTAATATATTAATTAATTAAATTAATATTTATTAATGAAGATATTATTTTACTGACATTAATCAATATGATCATGATGGGTAAAAACTATAAAGCGGGGTAGCTCAGTGGGTGAGCACTGACTTCGAGAGCTCAATGTCCCAGATTCAAATTCGACTGATGACTAGTAATTTTTTATTACTATTAGTGGGTCTACCCTGAGGCCGGGAGAACCTCCTGGGGCGAACCCAACCTCTATAAATTGGGAACTCTTAATTATAAATAAATAATTAATTAAGGAAGGAAAATCTGGCGGTTGAGCATGATATTGGCCCATCACCTCCCTGCACGACCATTGGCCTCGTAACAGTACTTCCTCACATTTTACTGAACCCTTTCATGGGTTGTTAGTGGTACAGGTTATAATTATATATGTCAAAAATGATTTAGAATGAGTTATGTAACAAAACAAGAACAAAAGATTTTAAAATAATTAATAGAGATTTATCATAATACTTAAAAATGTATAAGATTTATTTAAATACTTAATTTTATTCACCTATTTATTTATTTATTTATTTACTTTATAGCAACCCATGAAGATGGAACGATTTCCAACAGCAAGCAACCAGACATCCAATAAATAAATTCTAAAAGAAACATAATAAAAACTGGAGATTTGATGAAACTTAATGAGTAAAATCAGAAGAGAATTATCTGAATTAAAATATTTAGCAACATTAATACAAAATGTCTTAATGTTAAAGGGCAAATAAATATTTTAAAAGTTAACTACCTTTATAGCACGCAAACACACACAAAAATTAAATTAAATAATGTTCCTACTGTCGAAAAAGTAGTTACTATAGTTTATATATGAGTGCAATGCTCAAAATATAACAAACCAGGCCATTGTTTAAAGTGGATAATTAAAAATATTTATTGACTTACAGTGAATTCACCAGTGACGGAATCATAGCCAACATGAACAGTATGTTCGAAATTGGTTGGATAAGAAATATTGGGCTTCTCGGAAGAATAGTCGCCTCTGTGATGTCCTTTGCCTCCTCCTCCACCTCCTCCACCACCACCGCTCCGTCCCTTTTTACCACCACCTTTCTTCTTCCTGTCTTCTGAGTCAGGTTCTTTGGGAAGAGGGCGCATGTCCACAGGTACAGTAGGGGTAGCATCACCGCTAAAACAATGTCCAAGTAATAAAAAGTTGATAAATATAACTAATAAGACAAACTAGCTATATAATTCAATTTCTCCTTTACTTAAAAATTCTAAAAGATAAAGCATTTTTCCTTTCAATAAAATACAGTGCAGTGCATTATTCTATTTGAGGACTTCATATAATTAAAACCTAAATCAACACAAATATTATACTGATGGAAATGTTTGTTATGATCATTATTTCCAAATTTTCGTCACAATACCTATCAGCAATAATGAATGTAAAACAAATAATCATAACAGAATTTATCAGGTTTCACAAATAATAAACCTGCAATAAGAGTTTTTACAATGGCAAAATTAATGTTTCTTTTTTATAAACTGTTAGCATCACTTTGGCTTTATGCAGTCTGAACGAACAACTTACTGCGTACTTGGTCAAAAAAATAAGTAAACTCACAACCGATTCTTGACCAATGTGATCAAGATGTTATCACGCATGGGTAATTGTACTTTATTTCACATATGTACACTATCTGAAGCTATAAGAGTCAAAATTTAAGCTTTAGATCAATTTTAATATCTTGCAAGAATAAAAAAAAAATGTTCTTGCTTCAAAACTGTGGGATTCTTCTCCCTCCCACCAAATATTACAGGTAAATTTGAACAAGTTCAACCATGATATAATTAATAAATACAATTTTTTTCTCAGATAAATCATTAGTTAATGAACTTAAAATACATTATCGATCTTTCATACATAAATACATGGATTTAATATAAAAAAAAGATAACAAAGAAAATAACTTGAACATACATAAATTTACCTTCTAGAAAAATGAATCAGAAGAGAGTACTTTATAATTACGTTGTTTGGTTAGAACGATAATTATAGATAATTACATACTAATAGAACCATTCTAAACTATTTTCATAAGAATTATTATAAAAATAATATAATTTAATCAAATATTTCATGCTGAAGTGTCAAAAGACATAATATAATGATATAAGAAGTACAATAGACCAATAATAGTAAAAATGAATTTAAAAAGTTACAATCCCACTAATCCCCATCCCATTTGATATATTTTAGAAAAAGTAGAGGAAAATATCTTTCATAAGTTCCTCTTAGCTTAATAAGTAAATTCAAGACTAGAAAAAATGTTCATAATCAAACTTACCGATTACTTGTAAGGCGGACTGGTGGTGCTGGAGGCTTATCTTCATCGTCAGACATCATTGGAAGTTGGCAGTCAAACAAAATTATTCACCGTTGTTGGATACTAAAATTTGAAAATGATTTTATTCATTGGTAATTCAATGAGGAAAAATAACCTACATAGTTTTTATAACTTTGATTATTAAAAAAGTTGAATAAATTAATCCATTGATAACTTATATTTATAATAAGAACAAAAATTAAAAACATAATACCTAAAAACCTATCAACAATAAATTATAAATAATTTGTCTGAGGATATCAGGTAATACTACTTCTAATCAAACTTAAGATACTGCTTGTCATATTTGAGGAATGACTCACAATGCAAAAGATAAACAATTAATGGATCATTTTCAAACAAAGAATGGGTGAATTAAGTACTCTAAAAAAAGCTTCAAGTAGATATATTTAAATAAATAATAAATTAGGAATTTAAAAGGTAAGTAAAAAAATATGAGAATTTTTCCTTAGCAAGTTTATTACCTGTTCAATAGCCTTTTTAATGCAGAACACATTTATGATATATCACGACTAACGATTATTATCACAGTTGGAATAATGAAGAACGAGAGTACATAACATATTAATAGAAACAAGAAAGTAAATGTTAAATGTGATGAGCCTTATCGTAGAAAGTAATTTTCATGAGCAGTTTACGGCTTAAAAATGTAAAATTTATGAATATACTTGGTATCATTGGCACATTACTGGATTAATCCACGGTTAAAAAAACAAAAAAGATAAAAGAGTAACATAACAATTAAATAAACAATCTTCCGAACGATAACTCAGACACACCGCCATGTCAATCCACCATTAACTAGTAAGAGGTTAAAACCAAATGAGTCATATAACCTACCGACTATTAATGGTCTGGTCTTTTCCCATTTAAGAAATTAATAAAATCGTTATTCTTCAAAATGTGATCCTTTATTTTGTCATATATCAAAGCCCATGCATTGTAGTAAAAAAATTTAGCTGCTAACTTGCAGAAATTTAAATCTTCACAATTAACTAACTAATTAAAAAGTGATATTATTGCAGACATTATTATTCGTCATAAAACAAGTAAAATTACCATTTCAGTAAAACTTAAATCCTCTTAAATTTAAATTCTCCATGAAAATAATTGAAGGGAGGGTTGCCGGTGAACTCTATACCGGCGGCAATACATTTTTGTTGAAGTATATGTATTTTGAAACTATACGCCAATAGATGTTTTTTCTTCTTAAAGCGTTAACGAAGCTCTGTGAAAAATTAATAAAGTTATCGACTCTAATTATTTTTTGTTCATTTCGAATAGTTGTGGAACATTATTATTTAATCACATACATGTTTATTCTTATTCTACCGACCCAATCATTATTAAATATCATGATTAGATTGCAAATGAAGCAAAGTTCTCAATCATTCTAATGACAATTTCCCAAGAAATTACCTTCCCAATGATTCATCTAAAGTTTTTATCGTGATACTTGACTAGTGATAATGACTTGTTATTATCAATGACTTGTACCATACGATAGTCGGCGTTATTGAATGTTGGCTGTGACATCTTGTCTTTGATTCCTTTAATTTAGAATAAGAAGTAAGATTTTTACTTATATTATTATACTCTGTGTGGGTCCTAAATCAATAAATAAGTTTTTTACCATCGCCATAAATCTTTATTTTAATGTTAATTTATTATACTCTTGTGCCTTTACACACCATATTTAAAATGTTTGTACTATTATAAATTCAGTTTAAAATGATTTTAATTTCTGTTTTACATTTTACTGGCCATAATTTTTACTTTTTCGCATTGTCCAATACATCTTTTTTTGGAACTGGAATGTGGAAATTGCTTTCAAATTGTTATGATAATATTTTTGAAAACTAAAAATGAGACTTCTTGTATATTATGTTAGAAAAAACCAATCATAATTAGTTGCACATTGTTATAATAGTGCATATTCTTATTAACATGGTTTATAATGCATTAATTATAAATGACTTTATTGCTCTATTCTTATAAAAAAAATAATCCTCTATATTATCTCTCTATTTAAAAATCAGTTCATGAATATAACCTATAGTGTCAAATGATGATTATCACTACCTGTTATAAATGTGACAACTGTTAGTTTGATGAAAAAGTATTATCATATATCAATATGGGATACATTAATTATTCCAATGTTGAATAGACCGACCGACTTTTTTAGTTTGATTTTCAAATACATTGTAATTTTTTTTTAAATTAATTAATTCATATTTAAAATTATGGTATAGAGTATGTAACCTATGATATTGAAACATCTGTATATTCTAGGACTATGTTGCGATACTGAAGAAATAACAGGTTTTTGATCAAATAAAGTAGATTTTCATAATTTTCCTAAGAAATGTCATTAGCTCCAAGCATGGCCTTAACTGAGTGCTAAAGTTTTTGATAAGTAACGTATTCATATTTGCAAATAATTCAAGTTTGTTCATCTTTCTGAATTATAATTTAATAGACACTGACCCATGCCTAGACAACTTTGTTTAAACTTTAGCAGCTAAGAAGTTAATGTAATACAGTCTCATTCTTGGTCTCAAGCTGTCAGTGTCTTCTAGTTTCTTGTTTATTATTCTAATCCTGATTTATTTAAAATATTGCTTAGTTTTTCTTCAGTTTTATTGTTATCATAAATTTTGTTTTATCTGTTCATCTCATGACCTGTCATTCACATTAGAATAAACTAATCTATCTTTTTCTTCAAAAGACATTTGGAGAATTAATGGATAATCGTAATGTGATTATATAGACAGTCAATTCATAAATATGTAGCAAAATTTTATTTGACCAAAAGTATGCTTGGTGGATAAAGTTTTGAAATAAACATTAATAAAAATAAACTCACTTATTTTCTGCAACAATGCCATAATTCAAAATTCACAATTTCTTTGGATATTGTAAATTTTAAGTACTGTTTTAATTTCAGTCCATTGAAGTGCTGCCAATCGACTGTTCCTTCACAAGTAATGGTCATAATGTATATTTTACTTTACATTTACATTTTATGCTGTATAAATACTGTTGTATTTATTTCAATATATAAATTTAGATTTATTTTCAATATATAAATATATAAATTATTTCAATTTATAAATTTCAATATATAGATTTCAATATATAGATAATAACTCAGTAAAACTTTTAACACAAAATAGAAAAAATTGCATTATTCATTGTGTATTGCTAAGAAACGATCCTATATCTTTACATTACATATAATTGTTAATGTACTTAAAGTACATATAATTGTAGTTGTCCTTGTGGTATTAATCTAAAAATCATGATTTGTGAATTCTGAATTCACAGTAAATGAGCGATATTTATAATTTTATTCTTATACATAATATTAAGTGTACAATTTATGGTTTCTACTCAAATGACTTATTTTAAACAATTTTATTTTAGATGTCAGGTCTTAAAGAAATAGCTTCCAACAAAAGTTTTGGAGGTTATCAGAAAGTATTCAGTCATGATAGGTAGGTTTATCAATACATATATATATATATTTTTTTTTCTTATTTTTATAAATTTACAATAACCGATTTCTATGTTTTAGTACTTCTTTAAAATGTAATATGAAATTTGGATTATACCTCCCACCAGACTGTGATACAAATAAAGTACCTGTCATTTATTGGTTGTCTGGACTTACTTGTACAGAACAAAATTTCATGACTAAAGCTGGTGCCCAGAAATATGCTTCAAAATACAATGTAATTCTTGTCATGCCTGATACAAGCCCAAGTAATGAAATAAAATAATATGTTTTCATATATTTTTAAAAATTAATTATATGTCAGTAAAACAATTATTTTATTCTAGGAGGTGTTAATATACCTGGAGAAGATGATAGCTATGATTTCGGATCTGGGGCAGGATTTTATGTTAATGCTACTCAAGAACCTTGGAAATCGCATTACCATATGTACACTTATGTTACATCTGAATTGCCTGAAATAATAAATTCAAATTTTCCTGCTGATCCTGATCGCCAAAGCATTATGGGTCACAGGTAAATTTAATCTAAATTTTATTTATATACTACATGATTATTTTGAATGTAAAAATTAGTAAAAGTGATACAATAGTAGTTTCTACCACCAACTGGGCCAAGGCCTTAATAAGTTCATTGGAACAAGGCGCGCCAAGATTTTTCAATGCAGAGCAGTAGATTTCAATTTATTGCTAGGCTCATTTCCTGATGAGTCGCTGAAACCAAGAAGGGATATAGGAAAATATTTATATTTAAAAAAATATATATATATATAAAACGAACAAGATATAAAAGAATATAAAAATGTGAAAGTTACATGACATTTAGATAAAAATTATGAACAGCGTGAATAAACTTATAAAATTGTAAAAAGGGTGAATTAGAAAGTACAACTTTAATAAGTTTATTCACACTATTTATAATTTTTTATTTATTCACACTGTTCATAATTTTTATCTAAATGTCATGTAACTTTCACATTTTTATATTCTTTTGTATCTTGTTCGTTTTAGCCCTGAGGGAGATCTACAAAGTTGGTTCGAAACATTGGCTTGAAATTAAAATATTTTTCACTATTTCAGTATTTTTATGACCTCCACTCTGGACCATCTTCTTACTCAATAATATACAATGGTCAACCATCAAGTATTCAATACAAAAAAAAATTAAAAATTTCTGAAAAGAAAATTGAGCCTTCCTAAAGAGCTCATCAAAATTTGATGATTTTATAATACAATGCCTGAGAAATATTGTTTTGAATTAATTTTATTTTATACCAGTCATTTTTTTTTTATTGAATAAAAATTGAAGTATTTTTTATAGAGCTTTCAGTCATTATTAAATAAATTTCATTTAATTTTGATATTCTTCATTTTACATAATTTAATTATTTTTACTCTAGTTTTCAGTTAAGTCTTTTTAATAAAATATGTTGATACTTATACAAGTTTTTATTAATTCAATGAATATTTATTTTCTTCTAATTTTTTTTGTTTATGTTTAAGAAATTTATTTTAAATTTTTGTTTAGTTCTTATTATTTTTTATTGGCTAATATTAATACTTACATATATTGATATTATTATTCCATTGATATTATTATTTTTCATGTGCCAATAAACTCTCTTGCTGAGGCTAATTCTTTAGGTACTTTACCTGAGACCTGCATGTCATTGACTATAGATAACTCCATGTAGCTTTTTCCTGTCAATTCTCTGTGTTTATTTTATTTGATATTTTCTAATACAATTTATTATTTATTTATTTACGTATTTTTCTTTTTTACTAGTATGGGAGGACATGGAGCTTTAATATCATTTTTGAAAAATCCTGGAAAATACAAGAGTGTTAGTGCCTTCGCTGCAATCTGCAACCCTTCAGAATCCTCCTGGGGACAGAGAGCTTTAAGCGGTTACCTTGGCGATGACAAAACATTGTGGGCTCAGTATGACGCGACCAAATTGGTTTCTAATTATAATGGGCCTCCAAATGACATATTTTTAGATCAGGTAATAAAAAAACAATTTCAAGTTTATTTTATTAATATTGATATAACAAAATAAATAATTACTACCCTGATTTGTCATTACATTATAGTTTTAACGGATAAATGATAATATTAAATAACTGATGACAGAATACTTTTAAAATATTACATCTTTAATATAACTTTTTTGAAGAGGCTTTTATTGCTTAGCTATAAAACATATAAAAATGAAAAATCATCAGGATATGCAGTAAAAAAATTCTGCATTAAGATTGCCAAGATTTGTACCCAAACATGTGGGTCATCATCAAGGTAATGGTTCGAAGGTAGTACAAGAACTCCTATATAAGATTTTAAGTTTGTGGTTATTTTTGAAAATTAAGTGTATATTAGGAAAATTAGAAGAAAATTATTTTTTTATTTTATTAAAAAAAGTAGATATGTATGGTATTGATCTCCATTTCACAGGTTAAGCATGGGGTTGTGAGGAATTTGTTTGAGGAGAGTGGGATTTGGAAGAACTGTTAACTAAAGATTTGATGAAGTGGTCTGGGAAAGCATTAGATTTTCGCCTTTTGTGTATAAAGGTTTTGTTGGGGCGAGATAAGGACAAACGAAATTTGAGGGCGAGATAAGGTCAAAACAACGGTATATGAGTTTTTTTGCTATGTCGATTTTTTGGTGGTATAAGGTTTTGAAAAAAATAATTTAGGAGGCGGCCAGAATGGATGGGTTTAGTGTACCAATTATTCGAAATAGAGTTGTCAGGATTTTTGATAATAAGGAGATCAAGCAAGGGAAGTGAATTATTTGTTTCTATTTCTATGGTGAAACAAAGTCATTGATAAGAATTGAAAGTATTAAGGATGTCTAAAATCATGTTATAGTCAAGGATTAAATGTTGACAAACTCAATAAAGAAACTTTTGACTACACATCATGACAACTTTTCCACCTTATAATTTCAACAGTCAATTATATAACGATCCATAAAAAATTATATATTTTTTGAAAAGTTCAAACGATATTTTCAATAATCGACAGTGATGAGTCCTAATTTTATAATTTTTGGAAACATCCAATTCTATTATAGTTGTATTTACTAGATGAAATTTATCTTAAATCAGTCATTTTTTTTTTCTTATTTGGTCCAATTAAACATTAGTGAATAGAACATAATTCAAAAATATCAAATATTATTTTTCAATATCAAAATAACCTAATAAAAGTGTGCTTATAATCTTTTCAGGGATCAAGTGACGAATTTCTAGAAAAAGGTCAGCTAAACCCACAGAAATTTGTATCAGCATGCAAAGAAGCCCAGGTACCGGTTATCCTTACGATGAGAGATGGATATGACCACAGCTATTTTTATATTGCTACTTTCATCGAAGAGCATTTTAAACATCATGCTAAATATTTAGGAATATCCTCTTCATAAGAAAATTGCTTCTATGGCTATGAACAAGATGCTTCCAACTACCATGTGTCATTATTTTGTTTTTATTTTATTTTACTTGTGTTAATAATTTCAAAAATGCAGGATAGCCAAAAATTTAATTCAATAAATTTCAGTTATTCCTTGTATATTGTCTGTTAATACTTTGGATGAAATATTTTAAAATTATGTTATTACAATTGGATTTTTTTTTATACATGGAAAAAATATATTTTGTTGAAAAATAAAAAATAGAATCATTCTCCATTAAAGAATTATTTAATAAAACTAATAATGAACTGCATGATATTGAACAAAACCAAATCTGGACTAAGTATTTATTTTTTCAATACAACAAATAAAATAGTCCGTGGTACAGGCTCCTTTTTATCAAATTATTAACATCCGGTTGAAATTTCGTAAATAGCTTCATCTCATTATAACCTACAAATATTTTATTTACGAAAATTCTCGGAATTGGAGCATTTTCAATCTGAAGGTTGGCAAACATTCTCCATTTAAATAGGTACTGAAAACTTGTTACTACTCATTTGTTTTCAACTTCAATCGTAAGATAACTTGAGCACAAAGTCGAGAAAAAAGATGGCCTTCAAAAATATTGAGCAGTTTGGTGTGACCTTCACCCCCAAATTGTCAAAATAACGAGGTTATATAGCCAAACATTTTAAAATAAAATAAGAACTGCGAATGAATAAAAATAAAGATAACAATGCAGAAATATTGAATAAAAGAAATTATATTTATCTCTAAGTTAAATAAAATTAATCAATCTAGACCAGGGGTGTCCAGAAGGGGATTTCATAGTGCAAGTTGTGCCTTTAGAATTTTTGAGAGGGGCACATTTTGACAGGGCTATAAAAATTGGAATAAAAAGTTTCTAACCAGAGGACATGGAACAGATCAAGGCATGAGCTAATTTTTTTTAATTCTACTATCTCTTGCACTGTTTTTAAGAAGAGACACGCAATAACATATCTAGAGAGGGAGAGAGATTTATGCACAATCAACTTTAGGGGAGATGGGCACTCCTAATCAAAACTAATGCTAAAACTAACAAAATATCACTAATATTAAAAGTATAATGTATATAAAAAAAGAAAGTTTGAATAACTTTAGGTGACGGTCAGTAGAAATGGATGAGCATCAGGAAGTTCTGTCTTCTTAGGGTGACTTCATATAGATAGTTTATGAGAGCTCATATTTTTCTGTAGAACAGTGAGTCCACAGTGATGGACTGTAGCGAGATTTCTACAAAACTGCAAGCAGGCTCCCTAGTTATCAAACTTTATGGACTTAAAACATATCACTTGTTTATATTTAAGGCTATAATATACTCCATAACAATCAAGCCTATAAACTTTACATTTCCCATTAAAACAGCTGATTTAATTTTTCTTTTGTTTTTAAATTTTAAAATGTAATGAAAACCAAACAAAATTGTTATTTAAAATAATAAATAAAAGAAATTAACACAATCAATGTAAACACTTGATGGTTATAATTTTTTTTTAATGAAATGTATGACTGAACTTATATATGTATGCTAAAATACCACTTAATTCAGTACTAAGTTTTATATATGACCATAGATAAGGTCAGTGTGGACCAGCAAAAATTAATGATAAAATAGCAAACATGAATAACTAATTTTCTGAGAAATTGAAAGACAGTTAAGGATAGTTTGTAACTATTTTAATATGATCGGATAACCTCCACAAATAAAATAAAATTATTAATATAATTTTCTTTTATTTTGGTATCTTATAATATTTCATTAAGCCAATAATGTTTTTATTTCTAATCCTTATTTTGGAATGACGATGTTTCGGCTCATCGAGCCATTTTCAAGTCTTATCATGTCCTAGTTTACTGCATTTTTTAATTGTTACTTATATGTTTTTTATATAAGAAATGCAGTAAACTAAGACATGATAGACTTGAAAACGTTGTCACTAATTGTAAGTGGATGATGTTCGGATTTCACAAAGGAAAAATTCATCAAATTATTCACTAATTTAATTTTCTAAAAGGTTACTTGACCAATAGATACCCAATTATTTAAATATAATATCATATCTAGAGTTATACTACAGGAAATATATTTAAGATTATCAACATATTCATGAAATATTTTTATATTTCACTTCTTCTTTCACACAAGTACAATGAAATAGTATTTTAAACAATGGCATCGGCTTGATTCGGTAGATTCTAAATACTTTTTTCTCAAAGTTACAAAAAAAATTAAAAAGTTTACATTTAGTAAGAAAATTTCATTTAATTCTATTGAAAACATGTAATGTATGCTAAATATTAGTTTTCTTAAATTATTACTCTTATATTTTTTTTAAGTTTTATTTTTAGGCCATTGTTCATAAATTAAGACTAAACTGAATGATAATTATTATTATTAAATGAAAGTAAGAAACTGATGGACACTACATCAGTAGGGGACACTTCCCATGAAAATCTAGAAAAATAAGGTTCGTCAGAAAAAAAAAATTGAGTCGGACCCTTTAATTGATATTTATTTTTTGTGTTTGTTAAAAAAGGATTTGAAAATAAAATAATAAAAAGTTGAAGGAATATAAGTTATGATATAAAATATAATAACAATTTTTAATCAGCTGTGATTGGTAGACGCTCCTGTGGCACACCCAACCTCTATAAACTAGGTACTCTTAATTAAATAATTGATTATGGGGAAGAATAATCACCTCTCTGCACAACCGTTCGCCTTGAAGCAGTACTTCCTAACAAAGAACTGAACCCAAAACCCATCATGGGTTGTAGTTGTACAGTTTTTTTTTAAATATAATAATATTTTTATCTGTAATAGTCCATAACAGCTGATCATTCTCCTGAATGAATTCTAATTTGTTATATAAATCAGGTAAATAAATGAATAATTTTTAAACAACATTTTATAAACATTTATTCATGTATTACCATTACAGCATAATACAAATGTTAAAAAAATAAATATCTGATAAAATTATGAAAATAACAAATTCACCAAAAAGTAAAATAGAAGTATGACCGTTTCTTCAGATAAAATAAATATATCACACAGAAACATACACTGATTCATTTTTTCCAAAATATTAAAATGTAACCAATATAAACTGTTTTATTATACATTATACAAAATTAGATGAAATATGCTAGAGTAAGCTGTCTTGGCAAACATAAAACCCGTAAATAATCACAAAAATATTAGTACAGATTGATTAAGTTTTTACTTAACATAATAATGTGTGCGGCTAAGATCTTATTAATTTATAAAAGATACAACTTGTTTTATTTATAATTGAAAAATATTATGAAATAAAATAATTGCTTCATATAAATTTATCACAACTAGAAAAATATAATTTCCACTTAAACAACCATTTTACTATATTCAATTGAATAGTGTTTGGAGAAAAAGCTAATTTTTTAGAAAAATAGTTTAAAGCCATACCATTAAATCCAATGAACAATTATGCAATTCATCAAGAATTTTGAATGTTAATATTACCAGATGAGAATACCTACATAATACACCTTCATTTGTACAAAAAAACAATATTCGAAGTTTTTTTTACAAAACTTCAATCCACTCATGCATTAACATTTAGAAAAAAACTTTAAACTGCTCTCTTAAAAAATTTTGTAATGCGTTTTAACCAAACACCAGCCAATAAATCACTCATTTCAGACTTGCGCCAAAATTCATACAACAAATAATATTTTAAAAAAAGTTAGAATTAAATTTCCGAGTTAAAATTCCCTGTAAATTTAAATTTGATTTCTGTTCATCTAAATCTTAGCTCTTAACATTCTGTTTAGTATCACTGTCAGTCACTTTGATAAATTTCTTTAAACTTTTTTCTTAGAAATTTCAAATTATTAATCATAAATCATTTAAATCTCAATGTAATTAGTAAAAAAAAAATGATAAATTAATTGTAAAGTAGTACCTACTTTTTAGTGCAAAGGAAGGAAGAACTAGAAGATAAATCAAAGTTTTACAGAAAAGGGAAAATAAATTTTGACTATATCATACGCATTTTCATTATGGTTAAATATTCTTGATAAACACCTTTTAATCTAATCAATAACTAAATACATTATTTACGGCAGCGGTAATCTATAAAGCCACACGCTAATGTAGAAAATATTCAACCATAAATATCACCATATAAATATTCAACCATAAATAAAGATGATGATAACAAAGGATTTATTTTTTTTTAATTCAGCCATCCACTAAAGAGTATTACTTTTTTCAGGTATAACTTTTTTTCAATATTAGAAGGTGTTTAGTAAATGATTTTTTTGTTGTATATAATTTTGATAAACTCGGTTCCTTTTTATTTCCTATATAGCTTCGAGAAAAAATTATTTCTTACTTTTGTTTCATAGTTGTTTTTTTTTATCTCCTGCCACAACTTCTTCTTAATTAATAGAATTTAAAAAACAATATTTTTTTAAATTATATTCTTTTATCATTAGGACTTTTGAATTATGGTATTAAATATAATAAATAAAATGAGCTATTTCATAGCTTATTTTACCACTTCTCATATTTAATAGCCTATTTAATATATACACTTGGGTTTTAATGAAAATAAATATTTTGTATTTTACAAAAAAGATGGAAGCTATAGAGTATTTCAAAATTAGTGATTTACATTCAGTAAAAAAACAAAACATAAATTATACTTTCCATTAAAACCAATTCAATCAAGGGAACATTGTTAGAGATTTTGAATATATAAGATCATTTTTACATTAATCAGAGTATACAAAATATATTTTGTACTTGTTAAATATACAACTTTTTACTGTACAAAAAGTAAATCTAACAACCAGTAGCATTGTAACGACTAGAAACACACAATCATTATTTAGGCTTCACATGTATAATTTGATTATCAATAACAATAAATATCTTATCAATATGCGAATTAATTAAGTTCTTGAAAATTAATCACAATGCATTTATAAAATTTTGAATCTAAAATAAATAAAATATAATTCATATTTAAAGAAATACTTCATGTCAATATTAAAGAAAATAAGTATTAAATATTAAAATAAAACAATAAAAATTTAAAAAATGAAATATTACACAGATGAACATTGGACGAAAAAATTACCATTCATTACATACACCATAACTTAATAAATAGTACCAATTTTGAATTATTTACATACTATTTCTACAAACCTTTAAAGAAGATAAGATTCATCATTTTTTGTTTTGTTAAATATGTTATATTTAAAGATAGCTAGATTTGACAATTATAGCAACTAAATCCAATAATAATTTGAAAATATAAATATAAGATTTATTTATTTTGCATCAAAAGCTCAAAAATCAGTCTATTAGGCAATAGGAGAAGGAGTTTAAAACTTTTTATCATTGATTCAGTAAAAATTAAAATAATTCTAAACCAATTATTATATATTTATACTACAATTAATTCACTAGTGTTTGAGAAAATCCTAATAGCTCTTAATTTTTTCAGGAGAGCAGTATAAACATATTCCTGATTTTATTCATGAAATAAATTCATTGAAAATGAGTAGAAGGATATCAGTAATAATTAATACTTTCAAACCTTCAAGCTGCTCGCCTGAGAAAATTACCCTACTAGATTATTTCTAAACGCCAGCCAAAATATAAACAATTTAGTTATCAAACATGTGGAAAAACTTTAAACATCAATTCTTGATTAAGATTTTAAAAATTATGAAATTGTATTTAACTGGAGTAAAATCTCTTTTAAAAAAATAAAATATTGCATATAATTTAATGAATATATATATATTAATTAATCACTAAAAAACCTTTACATGACAATTTCATTGAAGCTTTTATTCATATAGAGGCACTTAAGAATTTTAAATTTTATTTTTGATCTGCAGCGAAGACTAAACATATTTTAAACTAATATTGGTTGTTTGATCAAAATTCATGCCACATTGATTATGAAAGATTACTATGGCACATGACTATTTTGTAAGGTAAACCAGAGAGAGAGAGGAAGAGTCCTAATCTCTTATGGTAACACATAATTTATACTTTTACATACAAGAACATAAATAACGAAATAGTTAGTAAAAGAATAAATATTCAATGCAAAGTTTAATTAGCATGATTGAAAACGGTGACTTTAGTTGCAAGCTGATTACGATAATTACTGCATCCACCTACCCACAACTATTTCAACAAAATAATTCTAAATTGGTTTACAAATAGATTTATTTAGTTGGAAAAAAAAGTTTATAAGCTCCTATGGTTTTGTTTTAAGTTGATTTCTCTTTTCCTCCTGGAAGGAAGCTAATGGAAGCACTATTGATGCAATATCTCTTTCCAGTCGGCTTAGGCCCGTCGTCGAAAACATGGCCTAAATGAGCACTGCATCGGGAACACTGCACTTCAGTCCGTATACGACCTGGGTTTGCGATCAATAACAGTAGGTTGCCTCCAACTTATGAATGAGAAGTGGGTGGAAAATTGTTCAGGATTTGGGTTTATGAAAAGAACACAGGCAAGCATGGGAAGGAAGGATAGGACAAAGAGAAAATCCCATATTAGCGAATATACACAAACCCTTGGGAACAGAAAGAGGTAGAAAACTAATATGCAAGCAACTAAGTATCAAAACTGAATGTTTACGATATGAAAATAAGTATTTCTTATAATCTTAAATAAGTATTGAGAGATTTCTTGAAAAAAAAAATAATAAAGATTAATCAAGTTAAAGAACTGATAACACGAATCAAAAAATTAATACTAACAATTATTTAATGTGATTTTCTTTATGTTACATTAATGGCTTATTTTTCACCAAGTGCAATTCTTATAAAAACTATGACAAATAAAAAAAAATATTCATTTTGATACCTAGAAGTCAAAAATATGTCACATAGCCCAACACCAGTTTCATCAGAGTCACATAATGATAAACAGACAGTCACACAATATACTTCAATTTTGTTTTCATTTATATAATATCTGCACTTGAATGCATAGTGAAGTTTTGCAATAAGCACCATACTATTTTCTAACCCAATAAACATTCATTTCACCAGTTAGAAAGATTTATTAAGCATTTGATATCAGAATTACAAGCAATACATAAGTTAAAATACATATTGTTAAAAAACGTAATTGTAACTAATAAATATATTGATTCTAAAAGGAGGGATAAATAGGGAAACAAAGAGACATTTATATTGAGAAAAAAATGTTTCAATAATTTAGAAATGGAGAAATAGTTCACTTTTAAAATTATGAGGATGACAAATAATCAGAAAATTTAGGTTGTTCATAAATTTTTCCCATGTTTCAACTCAAGCTTGAGAGTCATCATTAGGGCTAAAAATTAAAAAATATACAAAATTATATCAGATCGATGAGATATAGATGAAAGCATTCGTTCCATTTTTTATCTTCTCTTATTTACATTACATGCTTTTATCTATATCTCAACTTTCTAGTGTAATTCTGTACATATTTTAATTTTTAGTCCTGATGATAACCCATATGATTGGACCGAAACATCAGTAAATTTAATGAACCACCTAAATTTCCCGATTATTTATCATCCTCATAGGTTTCAATAAATATAGAAATCATACGAAGGCTAGGCCTCACTTAAAACATTTATTAATTCATTACATAAACATTGTAATGTTTCCAACTCTAAATTTTGTACAAATGGATACTCAGCTATTAATTACGGGACAAGTAGCGAACTTAATCTTTGGATACTTCATGTATGAAGAAAAATATCATTCTAAAATTGTCAAGTATCATCCAATGTACTTGAAAATGAACTGTGTACCAAAAAAAAAAAGTAATCCTAGATTTAAAATGTCTAGCTAAAAAGCCAGTACATTTACCAAAATAATCTACTGGTAACTTTGCAATATTAAGTTCGAACATCAAATATTTGCTATTATTCATACAATAAGCACTATTAATGGATTACTGTCATATCCTATAATATTAAAACAGGTCTTATTTACCAAACAGACCAGTCAATGTTTACAATAGGTAAAATGTTTTATGCAATCAGTTTATATAACTTAATGCACAAAAATAAGATTAACAAGACCAATTTAAAACAAACATTTTTCCATTTTCTTCAGGAAGATAATCTTAAGAAGATAATTTTTGCTATAAATCTGTAATGAAAATGAAACGTTTACAACGCAAAAATGATGTTTGACCCTGGGTTTATCATTATTTACAATCATGTTTATATGACTCTGATTACTTCATAAACAACATAATAATTTAATAAATGAAAATTTTTAAAAATGAGAGGTAGAAAAGAAAAGCAATCATGCTTCAAGAAATAATGAATTTCGGATTGTTATTTAGATTTTATTGCTTCATGTTATAGCTTTTGAAATTAAACGACACTGACAAAGAATTGAAAGAAAAAAAGCAAACTTCAAATCAATACAACATAAAAAAAAAGAAAAAAAAAGAAGGAAAAAGAAGGATTTTAAGGCAGCAAGGATGAATAAAGAGGGATAAGGTAATTAAGTACAAGTAATAAAACTAAACAAGCAAATAAAATAGAAGTGTAAAAAAAAAATAAATATATATATATATATATATATATATATATATATATATATATATCATATCTCATTAATTTAATAATAATAATAAAACGATTAAATGAAATATTCTATTATACAAAATTATTATTATTAAATTATATAAGTATATCTGTCAAAAATAACGATTTTGAGTTGAAATAATAATGGGAAACAAAACATTCATGATTATTGATTAATCACAGATGAATTAGAATATGAGAGATATAAAATAAATATAAATGTAGAAAATAGTACAAAGGTGACTGAATTAAGAGGCTCAAAATATTTGACAGAGAAACAAGGTCAATTTGATTGGTAGCCAATGTGATTATAAATCAAGTGTGTAATTTTGCTATTAATTATCACAGATTTTATTTTAATATTCTAAAAAAGAAAGTTTTACTTCTTAGTGAAATTCATTTTTCACTAAATTTAAGGGGAGCTTAATTTTCTTCTTTTTTTTTTGACACCTTGTTTAAACTTCATTTAAATTAAGTGTGTATTCACACACAATAAATATAAAAATTAAATTGCAGACTTTTTATCTGTTTAAACTAAAGGTGAAACTTATTAGTACCTACTACATGCAGATAAAATTCAGACTGACAACAATAAGCTTTAATCACAAATGAATAAAAATACTTGATTCATTTAAAACACACTAGAACAGAGCCAATGAAACACAATGTTATTCAAGATGAATTAATATTAATAACCAAAAATGTAATAAATTATCACACAATGGTATAAGTATTAATTTATTATAATTTTTATTTTAGTTTAGAATTTATTTAATCAATAACAACAATTTGGTCCGACCGGGTGGCAACATCTATCAGGCGGTGCCATTAATAATTAGGAAATAAGCACAAACAAATAATCTTTGCTAGGTAAAACTTCAAACTTAGAAAAGAGTTTAACATGTTTTTAAAATATAACAACCCAATATTAAAAAAATATTAGTACCAAATATTAAAATACAATAAAAAGTTGAATTTGATGTTATTTAAGCAAAGAGTTAACCATAAATGTAATTTAAAAAAAAAAAAGTGATGGTCTGGACGAAACAAACAATAAGATATTATTCTGCTTTAACCCAGACTGAAGTCTGGGCTTAAGTTGTGGGCCTTTAGTAGTACTAAACAAAATGAGATATAGAAGTAAAAGAAAAAGATTATAACCTATTCGATAAGTAAATTACTTGCTCATATCATTCATTCATCAAGAGATCAACAAGAAAACTATTTAAAGAGATCATCAATAACCAAGGGCATAAGAAGGCAGAGTGGCCGAGCAGGCTAACACATATATAAAACACTAGTTGCTTGGCAACCTGGCAAAAACTGATCATTACGAGTTAGAGTCCTACTCCCAGGGGCTTTTAGTTCTGTCATCAATCTCCCGGCTTCTCCTCAAACCTGGGAAATGACTACTAGAAAAGTTGCTAGGCAGGCCTATTATGAAGTTATCATTCTTGTCCTAAGATATTTATTGTTTGTAACAACTAATATTAACTGCAATAAAAACGCTACTACATTGATGAATACTTTTCCAAAAAATATTATTATATTGGAAGAGCATTACAAATTTTAAAAAACATGATATTAACAAATCAAATGAAATAAATATTATAATAACTTTAATTATACCACAAGGAAATAATTGAAATTTTAATTAAACCTTCAAAACATTATATTTCATATTACATTGGACTGTTTAAAAAAGTCGACATTATGTAATCACTCAGATGAGAATTTTTTTGAGATATTTGACTACAGGACTCTTTGATAGAAAAATGAAAGACTTAAAATGTTGTTTCACATAAAACCAAAATTAAAAATAAATTGCTTCATTGGCTCAGTCAATAATCAGCATGAAATTTAATAAGGCAAATATTATGCAATATTGCAAGCAATAAATTACCTCCGGAAGTATCAGGTAAAAGTTTGATTCGACCTTTTTCCAAGACATCATTAAATGCTGGCCAGCCACATCCTGAGTCATATTTAGTGTTAGAAGAAAAGAGATACTGACCACAAACAATGCAGCTGTAAGTACCTTCATCGAATTTCTTGTCATACTCTCCAGTAAACGGTCTAAAATGCAAAATTTTCTTTCCTTAGAAAAATTCTGAAAAATGTAAACAATCAATGATAACAAAACAAAAAATACTTACCTCTCTGTACCCTTTTCCTGAGTTACATGATACTGAAGAGGGGTCAATTTTGTTGATAGTTCTTCTTTAGTAGGAATATTTCCACCATCCGCCATCGTACAGAAATTTATTTTTTTAATACCAAAAGAAGTAGAAATACTGGGAGTAATCCTTTTAAGCACTAACTGGTCCTTCAAAATGCTACCAAATCGTTTATTGTTAAAGTTTGGTATATTTACTAATCTTCTAGCTATCAAGCGTAAAGGGGACATTCAACAAGCTCAAGACACATACAATATCAAAAGTAATCAAACCTAAAAGGTTGATATCACGCTAAAATAGGTCAACGAAACCACTTTCAAAATAACTTACAGATAAAAATAGTAGGGTTGGCGATGATAGCCCGATATCACTATCGATATAAGTAACTAATGTAAGGTCAATCGATAGTAGTTGATAGAAGATCGAAAAAATTAATGTTGCTGACATCTAAACAATACTTCAAAAATTCGAAATATCATACTCTAAACATTCTATTAAAAACGTGCAGCCTTTAGCATAAGAAACGTCGTTATATGGGTGAGGGGAGGGGTAGAGAGAAATAGAGAGAGTATTCCCTTCATTAATTTGAAAATCCAAAAAGTTACAAAATGAAGATCTCGGCCTACTCCTTACTTAATATGCGGCTCTACATCCCGGGGTGAGCCTTGGCTTCCTGGATTATAGCATGCCAATCATCTTTATTGCTCGCTCTTTCCTTCCAATTCCTCACACCAAGTGTTTTAAGGTCGCTCTCAACATCTTGTAGCAATCTTTTCCTTGGCCTTCCTTTACTTCTTGTGCCATACATTGTAGAGAACAATGCCCAAGAAGGCATCCTGCTGTTGGCCTAACCATTCCGTGCGTCTAGTTTTACATTTCATTAAAAACTATGTTGCCATTATTATATAGTTCATATAGGTCCGAATTTTTTCGATACCTCCGCACACTCTCTCCATAAACACCTCCATAAATTCTTTAAAAAATATTCAGCATACTAATTGTGGTTGAACAAAGGGTCCATATACATACATATACCCATGTCTCCGCTGCATAAGTCACAATAGGTCTTACTAAAGTCTTATATAATCTTATATTTTTTTCTCGTGACAGAAGCGATGATCGAAAAGAATATAGGTTAGCATTGTACGCCCGGTTTTCAGCCATGATCCTCTTGTACACCTCAACAACAATTTTATTTTCAGAATTCACTTCCACCACATATTTCAATGTTCTGAGGACCAGCCTCATTGTCGGCCCCAACATACATGTATTTTGTCTTATTTTGATTAATTTCCAGCCCAACATTTTTACTTTCGACATTCAATATTGCAAATATTTCCTTATTAACCTAAAATTCGTAACCTAAAATATGCCTATATATCATCCGTGTAAGCACATATTTGCACCATTACTTTAAGTATGCAACTAGGTGAATCCAGTTTTTTAAAAACATTATTAAATGCAATATTAAATAATGTAGTAGACAAAGCATCCTCTTACCTAATCCCATCCGTCATTGGAATGTTATTGCTTACATTGCCTTTAATAGTTACTTTTGCATTGCTGTTATTCATAGTCATTTGCAATAACCTTAATAATATTTTTGTAATTTGGGACTCATGTAACGCATTTATTAACTTGCTTCTTATCACTCTATCGAAAGCTTGCCGGTGATCTATGAACAACATATGCAGGTCAATGTTATATTCTCAGGCTTTTTGCATTATCTGTCTAATAACAAAAATACTTGATCAGTTGTTCCTTTCTCCTTCCTAAATCCACATTAGTTTTCCTCCAGTATGATCTCAGCAAATACGTTGAGCCTCACAGATAGAATAATAATAATAAGACTTAGCGAACCCGAAGGTTCGATGCCGATGCCACCAATCGATGTCCACATTCTTCCATCCACCGGACTCTGTTTAAACCCAACCCCGCCTTATCACAATCAGCCTTAACACAATCTACCCACCTTCGCTTTCTCACAGATAGAATACTTGAAAATATTTTATGGGCTACAGCCAATAGAGCAATTCCTTTGTAATTATCGCATTGGAGTTTATCTCCTTTTTTTATATATCGGGCATATCAGGCTGGTGTACCACTCCTGAGACATGATTCCACTACTCCAAACATTCTCCAGCCGTAAATGTATTTGACTTATCATCCTCCTTGACTTATCATTATGATCAATTCTCCTCCTCCGTATTTAAAGAATTCCGCAACCGGCATATCCTCCCCAGGTTCTTCATTATTTTTAAATTTTTCAATCGCCTCAGCCACATCTTCTAGTGACAATGGCTCCAGATCATCAACACACCCTTCTTCATCATTGCCAGCCATACATTCATTACCAATAGAGTTGAGCAATTTTGTGTAGTACTCTTCCCATCTACCTATACCTCGGGAGCTCTCTACTACCACGTCATTTTTATCTTTGCATCCGGTATTTTTTTACTGAAAACCCTGACTCATACACTTTACTGCTCTATAAAATTTCCTTGTCTAATTCCTCAATCTGCTCTATTTTCTTTTTCATGAAATCCCGTTTCTTATTTGGAATAACATTCTTTGCTTTTTTCCTACTTTCTCTAAATGCCGTACAGGTTTGTCTTGTAGAGCGCTACAATATCGCCGTCCTACACTGATTTCTTTCACGCAGAACCTCAAGGCATTCAACATCAAACAACTCCTCATTCCTTTGCCTACCATTCTCACAAGAAACAAAAAACAAAAGAAATAAAAAAAAAGAAACAAAAATATTAGCTTAGTAAAGTGACCATTTATACATTTCTGTATTCCTTAGTTTCTGAAATGTCTAAACCTACTTTGAAGCCTGCCTTACACGGTCAATATTATTGAATCAATATTCTTGAACTTAATACACATATTGCGCTTGTTACAATGTATCCTTCAGATGGACAATATATTTGATATTGACCGTGTAAGGGCCCCCAACACCCAACACGGTCAATATTATTGGGTCAATATCGAATTATTGACCGCCTGAGAGATATATTGTAACAATTGTATTGACGCTTGTACTATGAATACAACTTTCAAGAATATTACTTCAATATTAGTGATTCAGTAATGTTGACCGTGTAACTTAGAAGAGAACTTCTGAAATCAATTTAAACTCCTTGATAACAAAGAGGAATAAGTTGCAAGAAGTTGGTATTTTATAAACCGTCCATGATAATCAATACATTTCTTATTATTTCAATTAATATTTTAAATAACAATCTTCAAGTAATTTTAATAAATTGATATTTTAATTTCTTGTTTAGATTTGGATTGCTGACTTAATGATACAATTGGAGAGGCCGTGGTGAAGTGAACTCCATCACTCGAGCTCTCGTTCATTTTGGGTGGCGTGTTTCGGTAAGTCCACCGAACTTATCTCTATTTATCTTTTTCATCAATTTACCCATTGTAATTTAATTATAGTTATTAAATAAAGGTTTAAGATCTGTTTTTTTGTATTATTAATTTGTAGTAGTTTTAGTTATTATGTTCCTAACCTTCACTCAAACAGTTACGTTTTAACTTAACCTGTTTTTAATGTAAATGTTGTTAACTATGTTTAGTTTAAAAGATGGGACGAGTTATCAGAGCTCAGAGGAAGGGTGCTGGGAGCGTTTTCAGATCCCACACCAAACACCGAAAAGGTGCCCCAAAATTGAGGTCTTTAGATTTCGCCGAGAGGCATGGTTACATCAAGGGAGTTGTGAAAGTAAGTTTTATGTTCGTTCGTCACATTTTTTACCTCTCCAGTGTTCATTGTTTAATTTGTTGTTTTTTTAGGATATTATCCATGACCCTGGTAGAGGAGCTCCTTTAGCAGTTGTGCATTTTAGAGATCCTTACAGGTTTAAGACCCGTAAAGAGCTTTTCATTGCCCCTGAAGGAATTTACACTGGCCAATTCCTGTACTGTGGAAAGAAAGGTGACATATTTTATAACTGTAGAAATTACTGAGTGAATTTATTCTGATTGTAAAAGTTGCTCTGGTTTTAACTGCACTAGTTAAGTTTTTCATGAAGTTGTTTACACTATTGTAATGTGGAGCCAAATTTGTATTCGAAATTTTTTTTACGGACGTTTTCTTGAAGTTTCTAGCTGTTGTTCACAAACCTGGTTAGATTCTGAGTTATATATTCGTTTCTTAGTCTCTCCTTGTAATAACTATTTAAGCATTTTCTTTATGGATGTATGTTTTAATTTTATATGGAGGATGCTACAAGTTGTTTGTTGTTCAAGAGGAACCGTTTGTTATTGTTGATGTCTGAAAGCCATCCAAACATGGACCTATATCTAGGCCAACATATTTGACCATTAACGGTCGTAGCACGGTAAAGTGTCATGTCTATATGAGGCTTGGGCTGAGATCATACCAGTTATATTATATATAGAATGCGAAAAATAGCTTAAGTGTGTCTGATGAAACACCTATATTTTTCGCAAGGTATGGCCAATGAGGCTGTGATGGATTGTGCCACATTAAAAAACAAAACATTTCAGTTACATTATTTTGTTAGTCGATATTATATTAAGTCATAATGTTGAAGTAGGACTTTCCACTTTTCCTGAATAAATAAGAAGTATCATTTACACAACATCCACAAATCAATTCAGAATGCATGCAATAATAGAAATCTTTGTATTTTATTTCAATATAGTCTATTATTGCCTAATTTACTTTATCTTTTCTGATTGAACTTATCACTTATTTTCCCTATTTTATAACTTATTTTGAAAAACTATTTGACTACCATTGTCTTCGATCAGAAACATCAAAATTGTTATTTTGATATTAAATTATTGGCACCTGATCTAATCTAAACATTTAAATTAATTTTTAAATATAAACATTTTAATTGTATCTAATGCTATGGAATAGTAAACAGGCAAAAAAATGTTAAACTTATGTTTCTAGATGCAAGTCCATTTATGGTGGATAATTATTCAAATGTACAGGATCAGAACAGTAATATGATCGTATAGTAGACTCTGATTTCTTTTTAAGATTTTACATTTTAGTGCTATGAGATTAAAATCCTCTTACATATGTTATGAATCGTTCTAGTAGGCGGTGTGTTCGTTTCTAATGCCTGTAAAGTAATTCAATTGATGAAAATTGCAAATTAATAAAATAAAGGAAGACTTTCTACTTAAACATAATCTACATAGATATTTCTAATTAATGACTTGCGATTTGAATAGTGATATTGATTTTTAACAATTAAGTTTAGTCAGTTATTCAGCATTGAGAGTTTTGTTATCTTCATTATTATAATTATTTGTTTATTTTTTCAGCCAACTTACATGTTGGAAATGTTATGCCCGTCGGCACTATGCCTGAAGGTACTATCATCTGTAATTTGGAAGAGAAGACCGGAGACAGGGGTCGGTTAGCTAGAGCTTCAGGTATGGAGATCTGTTTGATTGGGTCTATATTGTCACCTGACTGATGATTATTAAGCCAGTTGTTAATGTTTTTTTTTTAATTTTACAGGAAATTATGCTATCGTTATTGCACACAATCCTGATTCAAGAAGGACCAGGGTTAAGCTTCCATCAGGTGCAAAGAAAGTCATTCCCTCTAACAACAGAGCCATGGTTGGTCAGTATCGTAAATCATTTTATAATTTGTATATTGCATTAAGTAGCTTATCAGATTTTTAAAATTAACTTTCAATAACTTATCAGTAATTGTGTTTATTTTGAACAGAGAAAATGCCATTAGTTATAGTTCTTAAACTGTGGTTTGTAGGAAAAGTTTGATTCCCTATCTCTTTTTATACAAAAATTATCATTTCCCGAACTCCCTGTTATAATTAACAAATTGTCGATCGATGGTGAAGTTAACCTCGTCTTTCCATGCCCAGACTTTGTTGACTGATGACCAGTTACATGACATAGTTTCTGTTTAAAATTTCTGGTCAACAAAGTGTTAACATTTTTATTCAATACCTAGCTGAAGCTGTTTTTATTTTGTTTGGAATATTCTACATCATCAATATTTGTTTTATTTATTAATGGTCAATAAGTCATTCCATTCAATTTCATTCGTAATTAGGACTTTATTTTAATTTTTATAATTTTAAATATTATTAAGTTTAAATCATAATGTTTTTAAATATTTGATTTATTATTTATTTTAAAGGTATCGTTGCTGGAGGTGGACGTATTGATAAGCCAGTCCTTAAGGCTGGTCGTGCCTATTATAAATATAAGGCAAAGAGGAACTGCTGGCCTAAGGTTAGAGGTGTTGCCATGAACCCAGTCGAGCATCCTCACGGTGGTGGTAATCACCAGCACATCGGTAAAGCTTCCACCGTCAAGAGAGGAACTTCAGCCGGTAGAAAGGTTAATATCATTCATTATTATATTTATGTACACCAGAGAGAGGAACTGGTTTGTCACATATTTCAAGTTCTTCATCTGAGATTTTACTCTTCATCACCTCAACATTAACATATCTCACAAAGTATAAATTTGCATGAATGATATTATTGATTCCGGTCTTCTGGTCGCCATTCAGATTCCACATTTTGCCATAAGATGGGTATAACATACAGTACTATGGCAAATGAAAAAATATATTTGTTACTCATAGTGCCGATGATATAAGGAGGATAATTTCATATCATATCAACATTATGTCTAAACTAATATTCAATTGATTGAATTTTATTCTTTTAAGCAAATTAATTTTTTTCTTTCTTTCCTTTACCCCAAGAAGTAGTCTCTGTTTTACTATAGTTTGTAATTTGTTGTAGTCATATATATACTTCAAATTTTAAATATTAATTTAAAATTATTAGAAATTCTTTGATTTATATCTTATAAATAAACCTCAGATGATTTTTTTAGTTGTATTAGTAAAATATATTTCTGTTTAATCCATATAATTAAAGAGCTGAGAACATGTTATGTGAGATCTTGGGAAAAAATAGGGATTATTGGTGGACAAAATATTTCAAATACTCGTTTCTATGTAACATCTCCTTTATTTATTTTTTTACCTTATATTTTATTAATTTTAAGAAGTTGTGGATTGAGTGATCAAATCAAAAATTGAAATAAATATCATTAAATACATTTTTTTACATATTAAAATTCTTGTAATACTGGACATTTTTCCACATCTGTTTAACTGAGAATTTTCTAAATGATGATTTCTTTGTTCTGTATATAGAAAGGAAAGAAACATACATAAATATTCTATTGATAAACTATCTTTCTTGATGTAAGATAGGTAATTCTGAGGTAGTGAATTATTTCTTATATCTTATATTTTGAATTATAAAAAAAAAAAAATATTTAAAAATGTGTGAAAAGATAACTCCAGATATATAAGTAGAATCTGTTATAATAGTTTTTTTTTTTTTTTAACACATTTATTGAGAGATATTACAATCTGCCACAATTAAGTACATTTATAATAGTGTCCAAAGAGCACATTCACACTCCATTCACAATAAATAAAAATAAATAATACAGAAAAATAATAATAATAAAAGTAAATGTTGATGTGACATTTACTTTTATTATTATTATTTTTCTTTTATTATTTATGTTTTATTCATAATTATTTCTGTATTATTAATTTTTAATTAAGTTACTATCGGTTTATTTATACTCATGTTCTTGTTTCAGGTTGGTCTTATTGCTGCCAGGCGTACTGGTAGGATTCGTGGTGGTAAGACTGATCAGAAGAAGGGAGACGATTAAAGTTAATCAAGTGTAAAAGTTTTAAATATATATTTACTTTTTACGCAATTTATTTGTTTTATTTAAAAATCCTTATTTTTATTATCTCCAAGTTATTAAATTTTTATAATAAACGTGTAAACTAAAAAAAAAATAATAGTTTATATTAGACTGACTTGAAGTGCCTGTCAGCTTTTAAGAATTTAAATAGTATTTCTGATATTCGGAATTGTTTGAAACTGCTTTATTTTTGGCTTGCATTTTTCACCTGAGAGTGAAGTAGTGATAACAGTGCTATACTCTAGACATTTATTTAAAAATCGCATTAAACATGATTATATTAAGTACTAATTTTTTTTTTTTAAATAATGAAGTTTTTATGGTATGTAGAGTTTTAATTATTGCATTTATATGGCAAACTGCTGATGTCTAGGGGTTTGTACCAACACAAGCTAGAGATCAATCAATTATTGTTATTTTCATATAGTCGTCAAATTATTACCATTTTTTTTTTTTTTTAATTTGTATATTTATTTCACTAAAGGGGCAGCAAAGAGCGTATTGGATTGAAAAGTGTTGGGGGTTAAACTACCGAAAGTACACAATATGTTGAAGCCAACCCAAAGACTAGTTAGTCTGTAGTGATAACAAATTTTTTTAATTTATTGATATCAATTAGATAAAATTACAAAATGTATTAAGTATAGTACAGAGGACTTTAGCTCAGTAGTTGAAATGATTTGAGAAAACTCAAAAAGAAGTAGTAAAAAATTCTTTATTTTAATTTTTGTCCAAGGAAGTAAGAAAAACTAACTGTAAAAGAATGGAGAAATTATATGTAGGTTTATTTTATTTTTTGGCAAGAACTGAGTCCATATCATGAGTCTTATTACCTATTACATTTCTTAATATTTACTTATAGGGAAGTATATCTTATAGAATACATGCTTATCAATTTTAATGATTTTATTTGAAAAAGAGCAAAATTATATAACTTCAAGGTAAGTACATCATGTAGTTTTCTAATTTGATATGTTGGTTTAATATGAATACATTATTAACTAAGTTACCTAATTATATTAATAACTGATATTGATAATGCTATTGTAGATATTGAGTTCTAATCACGTGGAGGATTTTTTAGCCGCAGAATGTGTGTGATAAAATATACAGGACGCATCTTTATTGGTCAGTTTGGCACCAAATAGCTCAGCCAGAAGGACCGGTGTTGAGTAGCACTAGTAAGTTTATTACTTATGTTGGACTCGTAATTTGTTTTGTGCTAGTCTTTGAAATCTAGCTTTAATGTTATCTAATTAGTCTAGCAATATTTTATTAGTTAAATATTTGTTTTCTTATATTAGATTGCTATTGTCATAGGAATTTAAGTCTGACAGGGCATTAATTTGGAGTATCTATCTGGAAATCACTACACAATAATGAATGCTTTAATTGTTGGCTAAAGACCAGCTAGGAAGCCAAAACTAGATGTTTAGATAAAATTAACAATGATACTGGGCAGAACGGCAAGCAGAAAACTGGGAAGAATTTTTCATGGAAAAATCAGCAGAAGACAAAAGAGTTTTATAAAACCAACAGAAAAAGAAAAAAATATTTGACATTTTTCTTCAAAGCTGAATTAATTCTATTTTCTGGTAAGTGGCCATTTATAATTTAATAATTATAGAATAATTGTTATGATGAATAATATATTTATTTGAGTTATTATGATTTCTAGTTATTTACTAGAGGCTATTTCTGAAATATAGAAAATTATATATTTTTTAATAATGTTAATCATATTATCTGTAATCATACTTTTATTTATTTTCTTTCAGATTGCTATTTTTTATTTTTAAAGGATTCGACTGCTAATAAAAAAAAGTGCAATATATTCTACGGTAAGTTCTCTTCTGAATTTCAATAGCTTAGTTTTAATTCTATTCATGATGAACAATTTAGTTTTTTTGAGTTATTATGATTTCTAGTTATGTACTAGAGGCTATTTCTGAAGTCTTCCAACATAATACAGTATATTTATTTTTATTAACAACGTTTTACTAAGTTTTTTTTTTTTTTTTTTTTTTATAGATTTTCATTTAAGAAAAAAATAAACCACTTACTAAAGAAGTGAACTTTATTTTGTGGTAAGTGTTCTTTCAAATTTCAATAGCTTAGTTTTAATTCTATTTGTGATGAACAATTTAGTTTTTTGAGTTATTATGATTTCTAGTTATGTACTAGAGGCTATTTCTGAAGTATTCCAACATAATACAGTATATATATTTTGTTAACAACGTTTCATTAATAGTTTTTTTTTTTGTTTATAGATTGTCATTTAAGAAAAAAATATACCAGTTACTAAAGAAGTGAACTTTATTCTGTGGTAAGTGTTCTTTCGAATTTCAATAGCTTAGTTTTAATTCTATTCGTGATGAACAATTTAGTTTTTTTGAGTTATTATGATTTCTAGTTATGTACTAGAGGCTATTTCTGAAGTCTTCCAACATAATACAGTATATTTATTTTTATTAACAACGTTTTACTAATATTTTTTTTTTTTTTATAGATTGTCATTTGAGAAAAAAAATATACCAGTTACTAAAGAACTGAACTTTATTCTGTGGTAAGCGTTCTTTCGAATTTCAATAGCTTAGTTTTAATTCTATTCATGATGAACAATTTAGTTTTTTGAGTTATTGTGATTTCTAGTTATGTACTAGAGGCTATTTCTGAAGTATTGCAAAATATATAAATATTTATTTGTTCTATCGATGGAAATTGAAATATATGTTAATTTCTCTTTTGTAGATTTCCATTTAAGAAGGAAATAAGTGACCAGTTATTAAAAAAGTGGACACTATTACGTGGTAAGTTTTGTCAAGAATTTGGACAATTCTAGCTTATCCATTAATTTTATTCATGATGAACAATTAATTTATTTGAATTATTATGATTTCTGGTTATGTACTAGAGGCTATTTCTGAAGTATTCTAACCTAATACAATGTATATATTTTTATTAACAACGTTTTATTAATAGTTTTTTTTTTTTTGTTATAGATTGTCATTTAAGAAAAAAATGTACCAGTTACTAAAGAAGTGAACTTTATTCTGTGGTAAGTGTTCTTTCGAATTTCAAAAGCTTAGTTTAAATTCTATTCATGATGAACAATTTAGTTTTTTGAATTATTATGATTTCTAGTTATGTACTAGAGGCTATTTCTGAAGTATTGCAAAATATATTAATATTTATTTGTTCTTTTGTTAGAAATCGAAATATATGTTAATTTATTTTATTTTTTTTTATAGATTTCCATTTAAGGGGGAAATAAATTACCAGTTATTAAAGAAGTGGATACTATTATGTGGTAAGTTTTTTTAAGAATTCCAACTATTCTAGCTTTCATTCTATCCATGATGAACAATTAATGTAATTGAATTATTATGATTTCTAGTTATGTACTAGAGGCTATTTCTGAAATATATGAATGTATATTTTTTCTATTGATGGAAATTGGAATATGTGTTAATGTTTATCTTTTTTTTTTTTTTGTAGATTGTTGTTGAAGAGGAATAAATTAACCAGTTATCAAAGAAGTGCGCTCTTATTATGTGGTAAGGTTTGTTAAGAATTTAGACAACTCAATCTTTGTGATGGGTGATAGTCGATAGCACTATTGATAGTAGATATAGTGATAATATAGCAATGTAAAAGTTAAATGTTTGATAATGGAAAACAGGTATTGTATACCTAATGGAAACGCCACATTAAAAAAATAAATGGATAGAAGTTTTAAGGCATGTTTAAAACTGTTCTTATCAATATATAAAATTGAACAAGAAGAAGCCTTCATGGTAAAAAATAATTCAATCTCAAATTACTTCCTTAAAAATATTTTTACAACTCTAGTTGAGCCAATGGAAAAATAATGTTACATTTACTCCTCACCTTTTTTATTATTTTTTTTTCATAAAAAAAAATTATAAAATCTACAAGGATGTCATTACAGTTTTATATTATTTTAAACTAGGTGCTATTATCAAATTAAATTTAGAAAATTATAATCTTGGAAATTGAAAGACATACACATTCCTCGCCTCCCTTATTAACCAAATAGTTAAACAATACTACCTATATGTTGTTGATGTTTCTTGTTTGAATTCAATAATCAAGGAAATAAATGCAATTTATTTTTTTTATATAAATCTATTTTCCCATCAATAGTTTTTTTAATTATTTTATTAGTGCCTTAACATAAATTTTTAGTAATTTATCCAATATAAATGTTAATAATTATAAAGCTTATGCAGCACTTTCAAGTAAATAACTAAAGATTAAAGCAAAAATAAATCTCTTTACATCTTTGCCGGGAAGTTACTAAACTTTTGATAGTTTTTTAATGATACGATCGAACTATCGATAGTAGAAAACTATGCAAAATTTTTAATTCAATTCTATGCATGATGAACAATTTATTTATTTGAGTTATAATGATTTCTAGTTATGTACTAGAGGCTATTTCTGAGGTATTGCAAAATATAATGTGTATTTTTTATTGATGGAAATTGAAATAAATACTAATTTCTTTTTTTTTTTTTTTTTTTTTGTAGATTGTCATTTAAGGGGGGGATAACCAGTTATTAAAGATGTGGACTCTATTATGTGGTAAGTTTTGTCAAGAATTTGGACAATTCTAGCTTTAATTTTATGCATGATGAACAATTTATTTATTTGAATTATTATGATTTCTAGTTATGTACTAGAGGCTATTTCTGAAGTATTGTAAAATATATATTGTTTTAATAATGGAAATTTTATTATCAAGATTTTAATTTTTATTTTTTTTTGTTATAGATTGCTATTTGAGAAGGAAAATCAACCAGTTTTTAAAGAACTTTACTTTATTTCATGGTAAGTGATTTTTAAGTTACAATCGTTCTATTCGTCAAGTTTTAATTTTATGCATGATGAACAATTTTTTTATTTGAGTTATTATGATTGTTAGTTATTGCTGAAATATTGTAATACACACACACACACACACACACACACACACACACACACACACACACACACACACACACACACACACACACACACACACATATATATATATATGGTTATATTGTTAGTAACTTTATTATCTATTACAGTTTATTATTTTTTTTTTTTTTTTTGCTATTTTGTTTTAATGCCATTGATTTTCTATTCCTGATTGAACATATTCAGTATATTTTATTGGAAGTGATTTATAAATTGTTAGTTTTCGTACTGATTAAATCATTTGTTTATTTTATTTACTGTGCCATTTTTCATTTAAGCGAAATTCTTCTTATGATTGGGATGAATGGTGTTTTTATTTTAATCAATCATATAATTATGTAGTAGAATAATTGTTGTGATGAATATTCCATTGATTTGAAAAGTAATGATTTCTAGTTGTGTACTAGAGGCTATTTCTGAAGTATTATAAAATATTTATTGTATGTAATTGATGTCAGTTTTATTATTTAATTCAGGGTTTGTTTTTGTTTTCAGGGTTAAATCTAATTACTGAAATACGGCAGATAATTTAAAAGCAGTCTACTGGTGAATGTAAGATTAAATTTTATTAACAGCTAAGTGTTCTTAAACTTCATATTATTAATTTATCATTTGTTGTAATGATATAGTGTTTTGCAACTTTTATTTAAATACCTTTTTATTATTTATGTATATTATATCAGAATTAGATTTTTTCTCTGTATTTTTGTTATTATAATTGGATGAATTATTATTATATATGAAACTATTTTTAAATGTTGAATGTTACTTTATGTACAAAATAAATTTAATTTTGATTGACTATTTTTTAAATTAATTTTTAATATCCCTCAGCTTATTTAAACTATTGAATTGGTGACTGGATCAATGTTTGATGTGACTTAAGGGTTATCAAATTGATAGCTAAAAAATATCGATCAATTAGTTAAAAAGCTAGACAGACCATATGGATCCTACCTACCCTAGAAAACTCAGGCAATTTTTTATAACCTTAATTTATCTTTGTAATCAATTTTTAATCATCAATCTTTTTAAATAGAGCTAATTAAAATTAAAATCATAAGACTAACAAAAAGGAAAATAAATATTGAAGAAAAAAAATCTTTCTAAAAAAAAAGTTATAATACGGTTTCATTAACAAGTTTTACATAGTTACATTAAGGTTATACATTTTAATACATATTGATACATGTACAGTATGTTATTTACATCTATAAATATATATTTATATATGTGTACATTTTTAATTTTAATGAAAAGTATATAAGTAACAATTAATGATAATACAAATGAACGAAAGAAATGAATCAGAGCAGAGATACAGATTCGCAAAACACTGTTGCAGTTTAATACCTAAACCTAATGGTCATCATTAATACATAATATATTCATATAATAAATAGATAAACTATATACCTTGAGCAAAATCAACTTTTAGATTCATTTAGGAATCTGAGGCATTCCTGAAAATATGGCAAAATTTATTTTAAATGGAAGGTTGTATCGAACAAACATATGTAATTGGTGTAATTTTCCCTTTAAGGATATAATCTTTATTTTGAACAATAAATCTAAAACTATAAATATATAATACACAACATTTTTAACAGACACAATAACAAGCATAAATAATAACAGACATTTAAAAACACAACTGACTGAAAACAGTACATAAACATTATTTCTCACCTGATAAAACCTTATATCTCTCCATTTCTACAATAAGTGTATTCCGAGAGTATGAAATATAAATTGAGTGAATACACAGTGGTAACAACATTACATCCATTTATAATTAACACTGGGACAAATAGACAAAAAAATAAAATAAAATATAAGTTTTAACATTTTAAAAATACATTATTAATAATATACAATATAGAAATAAGAGCTTTGGTATAAGATGATGGTGAAGATTTGCATGGCTCTAAATGAGGGTTCGTCGGTCGGGACAAGAAGACATGAATCTCCTTTCAAACTCTTCCCTCCTTTTAGAGACCATTCCGCACAGGCTCAGATTATCAGGACACCTTTTCACTTCTATCAGAAACAAAAGAAAATTATCAATGAGCATACAATTACAAATATATTAAACTTTTTTTTTGCAGTAAGGTATAATAATTCTTGGGTAATAAATATTCAGGACGCAGTCTTTTATTTAAATTTTTTTATTTTTGCGAACGTTTCAACCCAAACATGTGGGTCATCTTCAGGGCTGAAAATGTTTTTTAAAATTACAATCAGAGATATAATAGTATACGACCGCTAATTATAAATAATAAACTATAGTGATTGATGGCACATGAATCTTAACTAATATTGTAATACACATATTAAAATTAAATATTAAAATAGTTATACAAAATTAAGCTAAAAAATGAAAAATAATGTATATAATCCATTTATACAAATTTGTAATATTTTCTCTTACTAACCGTGATTTGAGCACTAAGGGTGTTCAAGTACTGACACATGTTTGGTAGGTAAGTGAAAAAAGCAGGGGTTGGAGGATTTCCCAGTTGTCCTTTTTCAGATAGCAAAAGATAGGTAAACATAGTTAGAGGGGAAGGGGAGAGGGTAACATTTATGTTTGTAGAATATACATAATTTGCTGACAAATATTTCAGAAGTGTACAATATTTGAGTTATTTCATATGGTTACAGAAATGTGACTATTGACGGCAAAAATAAAAAATTTTAAAAAAGACTGCGTCCTGAATATTTATCACCCATGCATGATATATAGAACAGTCGACTAACTTCCTTTTATAATAGTTCTTAGTATTCAAGTTAGATTTTCCCTAAACAAGATTGTGTTATCTGTGTGCAGTTTATTAATCCTTCAGCGACTGTGGACAGTACTAAATTAAAACCATTTAATGGAGTTCAAGGCAAACTTATTATCTGGCTACTAGAGTTTGCAGAAATAAAAATTTTTAAATATTTTTATCCTGACAGTACTTATTGTGAACCCTGCCATTACCTATTGCAATTATATACTTCAGTCATAAAAGTATTTAGAGAATGTAAAATGAATACTATAATTGTCTAGCAGACGACAGTTAAAGAACATATATTCTATATAAAAAAATATAATGTGAAGGACCAACCTGCTTTCAGTAGAGGTGGAGGTTCCAAAGAGCGATAGTTTAGACTGGGCTTCGTGTGGGCCTGTTGGCTTCGAGAGGCAACTATAAAAGTAATCCAGTATTAAAAAAATAAATTTAAATTGTATTAAAGAAAAATTGTAATAACGAATATATGAACATTAGAATTTAGCTATTTTAATCTGCGTATGTACAATAAATTTTATTGATTGCAGACGTTCTGATTAAAAAAAAAAAAAAAAATATCCGTTTTTATAGCAAGTTAGGCTTCCTTAGATGTACCACCTTGTTTTTACAGCATTTTTATATTTTTGATTAATAACCCACCCTCAGAGTACTTTCATTATAGCAATACTCCTGCTGTCATATATATGTAATAAATGATTTAGTCAAGTGTTCAAACTGCTATGAGTCAATAGTTAACACTCCAGGCATTTTTTAATCTAACCATATGATGTGTATATACTAATACATAAAAGTTGAAACGGGTGAACTCATGCGACACCACTAAGTTGAAACTAATATTTTCTTTTTTCCCTAACCCTCCGATACTATTAGTAAAATATTTACCAACAAATACATAATTCAGAAGATTATAATATCATCTTGCAATATATATGTATATATTTGTGTATATTTTGTAAGTAATATTGGATGTTTAGGAAAAACACAAAATGTGAGTTGTAGCTTAATTCCTTGAAGGGAGGCTGAGAACTAATTGTGGTTGAACTATAACAGTCTCATATGAAAAATTATTTTTGTGTAAGATAGAAAATTTATTAATTTTATTTTTATATGAATTCTTCTAGTCTAGCTTCGTTGACAACTGGCGAACACCCATAAGAACAGAGTAGTAACCATAAACGTCCATCAATCTGTAAAACTGAAAGCAAATAATCTAGCACAGATTCCCATTAAATGTATTTTTTTCAGCCACTATAAATAAACTGCAGGGACAAACTTTTTTAAGCTCAACACAGTTTTTTCATTGACAACTAAATATATCCTTATCTACATCAGGTTATAAGGAAACTAGTATTTGTTTATTACAGATTAAGAATATACTAAACATAAAAATGCTGTTACTGCCTAGTTATATAAAAATATCAGATTGTCAGATTTTTAATTTCAGTTACCTATATATGTAATATATAGTAAGGGAAAGTATTGTGATCGTGAACATTTTTGAATCAATGGATATACAAGTTTTGAGGTCTCCTGAGTCCAAATAACCAAGTCCCAAAAAATGGTCTGTGTGTATGTGAACAATCTAGCTAAAGAACCAAAAGTCGTACGAAACTGATGTTACGTATTTAAGATAGGAATATGCCTTAGATGTGGCAGTAAATTTTTCCTTAAAATCTGATAACCGGAAGTGCCAATTTATATCAACGGTGAAACATATTTTTATGATTTTCTCAAAAACGGCTCAAACGATTTTGATTAAATTCGGTGTATCATTGTATAATTAAGTGGTCTTTAATACCATTCAGGTCTTATCCACATTGATGTCACTTTACAGAGTTTAAATTCCCACAGTTCATATACGCCTTCCTCTAAAGTACCTTTAATATGGTTTATTTAAAAAAAATAACTCTCTTTTTTTGACATTAACTATAAAAAATGGCTAAATATGAAGTTTGAAAGAATATGATATTGGAAAATGGAGAAAAATGGTTATCCAGGTTGAAAATGAATCTCCGGAAATAACAGTCAGAATGTATACGTATAATATATCGTTAGAAAGCGGAGAATTTAATCTAAATCACATGTTTTCAGGGAAATTAAATGAAAATTTCTAACTAAAAGTAAACTTTTTTTTAAGTAAAGAAAAAAGTTTTTAAAATCCACCGAATCAAGCCAATGCCATTGTTTAAAATACTATTTCATTGTGCTTGTGTGAAAGAAGAAGTGAAATATAAAAATATTTCATGAATATGTTAATAACCTTAAATATATTTACTGTAGTTTGATAACTCTAGATCTGATATTATATTTAAATAATCAGATATCTATTGGCCGTTTATTCCAAAAAATCATCAAATAACCTTTTAGAAAATTAAATTAGTGAATAATTTGATAATTTTACCTTTGTGAAATCCCAACATTATCCACTTACAATTAGTGTAATATATATAAAAAAATATATATATCCTTGGAGTATTCAAAATAAAATGTTAAAAGTATCAAATGAGAAAAATTATCAATGGACAATATAATAAATTACAACATTTTATAGAAAACCTGACTGGTTATTGAATAATGAAAAATCAAAAAATATGATTTATTGGTTAAAAGATTAAGCTTATGTTAACAGGAAGAATGCACGCTATTGAGATATGATTATAAAAATTTTCTATTTTATTTTATTTTTTTGTCACAGAGAAGCATGAATTCATATCTGCATGGCTGTAGTATAAATATATTTTATAAAATTAAAAAGTAATAGAATTGTTATATAAGTCATTCACCTCATTTTAATTAATTAACATGCATCACAGCCAAATTTCCTGATATTTATCATAATTGAACTGTAAAGATTTCAAGTTTCATTTATTGTTAAAAATTAGATGCAAAATATAATAATTACTAGTTACCAGAGACCAGATTTGAATAAAATAGCAATACAAATTTTATTTGGGCGTCCATTTTCAAACATACACACATTTATATACTGTTTACCACCTTAATATAAAACTTTCATTTTTGATCTTATATTATAAAAAATATGCCAGTTTTTTATTTAGAAAAAATTCTTTTTGTTGGTGCCTTTTTGATAATGTATTTATACATTTTCTTTGTATGCACATATAATACAAAATATTTTTTCATTTTCATTTCATATATAGATAAAACAACCCATACCACTATAACCCATGAAGGGTCTTGGGTTCAGTACTATTTAGGGAAAGCACTGTTTCTTGGTCTATGGTTGTGCAAGGAGGTGATTTGACAGAGATCATGCTCAACCACCAGGTTTTCGCCCTTAATTAATTAATTAAAAAAAAAATTTTTTTGTATGCTCTTATCTATAATTTCGTTTCATAATTGATTCTACTTATGTATATAGGGTTATCTTTTCACACATTTTTAATTTTTTTTTTTTTTGTAATTCAAAATATAAGAAATAATTCATTATCTCAGAATTTCAGACAAAATGAATAGATATTTTCTATCTTACATTAAGAAAGATAGTTTAATAATACAAATGTTTATCAATAGAATATTTATGTATGTTTCTTTCTTTTCTATATACAGATCCAAAAAAATTATAATTTAAATAATTCTCAGTTCAACAGATGTGTAAAAATGTACAATATTGCAAAAACTTAAATATAAAATATATAATATTTGCAATACACCGACGACATATGTGCATAAAAATATCACCAAAAAGTTACTGACAAAAGGAAGATTTTTATCTAAATGAAAAACTGACATATTTTTTAAAATATAAGACCTAAAAGGAAAAGTTTTATATTATGGTGATAAACAGTATATAATAAAGATGATATATTTGAAAATGGTCAAAATAAGACCGAAACGTTACAAATAAATAAATATGTGATATAACAATAAACGTTTTTATTATCAATAATATTTTTTTATTGCTTTGTTTTTTTTTGGGAGAGATAAAGAAAGGGTCTTATTTTTTGATTATTAATTAACTTTTTTAGAAAATAAACTATGTCTTTATTCTCTTTTTATTTTACTCTTGTGGCTTTTAAATTGTGATAAATGCCGATAAATTTCATATTTTTTTATTGCATATCTTATTAGATATAAATCCGATCTCTGGTAACGACTGACAAGATCAATGTTAAAAATAAATCGATGCAATTCCTTTTATTATAAATAGCAATATAACGAGATGGTAAATTATATATGGTAAATATTATAAATTACTCACCAGCTTTTTTAGGTATGGCGCTAACTACCCTAGGCTGACTAGAGAGGGGGCCACCGTCTCCATGCTAAACACGACATGCTTTTTCACTACAGTGTACCAACTAGTGCATAGTTATATACACTTTGTCTCTAACTAGACTGTGCAAAGCAGTGCAATTAAATATAGTTAATTTATCAGTCAAATCTTACATGCTTAGCAACGTAATACCTCAACACTTTTAAAAATAATAATTTAAATTAAAATATGTATAACTAAGGGCGATTAAAAATGGTAAATGACATTATTGAGTTACAGGCATGATGTTATAATTTAATTTAAATGACATATTTTTGTTAAGCATTCAAAATTTAACTGGCTATTCAAGGCTAACTAATGGTAACATGACAGTTTTTATCTTGAGCGAGAAAAAAATATCATTACAGAACATTCTCTTAATAAAAGAAAATTAACCTGTTTGCTACTAGTATATGTGCAGTCTTACTGGAAGAATAGATAATCTAGTCTGGATACGTTTAAATAATACAGGGAGCTACATTCCATATTACAAATATAATCCGAACCTAAGTTCAATTGTAATAAAAGCAGAGTTTTCTCTTCTCTTTCAAGGATGCTAAAAACATCAAAAATCTCTAGAAATCTTAAATTAAGGGTCAACTACAATGATATGATAAAGCTAGTTCTGTTATAAGGCCACGAATCTTAGACTATAAACACCTTCATATTGTAATAAAAAAAAAAAATCTTATTTTATATATGATTGGGAATTTAGGGAATAGATTGCAATCACAGAAAAAAACAAAAAAAAAAAATTTAAACACCAACATTTCTGCCTAAGTTTCAGGCTTTCATCAGGGTTGCTAGTTTGGAGACTATCCAGCGAGTGATACAGTCGACTCTCAATAATTCGAATTTTTCAATAATTCGAACTCTTCAGCTGTTAACTTCAGTAAATTGAAAGAATGTTGTATTTTAATAGCTTTATGACTCGAAATCATTTTCATAACAGGAGGGGGAGAGAATGTTCTATAATTCAAACTAGACCACTTCCCCTCTTTATAATTCCACATTTTCCTAGTAATATTTTTGTAAAAACATTATGTCCATTTTGGCATTTGTTCAGGGAAGCCAATATTCTATAACTTTGAGTTATTAAATATGTATCCCGGAGGTAAAGGACACCACGTTACATTTTTGTATTTGTTCGGGAGCCAATTTTCCATAATTTTGAGCCATTAAAATTTGTTTCTTAGTTAATAAACTGTTTAATAAAAAATTGGACATGGTGTCCTTAATGTCCGGGGTACAGATTTTCTATGAGGCTATTTATAAATAAAATTTAATATTATTAATAACAATAAAAGGCTTAGTGAACCAGAAGATTCGATGCTGACACCACCTATCGCTCATTACACACCTCCCTCCACCGTTCACCATCCAAACCCAGTCCCTTCAGATCAGCTTTAACGCAATTTTCTCACCTTTGCTTCGGTCCACCCCTTGTATCTTTACCATTCGATACAGCAAATATTAACCTTTTAGAAATTCTTTCATTACTAAGCCCAACAATTTTACAAGTCCATTTGATTCGCCACAATGTAATCATCTCAATTGTATTAACTGGATACAGTTCACACCATATGGTGTTTAAATAAAATTTATCTAAGCATAAATATTTTTAAACGTATAATAAAAACTCTTAATAATTTGATTTTTTTTTTTTTTCACTCTTGATAACTCGAAGTTACGATGACGTTTCTTGTAGTCCCTTGGATTTCAAATGATTGAACCTACTGTACCTCAAAACAAGCATTCCTGATGAAGGCCTGAAATTTAGGCCGAAACGTTGGAATATAATAATTTTTTTTTATTCTTCTGTGACTGTTACCTTCAACTAACTTGCCAACCATAGTATCTAGGGGTGCCTAGAAGGGGGGCATTTTTTGAAGGAGGCATATTTTGACAGGTTTTTGGATTTTTTAGAGGATCAAATTTCGACTGTGTTATGAATTTTCAGACTAAGGTAGAATGGGAAAACATTTAACAGGCCACTGTAAGTGTAATTATATATAATCTACGATTTTACTAATTCTACCTTAGCTTGTTTTTAAGAAAAAGTAAGCAATAAAATATCATGGGAGGGAGGATTGGTTGTTGCGCCATGGACCTTGGGGGAGGGATGGGCACCGTTGATAGTATCTACAAATAAAGTTAACTATTTCTCAACAATTATTTTTTTAACTATTTATCTAATTATTTAATAATTCTCTAGAGGCGGGCAACTCAATGTGCCATTTCACTTAACTATGAGAACTACAGCCTACATCTGGGCAAGACAAATAATAAAGATGATTTTAACAGCCAAACCAAATGTCCAATACTTTTTTTAGAATGTTCTAGAATTACACAAGGGGATTAGTTTGATAATTGACTCGTTATATTTTCAAAAAATTTACTAGAAACAACAAAAACTCATTTTTAAAATGGATCGAGTTGTTTTAGCAAATATGGATTCATCAAGTGAAGTCTATTAAAAAACAGGTGAAAAATTAAATAAAAAATATTTGAAGGAATAAAACTGAAGGTAACAATGTTTTTACTAAGACATTCAAGTAGCAAACAGGTCAAGAATGAAGAATAAAAAAGAAAAAGAAAAACATAACCATGCGGAAAACATTTTCAAGCTTCATACAGAACTTATAAATGAAATCAAAACATTCCAGAAAATCATGCTATGAGAAGGCGAAAAAAAAAAGTTCATTTAAAATTTTAAAATGGCTGGACACATCCATAAACCAACACATTATTATTATATTTTTTTCAAATTGAATAAATTTGAATGAAATTTTCAATAAAGCAACAGGCAATAGTTTGAAAATGAATCCTCTAACTAGACCAAAACTGCCATGTAGACGGACAAGACTTCAATTACAAGCATTTAGTTATATTAAATTTTTGTTATATACAAACTAAATAATTTGTATTCTAATTTATTAGCAAGGCGGTTAAATTATTAACCATTTCCAAACGATCAATATCGATAAAACATACCGAGTGTTCTTGCAGCCTTTGCAATGAATCGTTGTTGGCTTCTGCGACCAAATGGGCTCTCAACTGTCTGTTCCTGTTAAAACAATAATTAAAAAATTAAAAGGTGAACAAATAGTTTAATAATTTAAATCAAACCATTATATTAATAAAAATTGGGCTAAATAAAAATATATTATTATTACATTCAAATTTTGTGAAAAAGACATTGGAAGTCAGGGAATTTCACAAACTAGGAGAAGCAAGCACAGAATTATTATTTAAAATCACCATTGTCACAAAAATACTACATAATAATGATAAAAAGGCAATTATACATTCTATTACTAATATAGGGCTTCAAAAATACTTTATATTTTACTCTATATTCATGAATGGCTTAAATCTGGGATATGAAATCTCCATTTTGTAATGAATGGTAATGTCAAGTTCCGAGGAACATCCTAGAGTCATAGATGACTTACGTTGATGCAAAACCTCAAAATAGTTTTGGGAAAAAACAGAATTAAAAAAAATAATAGATTTTTGATATTTATATATCTTGAAATTGAAAACCTCAAATTTTGAAGAGGGTTAAAATTTAGATTACAATTGTTCATTATTGAAAATAATAATCAACAGTTTTACTTTCTAAAATATTCTTAATATTAATCTGAAGCGTTTGAAAAATGATCCTCTATAGACATAGTGGTCTTCTAGATATTTTAACGTGCTGCTGTGATGAGCATGCCGATTTCCTTATATATAATTCAGATGAACCATCTGACATTTTGACAGTTCATTCTGAAGTGCGAGTAGGCAACCTGATCTAGTGCTGGTGAGTAGTATTTGTAAACTTGTCTCAAATTTGATAGATGCTGCTTTAGGGCTCGTTAACAGCTCATGCACATGAACCTCTCCAAATTAAGAATTAAACATTTTTTTTTTATTTTCTCGCTTGCTCCTATAATATGACTGTTTACTTTTGACAGATACAATTTTAAAGTAATACACAACAAAACTTTTATTATGTCAAAATAATTCATACATACCTAGCATCAAGCTGCATTATATGCTGATGTGCATGAGCTAGTTGCTGGTTTGCTATCCGCAGTTTGTCTTCGAGCGATGCACTTTCTACACATTTTATCGAATATTTATCAGACAGTGAAAGGATTTCCCTCTTGATCTCTTCCATCTCAGCCCTATATAGAAAAATAATAATGTGGGTTATTAAACAAAATTAACTCTACAGGCATTTTCAATATTTAATTTATAACTACATAATATATTTATAAAACAGTTGAAACATATTTTAAAATGTACTTACTGATGTTGCTTATGAATGGCAGTAATATCATGGTTCGACTGCATCTTGTTCATGTACTCGGCCTTGAATTTGGCAACTTCCTTCTGAACTTCCGCTTCATGTGCTTTTCGCATAGCATCTAAAGCTGTAACCATTTAAGTCCATTTAGTAAAGTAAGTTAGAGATAATAGATTTTAAAAAATATTAAATTAAATAATGATAGAGATATAGTTGGCTTTGGAATAATTAGTATGAGAAGCTGATTTGGGGTTGTTGAGAATTGAGAAGAAGCAAGCAAAAAATTTTTTTTGAGCTGCTTTCACCCAAGTTTCAGTCACGATGATGGCTTGAAACGCTGGCGGCCCCCTCGGGTGGGATGGCCGAGCGGGCTAACGTGTGTGCAGAGCAACACGCTTTGCCAAGCAACCTGATAACCCAGGAAAACCCTCGTATAGCCTAGCAAATATATATAAAAGGCAAGGAACAGGAGAAAAAAAAGAAAAGAAACCTTGGCAGAAACTTCAACACAAAAGACAGGTATGTATAATACAAATTTACCACGAGTGAAACCATGGTACAACGGTATTCTTAAATAACGTCTAAGTAAATAAAATACCTGCAAGCGTAGCATGAGTTTCCTCTGTCAATGCCTGTTCCTTTTCTAAACGAAGCGATCTCAGCTCCCTCTCATGCTTTTCTTGAAGTTCTTGAATTTGTCGCCTATGAGAATTCTCCATTCCGACGAGACCCTTTTCACAAACCGCCTAGAATTCAAAAGATTATTAATAAGAGAAAACATTTAATTTAAATCAGAGGTAAGAGTCAAGTTATATTAAATATGAAATAAAAACAAATTTATAAAATGAAAAGTAAAAACAGTATGTATACCTTCAAATGTTGTATTTCAGCCTGGTATCTTTTCCTCATAGATTCTTCATCCTCGCAGCCAGAACTCGACGAGCTGAGGTTATTGTAAGCCGACCTCAGGTCCTCTGTTTGCAGGTTGCATTGAGTTTCCCATGTTTCTAGTTCCCTTTCTAATTTGCTATTCCTTTCAATCAATTTTCCTTCTTCTTCTCTGTAATGCTGAATCTGTAAAAATTAAAAATAATAATAATTTTGTATATATATATATATATATATATATATATATATATATATTAAATAATCTTTCAAATAATTAATATTAAATAAATAGTGAAGCATAAAAAAATAACCAATTATTGATCAATAAAATAATAATTACCAGATTTGTTTTTTGTTCATCAAATTCCTCTTTGAGTTTAGCAATTTCAAGCTCTTGTTTTATCTCCAGTTCATGAATTTCAGAAGCATGGTGATTTTCAAGTCTGAAATTATTTACAGTTTCGATTAGACGAAAATTAATAAATAGTAAGCCAATGTTTTGATTTTTAGAAAATAGATATATTGAATGAATTAAACATTTCAAATGAAGTGACAATAAAAATAAATTATTATTTTTAGGTATATATTCAGAGTTCGTTTCTCAGTCTGGGATATTTTAATTTTTGAGTTGACTTAACATCTTCCTGGGCTTCATAATGTAACCATTTAGATGTAGACCAAAGGGAAACTTCTGCCCCACCAAATGTCCGCAATGATTTAAAATAGTCAAGATTAATTTTAGAAAATACGCAAAGGTTTTTAAAAAGAACAAAACTCCAAACTTCTTTTTTTTTTTTTTAAGTTGTTTTAGTTCTATGTTTCTGAGCAAGGATAACTTCCATACTGAGCCAATCATTTTTGTACTAAATACCCTTTCCATAATCAAATCCTGACTATTCCATCACTTTCTGTTTACCTAATTCCAAATAGATCTTACTTATTTTTAATTAAAATTTATTGGATCTCCCCAGTAGTTATGAGTCGGTCAATCCAACCAGCATACTTAGATACGCGGAAGCGACAAGATTAACGTTTTAATTAAAAACGATTAACTGAAATTGGCGCACAATGGACCCATTAGGGGTCGACGTGCTCAGGGCCAACACTAAAAAAAAAAAAAAAAAATAAATAAATACATTATTTAAATAAATTAATTACTACTTTCTTTCTTTTACTTATTTTTCTTGATATAATAATATTAGAATTATGTTTTAATTTAAATTTACTTGATTATGACTTATTTTAATTCCATTTGTAATTATTATTATAAATATTTTTTCATTTTAATTTTAAAAATTTTAATTTTGTTCTCGTTATTTATTTTAATCAAAGGATAAGAAAGAATGATAAAGATAAAAGGAAAGAAAGATAAAAGAAAGTGGGGTTGTCATTATTTTATTTTTTTTAAACTAAACAATCGTCAAGGGACGTGGGCAGTGAAACTAAATTATTTATTAACTTTACGTCTATTACTTTACATAATTTTCCTTTCCAAATCTTGGAGATAAAAATTATTGTTACAGTAATGCTATTTAAAAGCGAAGAACAAATCAATTTTTTTAATATAGTGTAAAAAATCAATTAGTATACACAACAATCAATAAATAAATTTACCTCAATAATTCTTCTTGAAGAGTGGTACAACTAGAGCATTCTTTGCTATTGTCTGCGCATTTCTGCAGAGTAACTAATCTTTCTTTCAACTGCTCACACTTTTTACACAGCGTGTCAATCCAAGTATCTCCAGGTTCCGCTTTTTCCATAATTTCTACGCTCGGATTGAGGATCCTTGCAAGAACGTAGACTTCCCTTGCCATTCTTTCGACTACATCCTTTAACCTTTCTTCGTCTTTCGAGTCCTGAGTAAGCTCTCTACAGAATTTAACATACAAGAATTGGATTTCAGATAAAAGGCTACTCTCTTCCAGGGCACCCTGCTCACCTTCCACGTCAGAATACTCAGCGTTACATATAACCGAGACCCTAGCATCGAGTAAAGACTTGTGGGCAACCACGTCGACGAACTGCGCCAACAGAGCACGAGTTTTTTCCTCATCTTCAACAGTAGGCCTATTAGGTACATTATTTTCTTTCTTCAAAGTCTCCAATCTTTTCTGATACTCATTTTGAAGCTTCTTAACTGCATTGTTCATATCATTTTTCAAATTTTCATCAGCTAGCGATGCCCACATTTCTAAATTAGCTCTCTCTTTGACAATACCTGAAAATCTAGTCTGGTTTTCGTTTTCTATATAACTGTGGTAGGTTTCCGAGCATTGACTGAGAACTTGTGAGATTTCCGCTTGGATCAATTCCTGGTTGACAGCTTCCTGTGCCATCGACCAAGCGGCTTGAAGGCAATCGTTGTTCTTACTCAAGCCTGCGTCATCAGCTAAACTTTCCACTGCAAAAGCTTCAGCAAGTTTATTGACAACAGAATTAATATAGCTTTCGACTTTTGCATCAAGTGAATTTTTCTTATTCAACAGTTCAGCAATGATGGGGTCAGGTTTTTTCCTTTCCTTGACTTTCCTACTGGCTCGCTTCACGCCCTGCTGTGTCAGATGCTTGGCAAGTGACTTGACCAAATAATCCAGGGATGTTTCCATATTGGGCTTTCCTCCACTTATCTTAGTATCCAAACCAGTAATCAACCTCTCGGCATCAGTCAGATCCAGGCTCTTACTTTCCATTACAGCATCATGTAACCTGCCGATCAGTACGGATTCATAAGCCAATTTCTCTGCCAACAAATTCAATTTGGCTTCGTTTGTCCATTGACCTGATTTAATCAAAGATTCCTTCTTTTTGGCAAGTACAATGAGTTTTGCTCTTAAAAGATTTTCCATTTTTTTCACCTCGTTCACCATCTCTTCTTTTTGACCACTATCAACTTCATCGCACTCTCCATTGAATAATTTCAGTTCGATTTGCTTTCCATCATTCGAACTCTCTTGGGCTGCTGCTAATTTTGCTTCTAAATTTCTCAGTCTTAGTAAAACCTAAAACATACATATTATTTGATTAATTTCTTTGCCATAATGTCAGAAATATTTCAACTATATATATAAAAAATTGAAGATATATCACCTTCAAGGGTTCCGAACTGGTTGCACTATCCAGAGATGTTCTCCTCAGCCTGTCTCCTTTGGTGTCTATTTCTTTTGGTGCAGGAGCAACGACTGCTTTAGCTATACCACTGGCAGGGATCTCTATATTACTCATTTTGCTCTCAAGCTCTGAAAGTTTTTCTTCAAGCTCTTTGCATATTGTAAAGGATTCTCGTCCTTTAAGAGATAAAGATCTTCTCTTTTCTCTCGTTTCTGTTTTTGCTAGTTTTTGCTTTAATGTTCTGATCTAAAATTAAAAAGCAGACATTGAAAAATATTCATTGATATAAAATGAACAAAGGCAGTGGTAATAATTTTTTTTTTCATTGAAGCAACAATAAAAAACATATAAATTAATTGAAAATAAAAAAATCAAGTTAGAACCCAACCCCATAATTGGAGGTGTGAGCAAATGAAAGTTGTATATAATATTTTATTTAATGTTGAGTTATTATAAAATATGAAGAATTAACCAAAATATGGCCTACCAAACAAAAAAAAAACCTAAAGTAATCAATAAAGATAATTTGAAATATCTTAACATTCATAATTTTTTGCTAACATAATGATGAGCTTTTCAAAAGTTTTTCAATAATTTATAATTACCTGCTTTTCAGCTCCGGACAACTTAGTAGCAAGATCTTGTATCCTGGCGGCCATAAGATTACTACTGGCATCGGCTTCCATCTTCATACTGATCCCTTCCTGCCGAGCACTCACCAAGCTCAACTCCAACCAATCGCACTGTGCTTGAGATTCACGCAATTCACGTTTGAGTGCCCTGATCTCGCTAACTGCCTTTTCAAACCTTGATCTCAGATCTGTGTACTCCTCAATCATCCTATGGAATAATTACTTTAATATAATTATTTTTTAAAGACAAATATCCTTACTGTATATTAAATAAGAAAATATATATAATAAAATTCACAACAAATTTTTTTGCCATATTGATCAAAAATATTAGATTAAATAATTCCATATGATGTAAGCTCGTTAATGGCTCACTTGCTAAAGCCATTAAACCAGAATTGACAAAATATAAAAATAAATCAAATAATTCTCAATAACATAAGATATTGTCATTGATACCTCATCAACAGTATATAACCTTTACATAAAAATAATAATATAACCTTATCATACCAGGAACATGGATACTATGTAATTTAAAGTTTGATTTGATTTTTCATAATAGGATAAAAGTTGTGTAATTATAAATTTGAAGTTGATGAGATTATCACTTTTTCACACTAACTCAATAACCCAAGTCAGCAATTTCCTGCACTAGAGTCCACTAAACTAGCAAATACAATTAAAATCAACGTGATTTAACAAAATGTCAAGTAGGTCATATTTGGCTTGGCGCTTAATTGATTTTAAATTATAAATAATTAATACATTGAAATTTGATTAATATGTTTAAATAACAAAAAGTATATTTACAAATTATCGTAGAAAATATATTCTGGTATTGAAAGTTATATGTAGTTTATTTTTTTAATTGGAGTTATTTCAGAGGGAAATTTTTTTAGGTCAGGTCAGCTTAGTTTGTACATAGAGGTTAACATTGCTCAGATGACATAAGCTGAGCAGGACAAAAATAAACAATAAATAAGTGAATATTTAAAACATTTTATTTGTAATGTTAATTAAATATAAATGCAACATAAATGAAAATGTTTAAATTTAATGAATGTTTATAAACAATTTTCTATCAACATATTCATTATGTTTTATAAAAATAAAATTGAACTTTATTTTGGAGGGAGTACATCTCCCAACTAGAAACCGTTTTTAAGGAATTAAAATTTTTCAATTTTAGAAATTTATTCCAAGGAATAGCAGTTATAAATCAGTAAAATCATGAAAAAAATTGTATTCCAATAAATGAGAATTAAAGTCATAAAAAAAAAAAACTTTAAAAGAAGAAAGAATTTTCTATATCTATATAATATATATAAAATATGAAAACCTATAGAATAGAAAACGTTAAATTGTTTCAAAGGAATCATAAACATAAGAATAAAGAAATTATGAATAATTGAAATTTCAAGAACACTGGAAAAAATTATATCATGATTTTGGTATTAAGAATTTTTACAATACTTTCCAATTCCAGTTACTTATACGATTTCCTTGAAAACTTATAAAAAATAGATTTAGTGGGCTTTAATTATAAAGCTCTTTATATATATATATATATATATATATATATATATAAACAATGCACAATATATGCAATATTCGTTCCCGGTCTTCTGATTTATATATAAGGGCCCACCGAACCGCTGCTTTCAACAGATCATTCATTATCTGATCCTCATTCCTACAGAACTCCATTAAATATGTATATAAATTATCAGTTCGTTCTTCATTATTTTTATTTCATGTTTTTTTTTTTTCAAAATTTTATTTTTTATTATTAACTGATTAAAATTAGAAAGTAACTTATATTTTTTTATTTTTTTACTATGACTATTTAATTACTCAGTATTTTTGTTTATGTATCTCTGAGGCTCCTTAGCCCATATTTCTGTCTTTCTGTATTATTCTAAAGGGACTAGTACCAGAATAAATAAAGTATTATTATTATATATAAAATAACTTTTTAAAAAACTCAAACCAGTATTTTGACTATTTAAAAAAAAATAAAAGGCAATTAATGAAAGTGTAAAAATTACCTAAATTTTTTTAAATTTTATTTTTTATTTAAATGAAATCTACAACAGTATTACATTAAAAATACAACAAGTAAATGTGACATTGGTAACATGACATGTAAAACATGAAGAGAAACTACCCATTGGTAGAACTCAAAATCTAAAATATTTAAAACCGATATATTGCACCAATTGTCTCACCTACTATATAAGAATGTCTAATGCATAATATACTTATCAATCCTTTTTGGACTTGACATAAATATATAAATTTGTTTTCATTTTTATATCAAATATCAAATTACAGCATTATTCTATAATATATTCGGGTGTACTAATGCACATCATATTACCAAATGATCTATTTTTCCTTCTTTTTTTCTACCTATCATTTACTCTCATATAATCTTATATTTACCTTTCCAGTGAACACAATTTAAGACCATAATTTTTGAAGGGTAAAGCAAAAATGAATTACCTGTCTTTGTCGAGTCGAGAAAGATCAAGAGTGAGATCAATGTTGGTCAGATCGGAAAGAGAATCTACGCTCCTTGCCCTTCCCGAGCCTGGCCGCAGTTTGGCATAAAGGGCTTCATTCTCCTCGATGGCGGAGGCAAGCCTTGCTTCCAGCCTCTCGACCTCACTGGCCAATCTTTCAGATAGCTGCTTAGCGTCGTTAAACTGGTTGAGGGTAACGGATAAGCGGGTGTTAGCTTCATCTAGCTCATTCTCAGCATTGACTAAGGCCCTTTCCCATTCATCTTTGTCTTCAGAATACCTTCAAAAAGTTTAAATATCGTTATGAATATATCAACAATTTAATATTTAAAATCTGTTGCAGCATGCATCTAACAACTTTCACTTAGCAGCATAATAAAATAATTAAATTTCTACTCAAATATTAATATTTAATTATTTAAATACATTATTGAGGTTAAGTTATTAAACTAAAATAGTATTAAACAATTTCAGAATGACAATATCGATGCACTTTTTATTTTTATTTTTTAAAGCTTAACAATAATTGCAAAAGTTTCCATTTAGTTTGGAAATTTGATTTAGTTTTAAGAAATTATTATTATCATTAGTATACTAACCTGTTTTTCAACAACTCTAATTCTGCAGAATCTCTAGCTCTTAGTCGACCGCTTTCCTCTTCTCTTTTTACTAGATCCTCAACCTTCAATAATGAAAAAGTATTTTAGTAATTACACTAAATATTGTGATTTTAAAAAAATGTTCTAATATTTTATCGTTTGTAATCTGAATACATATTAAAATTTAATTAGTATACCTTTCTTTCTAAAGCAACCAGATCTGCATTCCTCTTCTTGTCCTTAATGTCATCAGTATTTTTCTCGAAGGTTTTCTCTCGAAAAATGTAGTCGGTTTTATCTTCAACAATATCTTTCACCTGAAAATGATAAACAAAAAATTACTCATTAGACCAAGTAAAAAAATATCTAATATTATATATAGAAAAATATAATAAAACACAATGTTTGAGAATTTTATTTTACTGAATACTGAGTTTATATGTTGAGTGAACGCAGCAAGGTACCTCTAGAAATATTTATCTAAAGTAGCGACCAACCTGAAGCTATCTGAAGGTTTAAAAAAGGTAAAAGTGGTTTCTTTACTTGTCTGAACACCAGATTGCATTGCTTCTCGATCTTCGCTTGCTAAGTGTAACTGATAATTTTTTATAATCTAAATTAATTTGGATTTTTGAAAATTAGTGCTTAAAATCAATGTTTTGATTTCTAACAAAGGCAAAGAATTTTTCTTCAAGCAATTGATCTGATGAGAAGAAAAACATTTTTTTTGTAAACCTATATTCCTGGTTTGGAAAAAGAGTAGCATAACTAAAAATTTTCCAACTTTTGCATAATTATAATCATCTTGTTGATAAGATCTATGAAGAACATTAATATTTAGTCTTGCTGGATTTCCTCTAAAGTAGATGAAATATAAATATATAAATATTCAAAAACATAGCAACCTACTTAAAGTTAATTTTTGAGTTGTACCAGCCTTTTTCCACACTAGCGATATAAACTAAAATCATAATCTGATTTCATATATTAAAAATAAATTTTCTAATTCTTCTTTTATAAAAACTTATGTTTAGAGCATGATATCTTCCTAACAATGGCAAATAAGAAAAACAAAAAAGTTAAAGTTAAAGTAATGAGTATGTTGAGGTGGTCTCTCTAATAGACCAGAATTTAAGAAACATATACTTACTGTTAGTGCAAAAGGCCGTATGTAAAAATTGAGTTTTTTTTTTTTTTTATAAAAGAGCATAGAAACTGATTATTTATTTATAATTGTGGGTTGATTGTTGACTGTAGTGAATAATGAAGAAATGGATAGTTGTGGTGATCAGTTAAAAATAAAAATGGCAAGAATAAATAATAATATTTATTTTAACATTTGCCGACGTTTCCACCCGAAGTTCAGAGCTTCATCAGGGCTGATCGCTATTGATCAAAGAAATCGCTATTGATAGAATGATAATAATAATAATCAGAGCTGATCGCTATAATAATAATAATCAGGGCTATCGCTATTGATCAAAGAGATCGCTATTGATAGAATGATGATTATTTATTTATATATAATTTTATATTTTATTTCGCAATACTATTTTCCAAAGTAACAGATTATTTATTGCAGCTGGAGACTACAAATTGTCACCTTTAGCACAAATAGAATTAAAATTGAAAATTGTTACATACGACCTTTTGTACTAACAGTAATAATATAAATCATATGAAAAAATAAAACAAGAATTGAACATTTTATCTTCAATTGAAGTTATTGATCTCTCATTATCAGTAAAACATTATATATATATATATATACTGTTAATTAAATGTTTTTTTTTAAATATTAAGTGATTCATTATAGTGTTCTAATTGAAATTTTATGGGAGATAAAATTTAAGATACAAAATAGTTTTATTAACTAAAACATGTGTTACTTCTAAATTATATGTTTGTTTCTTTAAAAAATATCAATAAAGGTATCAAAAAAAGTAGTCGAATTAGTAAATATGTGCACATCCATTATATAATTTATTAGAAAACTAAGATACAATAAGAATTCCAAGAACAAAACAAGTAATGTATTACCTTAGAATCAGAGGAAAGATGACTGGCTGTTATCATTTCTTGGCTCGATACAGAATCCAGGGTCGATCTGCGAGAGTTCGGAGGTGACGACCTTGACCTTTTATTTCCTAATCCCCGCCATTTAGATACACCTCTGAAAATTAAATAATGATTTGTTAATTAATTAATTTTCATCTTAAATATTGAGTATTTTCGATATAGTAGAATAAAATATACAAGGTATACAATCATGTTGAGAACAATAAAACTGAAAGGTTCCTTATTATCAAATCATACTTTTGAGCAGTGTGTGACTCCTGGTCATTTTTTTATTTAACTGCTTCGTTTCACTAAAGAATTCAATCTTGACAATATACTTAAAATATTATCTTGATTTTAAAACATATGTTTTTATAAAATGTAAAATAATCTCATTTACTTTAACTACACTATTTAATTGAGTGTGTCAATATATATTTTTCAGCAACAGCAATGGGTTGGAATTCAAATATGTCCATAAAGTAAAAAAGGAATCAGAATATCTCCAATGCAACCTAAATATCTCCAAAGAATATTTATCAAAATAATTAATCTGTAATTACTACAGAAAACTAGTTGACCCATGCGAATAATTGATATATTGATCAATGAACAAATGGCAAAATAATATATAAATAAGTTAAGGCAATATATTACAAAATGGAGGAATTAATTTTCTTTTCCACAGTTTAATAACAATAGTTCATTCATAACAATAAATCAAAACGCATACAGATTACTATAGACAGTATCTTTGCTAATAATGGCTCCAATTCGAAGATTTTTTTTTTCTGTAGTTTTGTAAGGAATCTGGTAACCTTTTGTAAATAACCATGGGTGTATTCCACCGTAAGTTGCATAATTTTTGAGTTATGCGTATTTTTTTTTTTTATTCCTTCATGACTTATTTTCCTGAAATTTCAGGGGAATGTAACTATTTTTCCCAGTTGAATCTTCAAAATGAGAAGAACAATCATTGGATTTTATGAAGAATTAACAAAAATATGGCTTACTGACAAAAATATATCTTTGAAAAATAATATACAAAGATATTTTAATTATTACGTGATTAGGAATCCATGGCATTAAGATTCACTATCACTAGTATAACATGGGACCATACGTTATCTCAAAAACAATATATTTTAAGGAATTATTTCACTGATACTGTCTACCGCACCGACTGCTGGCGGTTGACCACTGCTTCAGTGGGATAGAAAGGAGACTGTTTCGTTGGGGCTGTTCGGCAGTCTAGGTATGAAGCCATATCAATACTACTCCATTTTGATCACTGATCTCCAAATTGAAAACACCCCAATTACGAGAATTTTTGTAAATAAAATAGTTGTAAGTTACGATGAGATAAAACTAAAAGTTTCAGACGGATGTTAATAATTTGATAAAAAGGGGTCTGTACCACGGACTAGAATACTAGAAACCGTATTTTGAATAGAACTATTTTTTTTACTTGATAGTTATTTAACGGGGAGGATTTCCTTTTTTTCCCTCTGTGGATCTGTCAATGATTCAGCTGAAGAGCGACCAAAACTTCAATGGAAAATGTAATAAAGAATAAGGATGTGGTATTTTTTAACATAAAACATAAAAAAAAAAATTATCTATTCTGTTGAACAATTTCTCATTTTAAGAATAATAATAATATAGTAGAAATTATAATTAAAAGTAAGTTGGAAAGCTAGGATTTTATCTATAGCTGCTGCAATATGTACCTTGCTCTTTCTTTAACCCGAGACATGGGCGTTCGATTTAAGGGCGGCGAAGGGGGAAGAGCCTCCCCCCATTCGCCGCTCTCTCTTCTTCCACCCTCGGATGCTGTTCTGTATTCGTCATCAGAGGAGAACAGGAGGGATCTAGGGGTAGGCATCACAACCGAATCAACATTACCCCTGTCCCTGCAAACCATGCTTGTTAATCAAAACAATGCACAAAAATAAAACAAAAACACAGTTAATAAAAAAAAAGTAAGTTTAAGCTTTATTGATTTCTCAAAAACAGAAAATTATTTATGGGTTGAAATTTAACAAATTAATCTTTTAAAAATATATTTTTTAGCATGTTTGTGCAATGGGAAATATTGTGGAGAAAAAAAATTACTTTAATAAACAGAATTAAAACACAAACACCTTCTTTCTTTCAGTAGTATTAAAACAAAGATTGCATAGAAATAGTCAGACATAAAATAACAACAGTAAAAGAATACTTGTAATGAATTTGACATCAACAAAGCTTGAACTTAAAAAAATGAGACATATCACAAAACAAACTTAACATAAAACAATAAATAACATTTCACAATACTTCTTGGCATTAAAATATGTAAACATTTTATGCCTACTATAACATAAATAATACTTACAACACAAATCAACACTAATAATAGGCTTAATAACAAGTAAAGAACGGCAACAGTCAAATTATCTTTGAAGATATTTTTTTTTTATGGTAACCTGATATTTTAAGCACTTAAGGTATTATATTAATTTCTCTTCTGAAGCTAAGCTTAACTAGATAAACTATCAGAGGAAAGATATTTCACCGGAGATAATTACTATAAATAGAAATTTCGAACAAGAGGAGAAAGTATATATATATATAAATTAATACCTAATTAGCAAACTTGACAGGAGCAGTAATAAATATTATAATATGTTTTTAATGTTATTTACTATTGAAAAGAAAATGTTTAATAGTAGCATTGAGCCTCGAGAGTAAGTAGCATTGTAAAATCTTCAATGCAAATTAATTTTTCCAGAGATGATAGTGACTTTACAGTAAGTATGTCCAAGAAAAATTCAATAATAATAGTGAGTTGTTTTCTCAAATGCTTTGTAAAAAAACAAAACTTAATCAGAATATGGACGTGATTAAAAATATGACAAAATTCAATTCAAACTAAGCATATATTGAACTTGAATATAAAATTGAAATATTAATTTTATTTAAATTTGCTATATGAGCGGCTTCATTTCGTAATATATACAATTTTCAAAAAGTTGAGAAAAGACAAATTTTGTTGTAGCGCTTTAATTTTAACCAATTTTGATGTGTTTTTTTTTTTTCTTAATTCAACTTCAATATTCTTTTCAAGAAATCATAAGAATTATTTAAATTGAAGCTTTAAAACAAAAATTGGCTTTTACTCAACTTTCTGAAAATAATGGATACAGGCCTCTAATATGAATTCAGTCAATTGATAACTGATATTTGATAATAATAATTATGATTAAAAAAGCAAAAGTAAAAAGTTAACAGGCAAAACCATATAAAAAAGTCTATGAATTGCTTCTTTGTCTTAAGTAAATAGAAGTTATAAAACAAGAATGATTAAATAAAGACATTACATTCATCAATTAAAAACAATGCGACATGTAGCCTTTTAAACTGCTAAAAAATGGAATTTTTATCGGCTATTAGAAAAAAGTAAATAAACAGTCAAAAAAAAAAAAAAAAAAAAAAAGCCAATGACTAAGAAACCGAACAAATAAAAATATAATCTGTAACCCTTAATGTAAAAGTTAGTAACCCTAAATGATTTCAAACTTATGAAAAAATAATGTCTATTACTTTAAAAAAAAAAAATTAACTCCTTAGTATTATTTTACAAAACAATATAACCAAATAAAACTAATAACAAATAATTGCACATAGGAACTTTAAACTCAAGCCAGTAAGCTATATATTACATTTAGAAATAACAGAACTCTGATAGTCAAGTCAAAATTAAATAAACAAACAAAATAGAAAAGAATATGGACACTTACTGAACAGGAGAAGACAGGTTGCTTGATTGTTCTTGGATCCCCGCTGCCTTCTGAATAGCAGATATCCAGTTGGCACGTATACCACTCGTCAAGGCTGACAACGTAAACACCTTTCCATCCCAAGTCTGTAATCGATTAATAAAAGTTATAAATAAAAAATAAAATAATCACAAATCTACATAAGGGGTAAATGTACCAGTAATAGACACTTTAAGAGAATTTGTCTACATTAATATGAACTACAGCTTTAATTCTGAAGGTGAATCTTCAAAAATGGATTTAATTTAAAGAAAATTTAATCTTTTATTGAAACAAGTGCGCTAGATGGGCAGTTTGTACCATTTTAACAAAAGTGATAAGGCAGTCTCCAAGTGACAAACACTTAGTCTTGTTTTATTAAAAAATGGACTACCAAGCGGCCATTAGAGCATGAAATGAGTTGTTCAGATGTCAGCTTTCTGAATGTGTATTTGTGCTTAAAATCTCTAAAGAGAATGAAAAAAGTTTATGAATTTAAAAGTGTCTATTACTGGTACATTTACCTTAAATATTCATTTGTATATTCTTTATCTGATGTAGTATCCTCCCATATAGGAATATATTTTTATACATTAAATACAACTAGCATAATTTATGCATTGACATTGTATTATTTATCAATAATAGTTTCAACAATACAATTTAAATATTACAATTAGACTGATTAGATGAATTATACAGTATATGTTTAATAATTTATAAATACTATTATTTACTAAACCTCTTAAATATATGTTTTGTTATTTGTAACATAATGTTGATCATTTCCATCCTTTTTTTAATAAAATGTCATTGATTACTTTAAATTTATCTGTCCTGTTGTTGCAGTCTGTTATCATAAATAGTATAATGACTTGGTCGGGATCATATTTTTTAAGAAATTACATATCTTTAGGCAACATTTGTCTGTCTGAGTTATATCTTTGATGTAGCAGTACCAGAATTAAGTTTTTCTTTTTATAAGACAATAAGTATAAAATGGTGTCCAGCCAGAAATAATTCAAGTATCTCAAGGCTGCGAACTGCCAAATTCAAACAGCTTTTTCATCAATTTAAAAAACTCTCAGCCCCTTATTTTGGTCCAGCATTAATCTTTAAATCTTAAAGCTGGAGAATTTGAGGGTTATGGAGAATAAATATGATGGCAATACTAGAACAGTCAAAGCTGATACTTTTAAAATAGTTTTACAATTCTATAACATCTCTTTGTAAAGAAGAACTAGTTTTTGGACAATGGCTGTGGCTGTGCAAAGAGGCAATTTTAGTACCTACTTTATATAGGCAAGGCTGGGTACAGCAACAGAAGTCTCCCGACCCCAGGGGCAATCCACAGCTGATGCCACAGAATAAATAATATCAAGTCACAGTTGGACTCGAACCTGGAACTCAGAGCATAGGAGCTCAGTGCTTTTTTCTCTGAGCTACTGAAATTACATCAATACTAATAAGGCTTAGTGAACCCTAAGGTTCGATGCCAATCAATGTCTACATTCTTCCATCCACCTGGTGCCAAATAAACCCAATCCCTGTAAGATCAGCCTGAACCTTCCAACCTTCCCTTTGGTCTACCCCTCGGACGCTTCCCATTCGGCACATGTTACTTTTTTAGAAATTTGTTTGTTACTAATCCCAGCTACTTTACATACCCATTTTATTCGCCTCAATTGAATCATCTCGACTTGCTTGTGACCAGTCGCATTTGCGGTATAGTGTGTTTTCTGATTGCTGTCTTTGTGTTGTTTATGTTGTTGTTGTTTTTTATGTTTGTTTACTGTTAATTAACTTTTTTAGACATGGTTTGTTAATTGTAGTGTTTTTTTTTTTTTTTTTTTTTATAAGTGTAAATAGTTTTGAATATTGAGGTTAGAAAGCCTCGCATGGTTTTCCACGAAATTTTGACCTTAGTACATAAAGACTATTAATATCTAGAGATATTAGAGATAGAGAAAGACTAAATATTAATATCTAATTAGAGTATCATAATTAGAATAATTAAAGTTTATCAGAAAAGACTCTTTTTGAAATCTGGTTGAGGTAAGTTATTCATAACCTATCCAAATTCGTTTAATAAATTGTATTATTGTATTGAGTTATCAAGGAATACAAAAAGAAAAAAATTAGAATCCTTTATTAGCAAATATAATAGGAAGTTCCCATTGGAACTACAAAAGAATTATACAAACAATTGCTGATAACTGTTCCTAAACTATTTTAAATTAGATAGGTTAGGACTGTTATCACTGCAGTAATTAGTGTTAAAATACTATTTACTATGGACGATAGTGTTATAGAAATGGAAGAAGAGATAGAAGATGAGAAAAAACCTAAAAGATCAAGACCTGTAGCCAAGAGAGCCAGGAATGGATCGCCTGATATAACAGACCAAAAAGAGAGTAAAACGGATCCGTTGTTAGTAGAGGCGAAGGCCATTCAAGAAAACTTAAGAGTTTACCTTACGAACGTGGATAAAAGATTAAGTGTGAAAACACAAAAAGATATAAACGGTAAAGTGAGTCATCTTATCGATATCATGGAAACCGTCATCGATAGATCGAAAGAACAGAGAGCATTAATTGAACGAGTTGTCAAGGAGACACTATCATCTCCTAGCGTGTTTGACAAAATCACGGACATTCTCGTTGAACGATCTCTACCTAGAATTTTCGAGAGGCTTCCAGCAGCGGAAACACAAAACCACAACCCACCGCCTAAAGCTGGAACATCTGGGATCAATTCATTAAACAATGAATTAATAATTAAACCTTCAGAAGAAGTTTTAGAATCAGAAGATTTTGCTATAGTTCAAAGTCGAAGAAAAAAGAAAAACGTTAAAATGATAGCCAAAAAGAACGAGGAAGTAAATGAGCAACTGAAAGGAGTACAGAACAGTTCTAATGCCTCAATTTTACCCCCGGCAAAGAAAACTATGGCGGACATAGTTAAAACGCTACCGATTAAACCTAAGGAAAATGCACCGCGGCATGCGTTTGTTACAATGGCTAGAGGAGGGAAATCTGCTCTAGAAATTGTTAGCGAATTACCATCTCCGAATGAACTAGGAGTACAGGCAAAAGTGATCCGTACAACCAAGGCTGGTGCTGTTCTCGTACGCGTAGAAGATGAAAATCAAGCCATCAAGCTTTTACAGTGCCAAAAGTTACTAGAGAAAGGGATAGAAACTAAGATGGCATTGAGGAGAAAGCCTAGACTGCAGGTAAGGGGAGCACCTCACTCTTGGACCGCATCTGAATTGGAAATGGTAATATGGGGAAGATTGCCTCAGGGGACAATACCCATTGGGCTAGAAAGAAAGGAGTGTGTCCAGGCATGTTTCTCTTCAATAGCAAGAGGAGGCCTTACAAGGAATTGGGTGATAGAGGTTCATCCGATGATAAGATTTGGCCTAATACAAACATCAGTTATTGATGGAGGATGGTGGTCCTTGAACTTTAAAGATTATATAGATCCTCCTTGCTGCATGAAGTGTCTGGGATATGACCACTCTAAGGCGTCCTGCACAGCAGACTCTCTGGTTTGCAAATGGTGTGCCTGCCCAGGTCACATAGCTAAGGAGTGCCCAAGAAAGAAGGAAAGGGCAGAACCGATTTGTGCGAATTGTGTACGAGAAGGGAAACAGAAACACCTGGCCAAGCACCAAGCGGGCTGTCAAACTTGCCCAGTCCATTTAAAGAAGACCCAAGAACTAGCGAAGAGAACCAAGTATGAGTAACAAGATTACTATCCTACAACTTAATATGGGCCGACGGCGTCTTGTGTCTGATGAGCTACGAGCTCTAGCGCATCGCTATGACATTTTCGCGGTTCAAGAACCAGGTTGCTATAGGAACATGGTCACGGGGTTTGGCCTCACGTCAAGGGTTATAGCCTTGAGCAGTGGAGAGGGGAGGCCCAGGGCTGCTATAGTTATCAATAACCCCAACCTTGACGTGATGGAACTGAGGCAGTATACCATGGCGGACCGTGCTGTATGTTACATAAGATGGGGCAGGATTGCTTTTACACTGATATCTGCCTACATGCACGATAGAAGAGATGTTGAAGAGGATATATCCGCCATGGAAACGATCTTACAAGGTACAAGAAACGTGATCGTCTGCTCAGATGCCAACTCCTGGAACACGGTCTGGGGGTCCAATCGAACAGACAGAAGAGGCGTCAAGCTGGGTGAATTTATTGCTAGAAACCAATTGGTGGTGATAAATGATCCATCTGCTACACCTACCTTCTCTGGAGGTAGAGGGCAGAGCTGGATAGATATCACTCTAGCTTCACCAACGCTATCTAGATACATCTTCGATTGGACACTCAGATCAGAGACGAGTTCGGACCACAATGCGATTGCATTTGGCCTGGTAGATGATCCAGGATGTTCCTATGGCAACGTGAAGGGCTATTTGACCAGAAGAAGTGAATGGAATGTCTTTCGGTGCATGATGGAGGGTGAAATGGTCGACGAAGAGTGGGAAGTTGAGGTTTCAGAAAACACCGATGACCTAGACTACAGGGTGTCAAGGATTACTGATGCCATCCGTGATGCTGCCGAGAACTCCCTCCAGCACCGGAAGACGAGGGCTCGACCTGTCCCGTGGTGGACGCCAGCCTTAACAGCTATGAAGAGAGACCTCTACAAGGCACGGCGGTCGTACCAGAGGTGCACATGCGACGAGAGGCGCACTGCACTTCGTAACGAGTATAAGTCCATGGCCAGGGTATACCGAAATGAGGTTCGTTCACGAAAGCGGAAGTCTTGGGACGATTTTATCGTCGAAGAATCTTCAAAGAATCCTTGGGGTATTCCGTATAAGGTGGCTCTGGGCAAGTTGACTTCGCTGCAAACGATAGCGGCGATGAGGCATGAAGATGTCCATGCTACTACCTTAGAAGAGACCGCTAATTTCTTCGTCAAAGCGACTTACCCCAAGGACGACCCATCTCAAGACACCCAAGAGGAACATTTTGTGAGACATACCACGGTATACCCGCCAGGCACTGACTTTTGCTCACCATGGGACGCAGATGATATTCGTATTGCCGTGGGTAGGCAAAAGAATGGCCGCGCTCCAGGACTTGATGATATAGATGCAGCGATCCTAAAGAACAGTATCTCCTATATTGAAGAGCGACTTTTAGGAATCTTTAATGATTGTTTAGATAGGGGATACTTCCCAAGGAAATGGAAGATCGCTGATTTGAGACTCCTCTACAAGGGAGGAGGCAGGGATAAACAACTTCCTAAGTCATATAGACCAATTTGTCTCCTCCCTGTGATGAGTAAGGTCCTGGAGAACCTCATGATGACCAGGTTACGGCCAGTTCTCAATCAAGCAAGCCATCCACGGCAATACGGCTCTACCAGAGGCAGAGGAACCGCTGATGCTCTGCTGAGAGTTCGCAGAGATGTTGAAGAAAGGGAGGAGCGATACGTCATGCTGCTCCTTTTTGATATATCCTCCGCCTTTGATAGTTTATGGTGGCCCTGCGTACTCCAGCAGCTGCAAAAATATGACGCTCCCAGCAACCTATATGCCCTCGTAAGGAGCTATCTTCAGGACAGGCGAGTGAAGATCAAAGGCAGCTATTACGAGGTAGAAGCTTCCGTAGAGAGGGGATGCCCTCAGGGATCAGTACTTGGTCCTGCTCTATGGAAGCTGGTTTTTGATGAGTTGCTGGGAGTGCTTGAAAATGAGCGGTTCTCTGCCACTGCCTATGTTGACGATCTAGCTGCTGTGGTGGCATCCAACAGCAGGGCGGGGATCAAACTAGCAGCAGAGCGATGTGCCAACCTTGTAGCCAGATGGTGTGAGGGAAAGAAAATGCGTATGGCTGCTGAAAAGACGCAAGCCATCCTCTTGAAAGGCACGACTGATAGAGCACACCCCATTAGCATGGATATAGAAGGTCAAATAATACGCCCAAGTGAGGTGGTAACATATCTTGGTGTAAGGTTAGGAAAAGGCCTAAATATAACACCTCACTTGGATTATCTAGCAACTAAGGTGACCCAAGCCTTGAACGGACTCAGTCGTGTTGGGGGTGCATTCTGGGGCCTCAGATACCCCGCAACGATGACGATCTATAAAGGTGTTGTGCTGGGTATCTTGAGGTATGCATCTCCCTCCTGGTATAGGAACCTCACACAGCGACAGCGAAAAAGGTTGGCGTCGATCCAGAGGATGGCCCTGTTGCGTGTCACCAGAGCATTTAGGACAACGTCACATGAAGCAGTGCAGGTCCTAGCGGGGGCGGTACCTCTCGACCTCCTCCTGCGAGAAGATGTGACCAAGCATAAATACAAGAAAGAAGGCTTGGCTGGAGTTCCAGAAAATCTGCGGGTGAGGATTGTGGAAAGTCCCAACAAATGGAAGAAGATAATCCGGGAGGATACGATTGAGGAATGGAGCCGTCGGTGGGTTGCTACCCCGAAAGGGAGTACTCTCAGAAAATACTTCCCCACCGTACAGTCGCGGTTAGATGCACAATGGATCCTCCCGGACTATTGGATTTCACAGTTTCTCACGGGGCATGGAGGTTTTCGAGCTAAGCTACATGGCTTTGGCCAGGACATAGATCCCCAATGCCCCACTTGTGGAGTTCTGGAGACTGTCGAGCACGTGGTCACGGCCTGCACTGCATTTGAAGGAATAAGGGCAACGATGATGAGAACCGCAGGAATTTACGTCCTAACAGAGGATGAACTTCCTCAGTTGGTAAGTAAGGAGAACTTCCCTCGGTTCAAGAAATTTATTTATGACTGGAAGGAGGCAGTGGGTCCAGCCCACTTCAACATCGGAGCACGGAGAAGAGGACCACCACCAAGAAGACCGCCGGAAGACGGACACCCTTGATAAGACGTCACCGAAGATATATTTTAAACTGTTTCACTTGCAGTAGTATGCTGTTATGCAGTCATGCATAACAGCCCACTATTGCAAACGCCCGTATGGCCCATCAGGCAAGGTAGGGTGGAATGTAAATAAATAAATAAATAATAAATTGAATCATCTCAATTATATTAACCGGGGAAAGTTCGTGCAATTCAGCATTGTGTAACTGTTATCTTATTCAGTTGACTCATCCCTCTTCAGTCTGAATATTCTGCACAATACTTTATTTTCAAAAACCTTAAGACGTTGCTCATCCCTTAATGTAAGCAGCCAAGTTATGCGCCCATAAAGAACCACAGGAAGGATAATAGTTTTGTAAATTCTAATTATTAAGTTTCGGAACAGGAGGCGCGAGCTAAGTAGTTTTGACAAAGAAAAATTTCTCACCTTCAACTTAACCTTAATCTCCTTTTCAATTTCCTGAAGTAGGATTTGAACGCCCTACTCACAGTTCAAAAAATATCAAACTGAATTACATTAAATAAAATAATTTTAATGAAGCAGTTATTATATTTTAGTTACCGTTAATTGAAAACCATAGTTCCTTTGAGATTGGCTTTCATTGACACTACTAATTCCTGAAAGATCAATAACACCATCCAGAATCCCTTGGTCTTCCGCCTTTGGATCTCGGTAATACAAAAGTCCATTGCCTCTTAATACGAACCAGTGCTTCGTCCATTCCTTTAAAAAATAAAAATTAAATTAAATAGAATGACACATAAATAGATGAAAGATTTAAATTACTGAATCCTATAAATACTTTATCTTGTCCTTGTTTCATAAGCCAGCCCCTTTTAATATTGAGAAGTTCTTCTGCGGGTAAATCAATGCGGAGGTCGCTTGGAGAATACCTAAGAATCGAAGTATCAAGCCCACAGCCATCAGGATCTCCCCTTATCTGCAATTTGATGCATAATATCTAGTGGTAATAGATTAAGAGGAAAAATATTAAATACTTATTATTGAAGTTAATTCATTACATTAAATATACAAACAGAGAGAGTGTGACAGTGAGAGAAAAGACTAACATTCTTTAAGAAGATGATAGAAGAGACACAATATCACATAACGCAAAATATCTATTTTTGTTTATCATTTACTTTAAAAATTGTGATTACGGTTTTTAAATAAATTTGCTGACTTTTCACTTTTTCTCAATTAAAAAACGTATATAACTTTTAAAAAAATCATTCAATCCTGGAGACATTAAAAAATTTTAAGATTATAATATACATATAAATTGCCTTACTATTATTTAAAACCTTTTCTTTATTTTTTTAAAATATATTAATCAAGTATTTAATTGAAAAGTTAACCTTCCTGAAATAAAGATTTTTTCTTTCCAGTAATATTCGAACACTAGTAAGACTGCCTTAATTAGCCACCAGCTGAGCCCAGGTCTGGAGCAAAAAATGCAATAGACTCTCGATCTTCCAACTCAATATTTCATGTTTTTTTTTGTCAATAATGTAAGTATTGGGAAAATAAAAGTTCCTACTAAATTATGATAACAAAAGTTAATTGTTTTACATTAAATAGAACATATTTTTATTTATTTGTATTTTATTTTTTTACAAACTTAATTATTGATGATCAATAAAATATAACAACAATTACTTGAGTTAGGTATTCATAACAGCAGTAGGGCTTGAACTATTTTTTATTTGAAAAAAACATTTATTGACATTTTTTCTGTGAAAGTTTAAAATTGAGTTAAAATTCATTTTTTCCCCTAATCTAGATTTAATAATTATAATCAATTTACTTTTTATTTAAATTAAAAAGAATATAAAACAAGAAATATTTTAAAATATATTTTCATAATGCGTTGTGTGATCGATTAACATCAATGGCCCCGCTGAGAAAATGCATACAAGAAACTCATTGAATTACATATGTCCAAATAGTAAAAAAAATCTGGGATACAGAGCATTTAAACCTTAAGATTTCAAAAATAAAAATAAACTCAAATAAAATGTTTACTACTATACAATATATACCTGTCTGTGCGAGGAGAGATCGCTGTCCCTCGTCGGCTCCAGGCAATGTTGACTTGAAAGGCTCCTTCCTCTTGGTCTTGTGATGGAATCAGCAATATCTTTCAGTTTGCACTCACTCTCATATTCTTCCATGAGTAGTCGATGGGACACCTCGTGGTGAGGGACAGTGGGGGAAACAACAGCTGAAAAATTGAAATGTTTATGAAAATGAGATAGAAAAAAAAAATCTTTGAAGAAATAAATGCTTCAATAAATACCTGGTGGAGAGGGTTTTTCAGATTGCCAGACAGGAACCATTTTAGAAATATCTTCAGAAAAAGATCTTCCAGTTTTGAGGCCCCTTTTCTCCCGGTTGGCAACTCTTCTTGTCCGACCTTTTTCGTCAGCTTTGTCTCTGGTCGGAGGAGAGCCCATATAAACTATATTGAAAAAAATATATCTATTGAAAAAAGTGGTCATAGCCATCATAAATAACCTTATTTTAAAAAATTTATTAAAATTAATGGAGAGAAAGGTGTTGAGAAGAATATGGGGTGCAATAGCGGAGAATAGGATTTGGAGAACAAGAAATAATGAGGGACTAGAACTATTTGGGGCATTGTGGCATTGGTAAAAAGAGCTCTTATAAGATGGATAAAACAGATGGAGAGAATGCCTACTAAAAGAATGCCAAAGAGGATACTCTAATGGAAACCAGTTGGCAAGAGAAGTAGAGGACACCCTCAGTTCAGATGGCTGTAGGGTATGGAAAATGATCTGAGGCGGCTGGGTGTTTGAAGATGAAGGAAGGCAAGGCTCTTGCAGGATATTAGTGCCAAACTCGATGATTCGATGCTCATACCACCAATCAATGTCTACATTCTTCCATCCGCTGGGCGTTGTCCAAACCCACCAGAATAGCCTTAACGGAATCTTCTCACCTTTGCTTCAGTCTACTCCTCGGACCCTTGCCAGTCGGTACTGACCATATTGACTTTTTAGTAACTTTTTCATTAAAAAGCCCAGCCATTTTCATGCCCATTTTATTCACCTCAATATAATAATCTTAATTATATTAATTGAGTACAATTCTCCCAATTCAGCATTGTTTAACTGCCTAAATTCTTCGGTTGACGCATCTCTTCAGTCTCGATATTCTACTCAATAGTTTATTTTTAAAAACCTTAAAACGTTGGATCATCCCTTAGCGTAAGCAGCCATGTTTCACATCCATAAAGAATCCTAGGAGGAATAATAGTTTGGCAAATTCTAATTTTTAAGTTTTGGGACAAGAGTTGCGAGCTAAGTAGTTTCACAACTGAAAAACACCAAGCATTTCCCATCTTAAATCTAGCCTTAACTACTTCTTCAATTTTGTTTAAAATATTAGCAATTGGTCTGATTCTCTTTCATAAATTAATTGAGACAGTGATCTTCTAATAATAAAACAACTATTTGTCAATGAAAATTAGGTTATAACTATAAAAACATAAAAAGTTCCGAATTTTTTAAATTCATATTTGCAAAGGTAATTAGAGGTAAAATAAAGTGGTGGGGATCGAAACTACATCACCTAAGTGGAGACAGGGACTGCCAGTAACTAACTGAAACCGTTGAATATATATTTTGTTCACTATGCTATCTTTGATTAATAGCTTTTATAAATAAATAAAATAAGTTAGTAACTGAGAGAGCAGTATCGCTTCTTCATGTTTAGTAGCAATCTTGGTACTAATCTGGCTCCTCCTCCAGTTCCCTCCACAGCGTCCAGACAATTTTTTTCCAGACGCACTGTTATTTTAAGTTTTTAGTTAAACATGAACCTTTTTTAATTATTTAAAAAATGCAATCTCAATCTCATTTATGATTGTTATCACTTCTATTCTATTACAGCTCAACTTTATATGATTTTTTTCCTCAATATAAGTACCTAATTCAAACTTTTTAAGAATCTTATTAATGTGCTTTATAACACATATATTATTACATTTTTTTTTTTGGTGATTCTAAACTTTTCGAATAATATCAATAGTTACAAGAAAATTTTCCAACAATTTTAAGAATTAAAACGAAATTCCTGATTTGGTTACCGGTAATAACCAGATGATTACATAACCATAGAAACATATAAATCAATAGTAAAAAGATAAGTCGAGGATACTGACCCTTATTAGCTCTGTAATTCACAAATCATTACAATTAGGCTGATGGTACTGTTCCCATATATTTAATATAAACTGTAACCATGGCATTACTCCCTTGTTGCACTTGCTTTTATCTAGTCACCACAAAGCAGTCTTTTGAATTGTCCCTCTAACCCCATTTTTTACACGTGAACCTTCTCCATATTGAGAGTGAAGTATTGTGTAGAATAAATAAAAACACCATCAAACTAATAAAAATTACCTTTTCTAGTATCTGCTTGGTTCGGGGGTTGCTCGATCGGGGAAGACTTTGGCGGAACATCTTTGGTAGGAAAGACATCATCTCCTTCCCAGACAGGAGTAGATATCCTAGCATTGTACTGGTTTCTAGAAACGACTTCACTGTTCGTACTACTATTGCCTGAAATATAAAAACAAAATATACTAATGAAAGTTTCTTAAAATAAAATCTTAAATAGTTTATGGTTGTTCAGAGAAATAATTGTTCATTAAACATTAAACAGCAATAATCACATTTAAACATTTCATAGACAATTTAAAAATATATTCAAAGGTTAAAAAAAAATAATATATTTAATTTATACATGAATTTTAGTCATACCTCTAATTGGTGGAGTTTGGAGGATATGATTGGTTTTTGTAGAAGGTTGGGTGCCAGGAAAAGTAGCATTCCTTTTATGTCTCCCCTAAAAAATGAAAAAAAAAAAAGTTATTCAAGAGATATGATTACGAATCGTGTGATTGTCTGCATAAAGATATAAGCATTTGTATGAACACATGAAATATGTTAAATCTTAAATTAAAATAAAGTAACTGTTACCTCACAATTGAATTATGTTTTATACATTTATAATGTTGAAAGCAGATAAAAGCACCATAAATTAGTTGAATAAATTTAATATCATAGGAATTTTTATTTTCAATAGTTTTTCAGTTTCTTTCAGAACCACAACTTTTTTCTTTATAACTTCTTAAAACTTTAATTTTTAAAAAACTTTTATTTAAAAGTTTTGACTGTTTCGCTAAAAAATCAATCTAAAAATTACTTTTATTCATAGCTACTCAAACAAATGACACATTAGAATTATGCCATTTAAGACAAATTATAACTCTAATCTAAGACCAATTACTTTATTTATTTTTTATTTAATATAACTTTTTTTAAGAACTTGAATAAATAAAATTTAAACTTTTACTATAAATCTGGAACTTCATTACAAGTATCACAGTTCCTTAGAACTTTTAATATAAGAATTTTTTTTACCAAAAAAAGATTTCACAGATAAAAGCACCACATATTAGATGAATAAATTTCTTTCAAATTGTTAATTGATATTTAGGATCTAATATCAAATCATTTGTGTTTTACCTTTTATCTTTATTTTTTCCTTTTGTAAATATTAAATTGTTATAAAATCATATATTGTTATTTAGAGACTTTTTACATTATAGTAAAATAGTAAATTTTTCAGTAACTTTTATAAAAAATCTTTATATCCCTAATGTAATCGAGTGGGGTAGCTTAGTGGTAGGGTGCTGAGCTTCCAATGCTTAAAGTCCCAGGTTTGAATACTGGCTTATGGCAAAAAAAATTATTTATTCTGTATCATCGAAGCACACCCAGCCTCTATAAAGTGGGTACCTTTAATTAAATAACTAATTAAAGGGAAAAACCTGGGAGTTGAGCATGATCTGGGTCAAATCACCTCCTTGCACAACCATTGACAAAGAAACAGTACTTATGTACTTACTTTTAGTGGTGCTTAGTTTTAATGGTACAGGTTTTTTTATATCCCTAATGTAATAATGCATATGATACTTGTATCACATCATATTCTCATAGTATCATATCATACAATACTTATATGAGTAAAACACATACTAAAGACAAGCAAGTATCAAGAAAAAAACAACCCTAAGATACATAACTGTTATTATTATTGTCATTACGTTTTTTTTTTTTTTTTTTTTTTTTTTTAAAGCTCTTCAAGGACTATTTAAACATCATTTTATATATAGTTTCTTTTTTTTCTTCCAGAGTGATTGGTATGAATAACTCAATTTCAATCACTAGCAGATCCAGGATTTAATTTTGGGGGAGGCTTCAGCCCGAAAATTTCTTTTTTCATATGCATATAACGATTAATAATTAGAAAAAAAAGAAAGAAATTAACTACCTATATGAAATGGTGTTTAAGTGGTTCTTGAAGTCCTATTAAATGTAATTACACGAACAAGAATACTTTAAGAGATGGTTTTTAATATTTTTTTCTGTAAAACATAGTTATATTTTATCATTTGGGAGGGAAGGGGGGACTCCAATGTGAAAGCCCCCTCCTCCCCGTAGATTCGCCTGTGATTTTAATAGATATATTATCACATAAATTTCAATAATAAGAATTGTATAGGTACTACAGTAATAATAATGGTACCTAATAATTGAAATTTATTCCCAATTTCTGGTAGTATCGTTATTGGTTTATACAATTTGAATTAAATCATATACTCCATAGATCTGAATAACAATCGTCCTCTATCACATTTGTAATATTTCATGTAAATTTTGAAAATAGCAGTAAGCAATTTTATCAAACAACACCTGGGGACAAAACAAGACCCATAACGGGAATAAACAATGATCCTCTTCAAGAGGTCAAATGGTGTTAAAAGAACAACTAATCGACAAAAAGATATAAATAAATAAAAACAAGGAAGGAGATATGGGTGAAAGTAAATGTTTTTTATCCGGTTAATATCTGTTGTTAATGGTGAGTTTGAATAGGAATGAGGCTCTCCCATTTCGGAGCCTTGGGGCACACCCTCTTATGTTTATTAGTGTCCTTTCCATCTGCGTACGGGGTACGTCTCCGGCCATATTCGGAAATAACGCTTTGACAAATAGCTTCATTCATCATCTGGTCGAATTTATTAGCATTTAGCGCATCTACATATTTATAAGTGTAGTTTAAAATTACGACAGAACCACGTTTATACGGAATAATGTGATCTGGAATATTCCGGATTACGCGGAATTTCAAGTAGACGATGATTTGTAAAACAAAACATATTGATATTTGTATTAATAATATGCAAAATGTTTTTACACTATGTTTTTAAAAGACATATCGTAATTTTTCATTTCATGTATCACGCAAAACCTTCAAAAACCACGCCTTGTATATTTACGACAAAAAAAAAAACAAAAAAACCTGTTTGTCATTTTTTCTTTTTTTTTTAACAGCGCTGAATAAAATATCAATAGTTCCACCCAAAGGTTTACATTGAAATCTGAAGACAGATTGCTGACTAAATTACTGATTTCACTTATACACAGGAAGCTTGTCTGCTAAGGAGGTACTTATAGATGTGAAATATTTATAGAAATGATAGCAGATTCCAAAAGCTACAAAAAAAATTATAGAAACATTGCTCCGATTTTCGGCAGAAAAGTAAGAAATTTAAGTTTTTTTTTTTTAAGTAAATCACGTTTTTTGTTAAATAAAAAGTAATAACATAACAACATTCAATTTACGTATGTAATTAACAATTGCTTCACTGTAAACTAGACAAAATTTACTTTAAATAAAAGTAGAATTTATCATTGTTAAGATCATTTAAAAAGGAATTTTGAGTAGATGAACTAAGGTAAGTTCTGTTTTTTAAAAAAATCATAAATTATTCACGATTTTTTTTTATCACCCTCCGACTATGCTACAGACACTTAACTTTTAAAAAACTTTCTCCGTTTGATAAGCTTTAAGTCTAAAGTTTAGATTTATCAGAGAAAAAGTTTAGACTTATCTTAAGTTGTGTAAAAACATATGGTTTTATATCTTTTCAACTAAAAGAACCTGTGTTTTCAGCAAAAGTGATACTTGGAAACGTGGAACGAAATCCCACAGAGCAAATTAAAAGTTATAAAAAGAGATATAAATCCCTGAAACAGCTTCAGCCGCAAGTGTCGTAGAGAGGAAGTAAAACTGACCCGACTGAGAATACGACACACTAGACTTACTCACTACAACCTCATCACAAAGAAAACGAAACCTTAACATTATAATAGTAATGTGCCAATAATCCATTTTATACCACTTCGCTCAAATAGTCTTGTATTAAAACCTGAATTATCAACAATCCTTAATGACGAACTAGCAATAATCCTAAAATTCATAAAATCCAAAAATATGATCTCAAAATTATGACATCGAATAAAATAATCTATTACCGGAAAAATAAGATAAAGTTAAAAATGGTGTCGATAACCAGAAGTGCCAATCTCCCCCAAAGTCAATAGCGCATCCCTCTCTCTCCCATGAAATTTTATTACTCTACTCTTCTTAAAATACAATGCAAGTGTTTGATTAGAAAAGTTGTAAATCTGATCTACGTTCTTCTCTTTGTTCCCTGGTTTAGAAGTACCTTCTAATAGAAACTTCACAAAAATATCTGCCACTCCCTCCCCCCTTACCCCTCCAAAAGTAAAAACCTTGGCTCAAGTTGCGCCATACAACCCCCTTCTGGACACCTCTGTTGATAACCAATGAGGTCTTTTACACTATTAAACAAAGACAAACAGACAATTAAATTCTTGTCTGTACAGCAATATAGCAAATGCCTTTTTTTCATTCACGCTAACTAGAGAAGCAAAATAAAATTATAAGACTGCTCAATCACCCAGCATACTGATCATAATTGATCGATATCATTTAATAAAAGAGAATAAAAAAGATAAAGTATTACGGGACAATCATCGAACGTACTGAATGTTATAGTTTTATAATATAATACTATAGATTCCAGCCATGGCACTCGGATGTTATTATTTGATTTGCATCCCATATAAAAATGATATAAGTAAACCATAAGATATAAATAATATCTGTAAACAAATATATATATTTATTTAATTATAAAAACCACCATCACGCCGACTATACTGTTATGAAGAAGAGGAAGCGAGGGAACGGTACATCCCGACTGCGGGGACAAACCGCAAGGGAAGAGCTCTTGCCTTTCTTTCTTCGAGGAGGCCAAATGGCATTGCCGGATTGGCGCTCCTGTATCCCAACACCACTGGGCTATACGATTTAGGGATAGTCCGGCATAATTGGAAAGGGTGTCGGGGCAGAATCACTGGTTAAGAGAAAATTCCCATTAGTTTATGCAAACAAGTCCATCAATATTTATTGGCCATTTATTTAAAGTAAAAGTTCTCTAGCAACATTCGTGATCAACAATCCTAGAACGTGGCGAATTAAAATCAGAATAACAAGGAGCAAGAAAATGTAACGTTTTTGAGATCTCCATTTTTAAGTAGTAAGTCACTTCTGAGATTGAGAAATAAGAGCACATTCTATTTTTTTCAAGAAATGAAAAAATATTTTATTATTCTGAGACTGTTGTCCCTTTAGAACAAATTATAAGTACAGATTGTATGTCTGTGTGGTCACAATTAGATTATATATTTACAATAAGAGTCGACTAAAAATAAAAATACTGAAGAAGAGAAAGAAAAGAACAAGAAAATTGTACATATATATATATATATATATATATATATATATATATATATATATATATATATATATATATATATGAGAAACTAAAATAACCTAAATAAATTGAGGTAGTCTCTGGGGATGCTTAGATATTTCTCTTAGGTATATTTCGCAATCAGTCGGATTGAGAAAGGAGTAGGTGTTTAAAGAGGAGAGGTTTGAATGAGGAAAGTGATTGAGCGTGTCGAATATCAGTAGGGATGGAATTCCAGACGGAGGCGGCTTGAATTGCAAAGGATTTGTCAAACGCAGCAGCTCGGGGAGGAGGAGGATAGATGTTGGAAGTACGAGATCTAGTGGGGCGGGATTGGATGTAGTATTTGAATTGTAAGCTGTGAAAAATATAGGAGGGTCGATGAGTTCTAATGATCTGGTACAGAAAGGTGGCTAGGAAGTACTGACGGCGATAGGATGGGTAGAGCCACATAAACTCGGTGTAATACTGGGTAATATACGTATCCCTTGAGACTCATGCGCAATTCATTAGGCGTTTAAGTTTGGCCACGAAATCTCCCGAGAATCCACCGTACACCATACAGCCATAGTCGTAGTGTGGAAAAACAAGGGAGGAAACAAGGAGTTGACGGGACTTATATGGAAGGAGATAACGTAGAAGATGGAATTGTTTTACTGTGGAGATAGTGCGACGGGAAATTTTGGAGATGTGTGGTTTCCAGGACAGGGTTTGATCAAGAAGAATCCTTAACACGATAACCGAAGCTATAGGGGATCACTTACTGAGGGTACCTACGAATAGAGGAGAAGGAACAATAAAGAAATGCTTAAAGAAACTGATCAACCAATATCTCATGATATGAAGACAAGGAAGTTAAGATGGGCGTGGAATGTAACTCGGAGCATTAAGAAGTCTCTACGTAACAATAGTAGGATTGAGACTGCGTCGGAGGTGAAAATCAGATGATACCAACTAAGATGGTGCAGAGCTGAATGTAGATAATTGGAAAGAAATAAACAAAGACAAGCAAATAAAAATCAGATTAATGAATAAAAATATCTTTTATGTCTGTAAAGCAAACAGAAAAAAATGTTTATTATAATTATTTTTTTTGGAAGCGGGATCAAAAATAAACACCGCACCATAGAGGTTATTTCGCTACACTTGTTATCTTGAAATATCATAAGCACCGTAAGATATGCAGATATATCCTTCCGAGTAGGTACGGCACGAACAGATGTGAGAAAGTCGGAGCCGCGTGCGTATTTTTTTTTCCAAAGTGAAATTAAGAGAGATAACGGTGAATGATAAAAGAGAGTAAAAATTTCCTGGAAGCGATCGGAAGGGACGATAAGAGACACTAGTCGCTGCGGCTGTACTAACGGAACGCCCGGCACATAAACCTAGATACTGCTCTGCTGTCACCTGTTGCCATCCACTGCCTCTCCCCGGCTCTGTGATACCTGTTCGGGTATGATAACTCGACCGATTTTTATTTTCGCTATAAAATCATAAAATGTACACATAAAATAAAGTAGGATATATTTTAATCGAGAATCATTTATGATGTTTTCATATAAATCAGCAAATAACTCAACAAGAGACAGGAATTCAATGTTAGGCACGGGTGGATCTACGAGGGGGGGAGGAGAGGAGAGGGGCTTAGGGGCTGAAGTTCCCCCAAAAATATAAAAAAATTATCTCTTAAAGTATTATTGTTTGTGTAATTACATTTAAAAGGACTTTAGGAATCACTTAAACACCATTGCATGTAGGCAGCTAGTTTCTTTTTTTCCAAAGTAATTATTGTTATTTTTTATAAAAAAAAATTTTTCGGGCTGAAGCACCCCCCCCAAAATTAAATCCTCGATCCGCTAGTGATGTTAGGTTATAATTGGAAAAATTCCAACCACACATCCTTATGCTTCTAAAATGCAGTCAAAGAATAAAAAAAAACCGTCAACGTTTCGCCGATTCATTCATCATCAGAAGAGAAGAGATAAGAAAATCGAAGATCACATCACCCATGATACCAAATTTCAAACTCACAACGGTATTGGAGATATAAGGCTGTGTGGTTGAAATTTTTCCAACTATAACCTACAACTACTTTCTTTAATTTTTTCACATTTTCGCCAAAGAATGCAGAACAAGTCTGTAAAAATATATGAAAATATGGAGGAAAAAAAATAAATACAGACAGATACTTTAATTACAAATAAGTCATTTCATGTCAAATCAAGCAATGACAAATAAAACTAGAACCAATAAGATTCCGATCATCAATCAGGACAATCAGAAGGAAGAGCGTTGATTTCCACAAAGACTAGGCCTCTCATTGGTCACTCGCAATAAATTATTAAGCTTTAGATGGGATCTTTTGCTCTATATTCCCTATTCACCAGACCTAGCTCCGAGCGACTTCCTCTATTTCGATCTCTGCACAACTCGATGAATTCATAATAATTCCTATAATGTTATTGTTGTAGGTATTATATGTCTATGATATAACGATTTTATTTCACCACGAAAAGCTGAAAGAGCTTATTTACCAACCCAATATACTATATTAAAAATCTACTTCTTAAATACTTTTATAAAAATAGATTTTTAAAAATTGCAGAAATATCAAAATTTCAACATATTTTTGGTCACAAAAAGTTCCTATATTTACATCCGATGGTGCTTGTGTTGTGGTGTTTAACAGCTCATTTTAAAGCTAATTCTGCGTATATATGTGATTTTTTTCCCAACAACACCACATCCCCAACTTGTAATGGTTTCGCGATGTTACATAACTTTAAGTATAATTTCATTAACTGTTTAACTAATAATTCCAATAATTTTTGAGTAGTATAGAAACATAAATAAATCACGTTGGATCGTCAATGAATATGATAATGGATACCTCATTATCTATTTAAAAAACAAAACATAAACATTTAAAAATGCTTAATGACTATCATTAATATTTTTAGAATGTTGTAATAACTCCTATATATCTTCAATTCGAACGAACAAAATGGCCAAAACCTTCGACATATTTGGTAATATGTCCTCAAAGGAGCCGTGTAAGTGCAAAACTGCCGTGCAAAAATGGCGACTATCATACTCTTGGTGTAATGCCATGTCATTAAATAGACATTTTCACCAACATTTTCTACACGATCTATGAAAATAGTCCTGTCGGTTTGAGAAAAAAGCTTCTTGTGCAATTTGTCTTACCAGGTGTGGAAATATACACTTACAAATGGACTGAAGGAATAAATCGAATCAACTATATTTTCACGAGGTATGGTCATTCTTAAAGTAAATTTCAATTAAAATAATTGTTTTTCGAATTCTACGGATCCTGAAACGTGAAACCTCAAATTTTGAGAGGGCATTAAGTTTTTGAATTTTTTGGTCAATCACAATGGTTCATTATTGAAAATAATAAACCAAAAATATTTTAAAACGAGATATCTCTACTAACAGTGCTGCGATTTCGATGAAACTTCCTTCATTTTTTAGGAAATTTAGATACCTTTGAAAAATCAACGATTTAGATACCTTGAAACAAAAAGTGAATACTTTTTGAGTTATTCGGAATTTAATTTTACCATTCATTATAACTTTTTTGCAGCTTCTTTTCGTTGAAGTATGTTAGATTGATAAATTTTAAAGAGCGTCGAGAAAATGATTTTAGCGAAGTTTCATTGAAATCGGTACATTCGTTTAGGTCGCCATTTTTAAAGTAAAAGGCGGATAGTAAGTAGTAAGGGTGAACAATGGTCAGGAAGTGCAGTAAAAAAAAAATATTATGTTCTTAAGTTTGCCGCCATTTTGACCCAAACGTGAGGGTCATCATACTGACTAAAATTAAAAAATACAAAATTAAATCAGAAAAATGATTTCTTACAGTTTTATAATCGCTTATTTGTGAAGGATTCTTATAAGCAGACACTTCATTAAACCGAACAAAATTTCCATACCCAATGTTTCCCCAGGCTTCCAGGTAGTGTTGCCCAATATCGGTCTTGGTCTTGCACTTTGCAAGACCAAGACCAAGGCCACCTAACTGTTGCAAGACCAAGACCAGGACTGGTAAAAAAAATCGATGTTTTTAATAAAAAATTAATAAAAAATAAAATTTAATTAAATTTAAAGGCAAAATAGTTACTAATACTCGACAATCTTAGTTACTATATGTAAATAATTGGTATAACCAATATAGTTTTGCATTTAATTCCTCTAATTTTTCATTCAGGCTTAGTTAGGTTTCTCCTATCTACAAAATACAGTACTGCAAGACTGTTGCGAGACTCTTGTGCAAGACCAAGACCATGAACAAACTGAGTTTGCAAGACCACTTCCAGTTCTTTGGGTAACACTACTTCCAGGTACGAGAAGTTCTGTTGTGTTCATGCAAACATTTTTCTATCACACTCCTCACGGCCTGGAAGGGATTGTGCACGAGAAGGGATAATCTATCATACTACACAAGGTTAAAATTTTCGATATTTTATAATAATAAAATTGAACAACGAAAAAATAACTCGATAACATAAATTGCCCTATAGCTGCGGAAGCCAAGAGAAGTGAGGCCTGGCTATAGGAAATACTTAACAACTAAACATAGTAATTTACAGTTCAAACAGTGAACGCAGCGCTAATGAATAACCGCATTTCGACCTTCATAACTAAATAGCTGAGCTAAAATATAGTGGCACAGCGGGGTCTAAACTGATCCGCAGGGGTCTTTCAAGGCTCTTTAGTGAAATAGAAAATAGTTCTCGGCTTTGAAGTATGTATTGTTATCGATATAAATGTTAACATGATTTATCGATATTAGTACCCTGGGGCAACGAAATGATTGGTTAGCGGTACACACAAAGGCACTAGTATCGATTTTAATCAATAAACCTCGATTCTCAGCAATGGGGTCCAGTTCTAAGTGTGACCAAGATTTTATTTTATTTTTTTATTAAAAAAAAAAAAAAACATGGATGGATTTCATCAATCTATTGAATTCAACAGCGATGGACAGCTATTTATGCTGAGGTTAGAAAATATCGGATGGATTATAGACGAAAGTTGACATCCCTAGAAGGTTATAAAAAATAAATAAAAAATATGTTAGGAAATAAACGTAATAAATACAGATAGAAAGTAGACTGAATATAAATATGTAAAGTAAATTGAGAAATAACAACAATGAGGTTATGAAATACATGACCGATTGGTGATTATATCGTTTAATGAAGGAACCCGCTTAATTCAATTAATGGTTTCCTTCGATAGGTTTAGGAACGGACTGATGAATTTCCGATAGCATCAGCGCTGAGTTTAGGAACTTTCCCAATTTAAGTTGGCATCTTACTTTTACTTATAAATTACCGAAATGTATCGTTGCTAATTATCGGTATTCTGTTATTATTCAACTTTTATTCCGCTTAGCGCCTGACATTGACTGATAACATAACTGCCTTATCGTTAGACTAGTGATTATTTAGCAATAATTTTATTTATTTATTTTGTGTATATATTTTTTAATTACAAAATAACTCTTATGGAGTTCTCGCTTATTGTTATAAAATGTAAAATTGATAATGAAAAATTATAATCCAGAGAGAAAATTGACCTTAAAGGCTGATGGAACCGCTGAGTCATTGGCGATTTAATTACTGAATTAAGGAACGCGCTGAATTCCATCCATCGATAAGCTTAGGAACGATTTTGTAGATTTCCGATGTTATGGATAAGGTAAATTTAAGCCCAAACAAAGATGGACAGTAACCGATTATGTAGATTTTGTTTTTGTCAAAGGGGTACGGAGTCCATTTTATGTCTTTTTGGAGCACCGATAATCCAAACCCGTAACACGATACTCAATCTCCACTCCACTGCAACGATGGTCTATCATTACGAACACATTAACGCCTCTCAATCACAATTGGGTATTTATACGAATTTTAAGTTTTTATTTAGAAAATCGGTTTATAACAATAAGAATACAATAGTCCCGAATTTTTCTGGTGTATATTTGCAAAGATAAGAAGTGTTAAAGTGGACAAGGCTACGTCATGTCCTGCTAACCTTTAGATCATACCGTTGATTATCTTATACGTTTCAGCTTATACTAGACCAGCGTGTCCAGCTTCAGAACATCCATCCAAGTTTTTTATCCAAGTTTTCCATCCAAGTTAACATCCATCTTTCCGGTTTTTCTTCCAATCTGTCATTTCTGAATAGAAATACTTAGTTTGAAATATTTGTATTCGTTTTTATAAATGTATTTTTATAAGTTAGAGCCGAGAGAGGTCTAAGAGTATCGTGTTGGGAAGCAGTATCCGTCATGATACAATTCACTCAAGCCACGCCTCCAATTCCCACCACACCTACGAGCCGCGTTGTTATTCCACTCTTTTAGCAAAATATACCCTCTTCTTTATTACTTGTATTATATTTCGGCTCAAATTTACGCGATTTCTTTTGCATGTAAACATCCAATTAGGTGCATGATAGGTTTCTACATTGACACACCTCGAGTAGTTATCATAAAATCATCTCTGATTTTTTTGTATCTTACCAACCCCAATTTCTAAGGAATTTTTATCCGCTCCGTAGGGGAACAGCTGATGCTCTTGAATGCCGACAACAATGGACGGATGGTGAATACAAAAACTGCTCCAGAGGACAACCGCCTCAAGAACAATGAGGAATGAAAGGCATAAGTGTGGGCATAGCGGAACCCAGCCAGCCTATCAATATTCAATAGGAGGTACCTCGGGGTGGGGTGTCGGTACCTGAGCGATGTACCTAACCAGTACCGCGGGGTTAGAGGAAAAGGTAAGAGTACTGGCTCAGAACAATAATATATATATATATATTTAAACTCAACAATGAATATAAAAATGGCATCCTGATCTGTATGACCTACTAAAGGTCAATAAACGAAAACATAAGAAAACGGACGAACCAATGAAGGTTAAACTGACAAGCAGACACCCATCTAATCCGTATATTAATGAGAGGATTAATAGATAGCTGTACAATACTCGTTTAAATTAATTTCTTGGTTAAACAGACGTTTAAATACATTATGTTGATCTATATCCATAGGTTAGGAACCTGAGCCAAGTCTTTCTCCCCACTCGTGGAAGGAAAGGCAGTAGTTCAGTAATAATGAACAAATATTGTTTATATTAAAACAGCAGTAATTACCAGTTTAAAAACGAGGCATTATCGTCTACCTTAAATATTTTGTGGAATTCACAAAAAAGTACTCAGAAGTTTAACTCTATCAAAATTATACGGTATATAATTAATTTATTTTAAAACGTTTTTAAATTCCAATAACAAACTTTACTAAACGAAAAACAGTGAACTACGCAATGAGATATTAAAATATGCATCTACCGCTCACTTTTACGTTCCATGAACAAGCAAATAAATATTAAGTAGAAGGTAGTTGATTCCATAAGCATACACCATATCAGATAAGATAACTGTTGGTATCCATCGCTCTAACGGATGTTTTACAAAACGATGCTAATAATTTATTGTACAACAGCTTAGCAACGTTCACTGACTAAAGACGGTTGCGTGTTTCAACGATGTTTAGCTGATTCTCTATTTTAACAGTTAATTTTACACATAAGTCATAAGTTATATTCTGTCAACGGATAAAGCATAGTTCATGGCATCATTAGTTCCCATATTTGATTTTTAAATAATAAATAATGGTTATTTTGGAACACACTATTGTCCTGCGAAAAATAACACCCCATGTCTATACTAATATAAAAAGTTGATTATTATCACCAAGGTGATAAAAGGTATACTTTTTTTTGCATGAGATAGATCTAATTAATACTATGTCAAGGAAGGATTTATACTTTGTAATGTAAAACTCACACCTATAGACTTAGTACAACTTCCCGCCAATAAAGTATCATTTACAACCCCTATAAATAAAGCGCTGAGACAAACTTTTAAGCATGTTGAAGTCGATTTGAGATATTTTTTTTCCAATGGATAAATAGATATATATTGCCTTATATAGATCTGATTGTGGAAAAAAAAAACCAAATGCACACACACACACACACACATATATATTTCTTTTCCAAGTCTTCAGAACCAAAATCCCTACCTACGTCCAGGAACTCCTTACTCTGCGCTCCTCTATCCACTCTCTCAATACTAGGTCTCAACCTATAGACTTATATATTTCCTCCCTTAAAACTTCTTCCTTCAGCAAATCCTTCGTCATTCGTGCTGCTTCCTTATGGAAGTCACTTCCTACCTCCATGCTTCAATCCTCGTCCACAAATTTCTTCAAACAACTCCTGTTCCAACACCTACTCCACATTCAAACTTTCCCTAACATGTAAAATTACTTGCATCTGTACAATGTTTAATTTCAATCCATTGCACAATTGAAATAACAATTAACAGTAAATTAGTTTGTATTATTATTATGTCAGACTAAGACCAATAAATTTGTAACACTATTATTATTCTTAGAGGATAGTAGTCCCAGAATTTTTTTTTCCCCTACCCCCAGGAATTTCTTTATTACAAAATATAATATATATAAATGTTATATACACATAATTTTTTAATTTCCTTTTATTGCCCAAGGGCATTTTAAGGTAAAAGGGCTCTGCACGCTGTATGCGTACTTTGCATCTGTGGCCAGAGACCTTTTATTATACCACTGGGCGGTTAGTCCCATTATTAGTCCCAGAATAAAATCATTTTTTCATTTCATTTCATTCATATACTTTCCACGAGGAGAAAAAACTAATTATATTGTTAAAGCTGAAGTACTGTGTTTTCTTTCAATATTTTAAAACACGCTTTGTTAGTAATTATTCAACTCATTTTAATGGAATCTAAGGAAGAACGGATGCAGGAAAAATAACAAAGAAAAAAAAAAAACGGGTTCATCGTATGAAGCCACGTTCTCATTTCTGTTATCAATATATGTACTATTCTTAATTTCATAATTTAAAAGAATTATGAACGATGGAGATGATCCGGTGTGCGGTCATAAATTGGCTAAATAGTGGCAAAACTATTTTATTAAAAGCCAACGTTTCGACCCGAGTTTGCAGGTCTTCTTCAGGGAGGTGTGTTCAGCTAGAAGTTTTACTTAGAACTGCATTTTCAGTTCTAAAAATCTTGGATTGGCCCCAATTTATTTTATCAGTTAAAGATTTTATTTACTGGCTATTTCTGAAATTAAATACTCCCTTCCTGATGTGTTATTCTTCAGAAAAAATGTACTATGGGAGTAGGAATTCCTTCCTTAAATTTATAATGCTTCCTGTTGTTTCGGAATAAAGTATTCATTATCAAGAGGGCATTAATACCAATAAAATAAAATAGCTAAACATTATTACTTAACATTTTTGAAAAATATAAAGCCCACCAATTACTTGAACTGGTGGTCATAAAAAAGCTAAATACTGGCAACACTATTTTATTAAAAGCCAACGTTTCGACCTGACTTTGTAGGCCTTCTTCAGGGAGATGGGTTCAGCTAGGAGTTTCACTTAGAACTGAAAATGCAATTCTAAGTGAAACTCCTAGCTGAACCCAACTTCCTGAAGAAGAAATACAAAGTCAGGTCGAAACGTAGGCTTTTAATAAAATAGTTTAGCCACTATTTAGTCTATTTATGACCGCCACCCCGAAGCATCTCCTTCCTTTATAATGCAACGGTCAACTATTAAATAAAGAATTATGAACGATGTTTGCTGTTTCTAGTGCATCAGACATAAGGCTTACCTTTGACCTCGGGAAGACGGACAGAACGTCGGTCCAGAACCTGGCCTCCTCCCTGGACGTGCCCTTGACGAAGTGGACGGCGTCCGGGGCGGTGATGGCCAGGCTGTAGGGGTTGCCCGTCAGCTCATCTGCCGGGGTCACCTCCACCACCTTGTTCATGTCGATGGAGGCCTGCGGCACCGTCTCCGGCTGCAACAGAAAAATAAAATTAATATTAACAATGTTTATTAATTTATATCATAAATAGATCAGGATAAAAATAAAAATAATAATATAAATGGAGAAAAGGGTAATAAACTTTTATTACAATACAATAAATCTAAATGGCCAACAGTATTGATGTATACATTAGGTACCAATGAGTAACCAACAGTCAGAAATATACCAGCCTATGACAAGCGCTAACTCTTCTCTCTTTTAAAGGCACTGAAATCCCGAAAAATCTCTAGACATCTCAAATTAAAGGTGTACAATCACTTAAGACTATATTGAGACTTGACAAACGATCTGCACACCATTTTACAATACAATACGAATGAAGTTGTCAAACTTTTTGATTTTCTTTAATGTTTAAAACTTGACTACAACTATTATCAGTTACAATCTATTATTTTTCCTTTAGTTACTTATCGAATTCTATCATATTTAATATTTAACTATTTATATCAAAGATTAATGTGAAATGGTTGATTATTTCAAATTAAAAAAAATAAAGATACTTTAGGGGAAGCCAATATTGAAAATCAGCCATTTACGGCCTGATAGAGAACATCAATAAGAATAAACCTACTTTGCTTGTATTATATTAAAAACTGCTTAATAACTGTGTTTAATCAAAATCGTTAGAGCCGTTTTTGAGAAAATCGTAAAAATGTGTTAAATCGATTATATAAAGCACCAATTCCGGTTTGCCGATTTTGACGTAAATGTTGCTGTAATACCGAACGCTTATAAAAACCTTAAATATGCGATTTTACTTTCATATGACTTTTCGTTTTTGAGCTAGACTGATCACATACATACACACATACAGACTATTTTGCGGGACTTGATTATTTGGACTCATGAGACCTCAAAACATGTATTTCCGTTAAAAACTCAGTCTCAAAAATTTTCACGATCGCAATACTTACACTTTCTATATATACATGTTTAGGTAAGTGAAAGTAAAAAAGGTGTACAATGCTATGATACAGATATTCGTCTGCGATAACTGGACACTATTGTGCGTTCTAGAAAGAATTATTGAAAGATATAAAAGGAAAGTCCTCCGCACGAAAGCCGGAGCACTTAAGGATCAGAGTACTGTGGAAGAGAAGACCAATAAGGAACTGCTTGCTCAATCGCTCTAGCCCAGTCCTGTAGGTCATTAGCTAGTCTTAAAGACATGATAACTTTTCGGAGGTCTTTCGAGATCTTGTCCTTTCATATACTTCCCTGGTATATCCTTTTGACTGTTCTCCCATCATCCATTCTATGGAGGTGACTCAACCACTTCAGACGATGTATCCTGACATAGTCTGATAACTTCTTTTCGACAACAAAGAACTGCTTGTTGAAACTGGTTAATCAATAAATCATATGATATTAAGGCAAGGGTGGTCGGGACAATCCTTAACGAAGCCTCTAAACAACAATTAATGCCTCAATAGTAGGATCACCTAGAAAGCCATAAACCAGATGGATAGATAGAATAAAAAAGATTCTGTAGGACTGCATGATAAATGGAAAGAAATAGCCTAAGATAGGCAGAGGTGGAGAAGGCGGTTAAAGATGTACAAGGTCTGCAATCAAACAGAAAAAAAAAAAAAAAATCGTTGTCACTTATATTTGAATAAATATAACCTTGTTTTATTTAAGAGATTTATGTAAAAATCGTAATTCGTATGTGAAATGTACCCTGGTATACTTCTTAGCTATGCCTCTATATGCAAAGGAAACACTAAACTGTAATTTTCTAGCCAAGGCCGACAGTTTAATCACAGTAATCAGGCTCGAGTTTCTACGCAGCTAATTTAAATATAAAGGGTATTTAAAAAAATATATTATTTTATTTCACATTGCATCTTAAGAAAGGTATGTTTAATAATACTTAATTTTAATAAGATGAAATAATTTCTGTAATTAATTCAAGTTTATGGGGGATTATTGTTTGCTTTAAGAAATAATAGTTATATTTAATTGCCTTATCGTGGCAATAAACTAATCGTTAAAATATGAAAGGGAGCAATAAATATTTTAATGACCAATAAAGGCAGATACTATCACACAACCCCTATATACACTATTATTTATCACCAATACACAGACCGCTTACAGATAGATAACCAGGCACAGAGGGGAGGGCAATAATAATTATGTAAATTGGGCTGTTAATTAAAGTTGAATAGAGGCGGGCCTGCAGCATGGAGCAGCACACCGGGGCTACCGGATTGCCCTCATTAATTATGCAAATATATCAGCTACTAACTGTAAGCGGGAAGATAACATAACTCAGGTCTATCCCCAACTTTCCAACCCCAGCCGTCGTTTTCTCCAGCACTGTCCTGTCTACTCTAGTGAAATCTTTATACAGCTGAAGCCGATATTGGCGTTTTAAAAAATACGTATTGATACAAATGAAAAAAATATAATAACAATTGAAGAGAAGTTGGTTGGGATGTTCAGTCAAACAAGTAACAAAGTAAAAATAAATAAATTGTATTAATTTTTATTTTTGCCAACGTTTCGGTCTAAGGCTCAGGCTTTCTTCGGAGCAAAAAAAAAGACAAGATAACATGAAAAAAAAAGAAGACGGTACAAATAATAATATTTAGGTAAAAGATGTAGTCTAACATACAGGTAGAATAAACCTAGTTACATGAGATGTAATAATATATCTGTTACTTACATATTATTACTTATGTATCGTCAACCAGTTTCTCATATCTATGTTATCTCTTGTTTTCTTAGACCTGATGAAGGCCTAAAACAGTGGACGAAAAGTATTTTTACATTATTACTTGTTCGACTGAACTCTTCAATCAATTTCTCTTCAGTATATATCTACGATAGTTAATTATTAATCCACTATCATGTATAACAATAATTTTATTACCGACCTAAAAGCTACGGTATTAGAGTCTTATTATAATTAAATAAATTTAAAAAAAAAGTTCATAAAATGGGATGAATTTAAAGTAAATGATTAAGACATTAATAGAAATACCATTTAGACATATGGAATGGAGCTTTGGGATCCCACAAAATCATCTAATTATTCCGGTATCCAATCTCTACAATCCAAAATCCATCGTAGATTCATTGATGTACTTATCATGTCACAAATAAAACTATTCATAAAGACCTCTATATTCTGCTTGTAACAGATTTTGCCTGAATGAAGTATTTTTTCTTTTAATTCCAAACCATTACCACCCTCTGGTTCACAAAATTTCATCCAAAACAATTCCTGACTACCCTCGGAAGCGACTGAAAAGAAGATGGCCAATGAGCATCCAATAATTAATCTAATCATTGAATTGCTTTCAATGGATAGTTTTTTTTCACAAGTTCTTATCATATTTAATATTCTTGTGATAACAAATTTACTTGCTTCATTTGTTAAAAAAATATTTTTTTTTCATGATATTTACAACTGTATAAAAAAAATACTGTATAAAAGCAGAATTGAAAATGAGGAAGAGATCAGCGAGGAATAGGCGGGTTTTCGACTGGAAGATCATGCACTGATCACATTTTTAGTCTCTCACAACTTATAGAAAAGAGGATGGCCCACGACCGTGAACTCCACATGATATTTGTAGATTTACACAAGGCCTACGATTCAGTACCTCTAGCGAAATTGTGGAAAGCTTTGGAAGCCACATCTATTAAGAGATACCTCATCAGAGCAATTCAAGAGCTCTATAAAAATATAACGGGGGCTATAAAAATAGGAGATAGAGTGTCTAGAAGCTTCTCCATTAACAAAGGATTGAAACAGGGCTGCTGCCTTTTACCCCTGATTTTCAACATTTATATAGAACTTAATAACTAATAGAACTCACATAAATCGGGAATGATGTCATCTACAATTTGCAGTATGCCGATGATCAAGTCATAATCGCATCGGATCCGGATGATGTGAGCTATATGATGAGGAAGTTGTTAGACACGTATTCCAGATGGAGTCTGAAGATCAGTGGAAGTAAAACAGAGTGCATGGTTTTCAACGCTCCAAATTTGCCCCTTGAAATTGATGACTGGACGCTAAATGTCAGCCAGTAGTTCGGATACTGGTTATCTCCAAAGGGAGGTAGTGAGGTTGATATCGAACATAAAATAAATAATGGGAAAAGAATAATAAGTTCGATAAATTCAACCCTATGGAGTAAAGAAATAAGATTAGAAACTAAAAAGAAGATATACCATTCCTTTGTAGAAAGCGTAGCCACTTACGGATCAGAAGTTTGGATTTTTTTTTTTTTTTTTTTATAGGCAATACGGGTTTTAGCAGCAGTGAGATGTTAAGCGTTTCCGCGTAACAACACACTGCTGCTAGAAAAACAATATTTATAGACTGGGTCCATATTTCGACTACATTTCTTCTAAGTTTGGTCACGGATTTCTTCTGCTACTCCGTCCGGCGGCCTTCCAGGCGGTGCAGCTCCTCTTCTTCCCAAGTAGAAATGAGTTGGGCCTATAATGGATTTCCATTTTGCAATGAAATCTATAAAATGAGGATAGTTTTCCTCACTCATGAGTTGAGGGAGCTCCCTTTCAGTCAAAATGTAGAGACCGGTTTCCCTGAGCAGTTTTGCTCTCTGTGCCTCATAGGCAGTACATGCTACGACAATGTGCTCGGCAGTCTCTGGGACTCCGCAACTGGGGCACAAGGGGTCGATATTCTTTCCAAATTGGAAGAGCTTTGCTCGGAAGCCCCCGTGTCCAGTGAGTAGTTGGGAGACCCAATAACCAGGTTCCACCCATTTTGCTGCTAACCGGGAACCGATGGTGGGAAAATATTTTCTAAGAGTACTTCCTTTCGGAGTTGTTACCCATCGCTGGTTCCATTCGTCAAGGGTGTACTCTTGTATTATCTTTTTCCATCTACCTGGCTGTTGGTTAATCTTCTCACGGAGATTTTCTGGTAGACCTGCCGAGCCTTCTCTTGAAAGCTGGTGATTTAACATGTCTTCCTGCAACAGGAGGTCGAGAGGAACACCTCCTGCCAGGACCTGTACTGCCTCATGAGACACTGTCTTGAAAGCTCTGGTG